TATAAAAAAGTTCTTCATATCGTTCTATTCATAAGCGAAGAACAAATATTTCTTTTTTTTTTTTAGGAGAATTTTACACAATATAAGAAAATCCTTACTTTTCGTTTAGAATTGAAATTTATTAATTTCAATTACTTTACTTTTACTTAATAATCTTAGCAATTGCATCGATTGCGTACTCTGACTAGCAAATGAACTATTCAAAAAATTTTTGCATTTTTCAATTTTTTCATTGAATGACTATTCATCTATTGTTATTGTATTTTCATGTAAATAGAGGCCAAAAGCTCTATGGAAAAATCGTGGTTCAATTTGATGTTTTCTAAGGGAGAATTGGAATACGGAGGCGAGCTAAGTAAAGCAATGGATAGTTTTGCTCCTATTCAAAAGACTACTATATATAAAGACCGGTTTATATATGAGATGGATAAACACTTTTATGGTTGGGGTGAGCGTTCTAACAATAAGGTTGATCTTTTAGTTAGCGCCAAAGACATTCGGAATTTCATATCGGATGACACCTTTTTTGTTAGGGATAGTAATAAGAATTGTTATTCTATATATTTTGATAAAAAAAAAAAAAAATTTGAGATTAACACGGATTTGAGTGACCTAGAATTTTTTTTTTATAGTTATTGTAGTTCTAGTTATCTGAATAATAGATCTAAAAGTGACAAGGATCTGCACTATGATCCTTACATTAAGGATACTAAATATAATTGTAATAATCACATGAATAGTTGCATTGACTCTTATTTTCGTTCTCACATCTGTATTGATAGTCACTTTTTAAGTGAGAGTAATAATTCCAATGAAAGTTACATTTATAATTTCATTTGTAGTGAAAGTGGAAAGATTCGCGAAAGCAAAAATGACAAGATAAGAACTAATAGGAATCGTAGTAATTTAATGAGTTCTAAGGATTTCGATATAACTAAAAACTACAATCAATTGTGGATTCAATGCGACAATTGTTATGGATTAATGTATAAGAAAGTCGAAATGAATGTTTGTGAAGAATGTGGACATTATTTGAAAATGACTAGTTCAGAGAGAATCGAGCTTTCGATTGATCCGGGTACTTGGAATCCTATGGATGAAGACATGGTCTCTGCGGATCCCATTAAATTTCATTCGAGGGAGGAACCTTATAAAAATCGTATTGACTCCGCTCAAAAAACGACAGGATTGACTGACGCTGTTCAAACAGGTACAGGTCAACTAAATGGTATTCCGGTAGCCCTTGGGGTTATGGATTTTCAATTTATGGGGGGTAGTATGGGATCAGTAGTAGGCGAAAAAATAACTCGTTTGATCGAGTATGCTACCAATCAATGTTTACCTCTTATTTTAGTGTGTTCTTCCGGAGGAGCACGAATGCAAGAAGGAAGTTTAAGTTTGATGCAAATGGCTAAAATTTCTTCGGTTTTATGTGATTATCAATCAAGTAAAAAGTTATTCTATATATCAATACTAGATTTCAAGCGAGGAAGCTATAGAAACCGCAAAACAGTTAGCTCTTCTAGAAGGCTTGATGGTCAGTCCTTCGTATTATCTCTGATTTCTGAGCGGAATTACATCAATGCTATGGTGGCATGGTGGAAATTAGCAGGATTTAACAGGTGAAGGTAATCATTTTGTCAGGTTGGTATATCATCTGGAGCAGCTGCTGCTGCTGCAATCAGGGTCGCAAAGAGACCTGAGAATGCTGGGAAACTCATAGCTGTAAGTCCTTTTCGTGTCATATAATTGCTTTATAGAAACATCACAAGATAGATTTTAGGATTGTATAAACTCTCTCCAGCGCGTGATCCTATACTAAACCCAAAGAACCAACACTACAGCCTATCAGCTAGTTAGCTTTTTCATCTTCTGTGTTAAAAGATCATCTATGAAGCCAGTTGTTTTGTGTGGTTTAGGAAATGAAATCTTGACATGTGAATGAATCTGTGACTTTCGGTTCCAGGTTGTTTTCCCGAGCTTTGGAGAGCGGTATCTATCAACGCCTCTGTTCCAGTCGATCCGAGAAGAAGTCGAGAAAATGCAGCCTGAGCTATGAACAAATTAACAAAAGCAAGTTAGTCTTACTTCTGCGAATCTCTCGCTTCTACTGTAAGTTTTGCAATAAGCAATTCCTGTTTATCAATAAGCCAAATAGTGCAGGTTGTATGAGTTATTTTGGACATTCATCAATACTCTTGTTTACTGTTCAACATTTTTTATCGGAAATCACCATTGGTATTCATCTATACTTTTTATCAACCAAACAAATTTGTAGAGTCTGATGTATAATGATCTATGCATGACATATTAGTGACATGTATCTTCTTCACTTCGTCCTTTAGACCAGTAGAAAATTTGTCAGAATCTACACTAAAACATGTCAAAAACTTAGTATATTTTATGCTCAAACCTTTAGGTACTGAAACTTGCTTTGTATTTTTTTATGCTTTTCACGCTGTTGTTATTTGTTTAAGCCTTAAAGGGTTTCAAGATCATAGAAAAATTATGTCTTTTTGCAATTTTGACCCACAATTATTCTTATGCCAAGAGACTCAGTGGTTTATCTTAGGATTAAGATACTCTCTACCAATCCCACTATAATTTCTTTTAATCTAAAAATGATTAGAAGATAACTTTTACTTACTTTATGACTTGGTTTAGGCCATGTGTGTGAAATACATATATTTTTATAAATAACGAAGGATAACACAAAGAACGTTCGTTCCCATGATTTCGAACCTACTTTTACAATTTGGCATTCTTTTATGAGATGATTTATAACTAATCACAGTAGGATCAAAACCTTCCATAAGCAAAGAAACAACAAATAAGAACATGTCTATCGAACTCAAAGTCTTGCAAATGATTCTTGTTCTGTTTTTTACTCTGTTTTCACTTGTATACAACTCCAGTAGCAAACTGATCCCGGAGGGATCTGCAGTTTTCGACGACAGCGGTTTCACCGTTTTAACCAACACCACGGAGCATTCCTTCGGCAGAGTGTTCAACAACGAAACCCTATTCATCAAGAACGAGACTTTCAACTTCCACTTCCTCTTCGGAATCGTCCCTGAGCTTGACCAGCAAGGCTCACATGGCATGGCTTTCGTTATCTCTCCTACGATGGGTGTTCCCGGAGCTTCCTCTGATCAGTACCTCGGGTTATTCAACCAGACAAACAACGGTAAAAGCTCGAATCACGTGATTGCTATTGAGTTAGATACACATAAAGACGAAGAGTTTGGAGATATTGATGATAATCACGTTGGGATTAACATTAATGGTATGAAATCTGTTATCTCTGCTTCTGCTGGTTACTATGATGATGAAGATGGAAGGTTTCACAACCTTTCTCTGATCAGCAGAAAGGTCATGCGCCTTTCAATCGTTTATAGCCAATCTGAGAAGCAGCTAAATGTTACGTTATCTCCTGCTGAGTTCTCTGTTCCGCCGGAGAAACCGCTTTTGTCTCTAAACCAAGATCTCTCGCCGTATTTTCTGGAGGAGATGTATTTTGGCTTCACGGCATCAACCGGAACCGTTGGATCACTTCATTATATGTTGGGAGTGTCTATCACTCCAGAAGTCGAGCATCCATTGATGGATCTAACCGTAGTCCCCACGCTTCCTCCATATCCGAAGAAATCTTATGATAAAATAAAGAGGATTTTAGCCGTCTGCTTAACGTTGGCAGTGATCGCTGCACTTGTCGCCTCGTGGATCGGTTCTGTCTTCTATTGGAGGCATAAGAAGGTTAAAGAGGTTCTTGAGGAATGGGAGATTCAGTACGGACCTCATAGGTTTGCTTATAAGGAGCTTTTCAATGCCACAAAAGGTTTCAAGGAGAAACAGCTTCTTGGAAGAGGTGGTTTTGGTCAAGTCTACAGAGGAACGCTTCCGGGTGCTGATGCAGAGATCGCTGTGAAACGGACTTCTCACGATTCAAGACAAGGAATGAGCGAGTTTCTAGCTGAGATATCAACCATTGGTCGTCTTAGACACCCGAATCTGGTCAGGCTTTTGGGATATTGCAGGCATAAAGAAGATTTCTATTTGGTTTATGACTACATGCCCAATGGAAGCCTTGACAAGTATATAAACCGTAACAACACGAATGAGAATCAAGAAGGGCTTACTTGGGAGCAACGTTTCAAGATCATCAAGAACGTTGCATCTGCTCTGCTATACTTGCATCAAGAGTGGGTACAAGTCATCATTCATCGAGATATCAAACCGGCTAATGTTTTGATAGATCACGAAATGAATGCGAGGCTAGGGGATTTCGGATTGGCGAAGCTGTATGATCAGGGGTTCGATCCTCAGACATCTAAAGTAGCAGGAACATTCGGGTATATTGCACCAGAGTTGCTAAGAACAGGAAGAGCAACCACAAGCACTGATGTCTACGCATTTGGGTTGGTTATGCTAGAGGTAGTTTGTGGTAGGAGGCTGATTGAGCGACGTGAAGCCAAGAATGAAGAAATTCTCGTGGATTGGATCTTAGAGCTTTGGGAAAAGGAGAAAATTTTCGATGCGGCTGAGGAAAGTATACGTCAAGAACAAAACAGGGGAGAAGTTGAGCTAGTTTTGAAGCTTGGTTTGTTGTGTTCGCAGCAAGCTGAATCGATTAGACCGGATATGAGTGCGGTAATGCGGATCTTGAATGGCGTTTTGCAGCTTCCGGATAATCTTCTTGAAGTGGTAAGGGCTGAGAAGCTGAGAGGACAGCCTGAGATATCAATGGAAGTACTACTACTTGATATGAATTCAGTGAATACATTAACGTTTACAAATTCTTTCCTCTCCCACGGACGCTGAAACCTGAACAGAAAGTTACTTTTTAATGAACATTTTATATTCAGTCTACCTAGACATTCAATAGCTTTGCTGCTTGTGGATAAATTTAATTATTGATCTTTATGCTTTTACACCGTAGTTAATTCTTATAGCCAAAGGTTTAAGATCAAAGAAAAAAGGCACATCTACAGAAAAATGTCAATCGGACTGCGCGATAAAGATATTCAAGTGATGAAGTGAATTAGATTAGTGACTAGTCTACGTACAAAACTCTACTACTATGTATGTCTCTGATATCTACTATGATCTCCTCTTTTTTTTGCTAGAGAAGGAAAGTATAATGGTACGTCGAAACTTTCCTGGAAGTTTTTAAGAGAGAGACTGGTTAGATAGATAAGATTCGCTGATTTTTTAGAATGCGTGGTAGAAGTAATAATGTGATGTCAGACAATTCCTCGCAACAATTCTTCACACGCTCTCTTGAAACAAAGAAAGGTCTTTTTTGTTTTCTTCCTCTAGTTTTGACTTTTGTTAGAGGAGAAATTAGCACATTTCACTGCCTGTCATTATTAGTAAAGTCACAAAACCCAATCCAACTTTAGACCTAACTTTCTCAATAAAACTTGAGAAGGAAGGCACAATCCATGGAGAAATGTAAATAAATCTTCATGCCAACTTAAAAATGGAAGGAGATCAAGAACAAGAGGAAGTTTTCCATATCGCAAAAGAGGAAGTTTTCCATCTCGCCCGAATGAGAATATTCATCGTTCGACCGAGTTATCAACACTATATATTGAAGATCCCCCATTGGGGAAAAGGATCCAGAATCATCTAGAATCACTAGGCCTTTACACCCACTTTTACTTTATCCTCTTGTTCATCACTATAATCTCGCTAGGCTTGTTAGCGAGATTACTTTCTTGTAACTTTCTTGATAATCTAAGAGTCGAATTAAGCATTCCAGTTTCCTAAACTCACATCTTTAATAGCACGAGTGCGATTTCGGATCTAACAACTTTTATTTATTTATATTTTGTATCATGAGGGAATTGTATTGATTTGTTTTTCTGTTCATATTGTAAACAATGATAATCCAATTTTCTCATTTCGGATAAATGCGTGGAGAAATTAAGAATGGGCATACAATTCCTAACTCGCTCTCTCCCTTGAAACAAAGAAAGGTCTTTCTTTTCTCTGGGTTTGACTTTTATTTATTTTGTATCATAGTGAACTGTGACTTGTTTAATTGCTTTACGACTTGATTAAGACCATGTGACAAAATACAAATGTCTTCTTACAGAATTACGAGGAAAAACAGAAGAACATTCGTACCATTATGTCGACCTTCCTTTTACAGATTTAACTCTTATTATGAGATGCTATATATATAACCGATTAAAATATTCCAATTAGCACAAAGAAAAAAAAGAAAGACAAAATCGTAACATGTCTCGTGAATTTAAAGTCTTGCAAACAATTTTCGTTCTGTTCTTTATTCTGTCTTCATCTACCTACAACTCCAATGGCAAATTTATCCCGGAGGGAGCCGCAGTTTTCGACGCCAGCGGTTTCATCGTTTTAACGAACACCTCGAAGCATTCATATGGTCAACTTTTCTACAACCAGTCTATTCCCATCAAGGAGTACTCGTCTTTCTCAATCAACTTCTTCTTCGCAATCGTCCCTGAGCATAACCATCGTGGCTCACACGGCATGGCTTTCGTCATCTCTCCCACAAGAGGCCTTCCCGGAGCTTCCTCCGATCAATACCTCGGCATCTTCAACGCAACAAACAACGGTGAAAACTCGAACAACGTGATAGCTATCGAGTTAGATATACACAAAGACGAAGAGTTTGAAGATATTGATGATAATCATGTTGGGATTAACATTAATGGTATGAGATCTGTTGTCTCTGCTTCTGCTGGTTACTATGATGACAAAGATGGAAAGTTTCACAATCTTTCTTTGATCAGCAGAAAGCTAATGCGGCTTTGGATCGTTTATAGTCAATCCGATAAACAACTCAATGTCACTTTATTCCCTGCTGAGATCTCTATTCCGCCTAGAAAACCGCTTTTGTCTTGGAACCAAGATCTCTCTCCGTATTTTATGGAGGAGATGTATTTTAGTATCAGAGCATCAACCGGATCCATTAGAGCACTCCATTATTTGACTAGTGTGTTAATTGCTCCAGGAGTCGAGGATCCATCATCATTGGAGCTTATTGCACTCCCCATCCTTCCTCCTTATCCGAAGAAATCATCTAATAAAACAAGGACGATTTTAGTGGTCTGCCTAACGCTATCCATGATTGCTGCACTTGTCGCCTCATGGATAGGTTCCGTCTTCTATTGGAGGCATAAGAAGGTTAAAGAGGTTCTTGAGGAATGGGAGATTCAGTATGGACCTCATAGGTTTGCTTTTAAGGAGCTTTTCAATGCCACAAAGGGTTTCAAGGAGAAACAGCTTCTTGGAAGAGGTGGTTTTGGCCAAGTCTTTAAAGGAACACTTCCGGGTTCTGATGCAGACATCGCTGTGAAACGGACTTCTCATGACTCAAGACAAGGGATGAACGAGTTTCTAGCCGAGATATCAACCATTGGTCGTCTCAGACATCCTAATCTAGTCAGGCTTTTGGGTTATTGTAGGCATAAAGAAGATCTCTACTTGGTTTACGACTTTATGCCTAATGGAAGCCTTGACAAGTATCTTTACCGTAGCAACAAGAATGAGACCCAAGAAGGGCTTACTTGGGAGCAACGTTTCAAGATCATCAAAGATGTTGCATCTGCTCTTCTATACTTGCATCAAGAATGGGTACAAGTCATCATTCATCGAGATATCAAACCGGCTAATGTTCTGATCGACCATGAAATGAACGCGAGGCTCGGGGATTTCGGATTGGCGAAGCTGCATGATCAGGGGTTTGATCCTCAGACTTCTAGAGTAGCGGGAACGCTTGGGTATATTGCTCCAGAGTTCATAAGAACCGGAAGAGCAACCACAAGCACCGATGTTTACGCCTTTGGGTTGCTTATGCTTGAAGTAGTTTGTGGTAGGAGGCTGATTGAGCGACGTGAAGCAGAAAATGAAGAAGTTCTTGTGGATTGGATCTTAGAGCTTTGGGAAATTGGGAAAATTTTCGAAGCGAGTGAGGAAAGTATACGTCAAGAACAAAACAGGGCACAACTGGAGCTAGTTTTGAAGCTAGGTGTGTTGTGCTCGCATCAAGCTGCGTCAGTTAGACCAGCTATGAGTTCGGTTATGCGGATCTTGACTGGCGATTCTCAGCTTCCGGATAATCTTCTTGAAGTGATAACGGCTGAGAAATTGAGAGGACAACCTGAGATATCAATGGAAGTGCTACTTGATATGAATTCAATGAGTGCATTGACGATTACAAATTCTTTCATCTCCCACGGACGCTGAAACCTAAGGTAGTACTTTTTTATGAACATTTTATATTCATGTATTGTGATGAACATTTTGTATTCGATATATGTATTTTGGTAGTATTTTCACTATTTTGATGAACATTTTATATTTAAATAATCTATCCACAATAGAGAGATTCAATAGCTTTGCTTGTGGAGCCACAGTCTCCTTCAAAGTTGATTTTATAAATCTGACCTTTTTCTTATAAACAATCCATGACCATGCAACGTCTCATTGAGTAACGCCCAAGAAAACATCTTTAATCCGGTTTTGCTTCGGTTTATGAAGGCCCAATTTGAATCTTTATTGGGCATTTGGCCCATAAAACGAAAATGCGCTTCAGTGTAACATCTATTTTGATAAGTCGAGAAATAAGGGCTCCTTCAGTCTCTGCATCAACTTCCGATTATTTTCTCCGATATGAATCAGTAAAGCCTTCGACCATTTCGGATTCATCTTCAATCATGGTTTCTTCGAAATTTTAGGACTTTACTTTAGGCTTTGTTGATTCGATTTTTTAATCACAAGAAATTCCAATCCCAGGACAAACGAAGAGTGAGTTTGGTAGCAATGGCGCTGAGAGGAGTGTGGCAGCTACAGAAGCTGGTAGTGAGCTACTGTAACTGGGGAGGTAGCAGTCGAGGCATCAGGTACCAATTCTTTTCACTATTTCAATCTTTATTCACCCGATTCTTTATCAGTTCTCCTGTATCGAATTGTTTGGAAAATTTGGACCTTTGAGGTTTAGCTGTGGTGTCCAGTAATGAGTCGCTACTTACCATTCTATAGTTAGGCACTGAGCATTTTCCTCTGATCAGTCTGATGCTAATTTTGGTGGATTGTTGTTGTTGTTGTGAGACAGAGCCTTTATGGAATCAGAATTGCCTGCGCTGAGGGAGAAGAATCCGCAGCTGGAAGTGATTACTGAGCTTTCGCGAGGACAACATCCTTACTTGAAGGGCATTTACAGTATGCACAATCTTTCTCCTCTGTCTTACCTGTCAACATTACAGGCCTATAATGAATGGTTCTCTCGATATTTAGTGATATTGCATACAACTGTTGTGTAGGGAACAGAAATGAAAGGGTGGTGTGTGTGAAGAACATGGATCCTGAAGAAGTGCTTCTGAATGCAACAAGGCTTAGGAACTCTCTTGGAAGGAAAGTTGTGAAACTCAGAACTAGACACGTCACCAAACACCCCAGTGTTCAAGGCACCTGGACTACCGCCCTCAAATTCTAAGCCTTTCCGGCTAGATAGTTTGTCTATTGAGTCGAATTGAATGCTCTGCAAGTATCAGGACTCGTCGTTATCAATATTTGCAAATCCCAAAGTTGATTGTACTGTGACTTGGACGAAGATTCAAGGCTACAAAATGTTTTGCAGTTTATGCCATGTTTGAATTTTTTTCTGTCATTCATTGTCCATATGGTGAGGTCTAGAACATAACCCATTTTGCTAATTAACAGTAGTACACACTGCTCATTGTTTTCCAAGGAAAATTGCGAAATTAAAGTTGTTGGTAAAAAAAGCATTGCTTGATTGCTGTTTGAATATGCTAACCACACTTTTGTTATTGTTAATTTAATCCACAAAGGTTTTAGATAACATAGAAAATTTCTGTCTTTTTGCAATTTTTCACATGCCAAGAGATTAGGTCAGTGGTTTATGTTAGGATTAGGACTCACTCTACCCACAATAATTGCTTTTCATCTCATAAGTATGATTTATTAAATTGCTTTACGACTTGATATAAGCCATGTGTGTAAATTACAAACATTTGTTTATATGAATCTCACTAGAACGTTCGTTCCCACTATTTCAAGTTCAACTCTACTTTTACAGTTTATCATTCTTTAATGTCCTTACTTTAACTCAGTTTATGTTCTTACTTAAACTCATGAGTCATGATCATATAAATTTCACACTAAGATCAACATTCCGTAAATGAATAAATAAAGACAGAATCATAACATGTCTCGTGAATTTGAAGACTTGCAAAGAATTCTTGTTCTGTTTTTTACTCTGTTTTCACTTATCTACAACTCCAATGGCAAATTTATCCCTGAGGGATCTGCAGCTTTCAGCTCAAGCGGTTTCACCGTTTTAACGAACACCTCGAAGCATTCCTATGGTCAAGCTTTCAACAACCCATCCGTTTCCATCAAGAACTCGTCTTTCAACATCAACTTCTTCTTTGGAATCGTCCCTGAGCATAACCACCAAGGCTCAAACGGCATGGCTTTCGTGTTCTCTCCTACAAGAGGCCTTCCCGGAGCTTCCTCCGATCAATACCTCGGAATCTTCAACGAAACAAACAACGGTAAAACCTCTAACCACGTTATAGCCATCGAGTTAGATATACACAAAGACGAAGAGTTTGGAGACATTGATGATAATCATGTTGGGATTAACATTAATGGTATGAGATCTGTTGCCTCTGCTTCTGCTGGTTACTATGATGATGAAGATGGAAAGTTTCACAATCTTTCTTTGATCAGCAGAAAGGTCATGCGACTTTCGATCGTTTATAGTCAACCAGATAAACAGCTCAATGTTACTCTATCCCCTGCTGAGTTCTCTGTTCCGCCTAGAAAATCACTTTTGTCTCTAAACCAAGATCTGTCTATTTTTGGCTTCACGGCATCAACCGGATCCATTGGAGCACTTCATTATATGTTGAATATGCTAATTGCTCCAGGAGTCGACTATCCATCATTGGAGCTTATTGCAGTCCCCATCCTTCCTCCTTATCCGAAGAAACTGCATGATACAACAAGGAAGATTTTATGGGTCTGCTTAACACTGGCGGTGATCGCTGCGTTTGTCGCCTCGTGGATTGGTTTCGTCTTTTATTGGAGGCATAAGAAGGTTAAAGAGGTTATTGAGGAATGGGAGATTCAGTATGGACCTCATAGGTTTGCTTATAAGGAGCTTTTCAATGCCACAAAGGGTTTCAAGGAGAAACAACTTCTTGGAAGAGGTGGTTTTGGTCAAGTCTATAGAGGAACGCTTCCGGGTTCTGATGCAGAGATCGCTGTGAAACGAACTTCTCATGATTCAAGACAAGGTATGAGCGAGTTTCTAGCCGAGATATCAACAATTGGTCGTCTCAGACATCCGAATCTAGTCAGGCTTTTGGGGTATTGTAGGCATAAAGAACATCTCTACTTGGTTTATGACTTTATGCCTAATGGAAGCCTTGACAGGTACCTATACCGTTGCAACACGGATGAGAGTCAAGAAGGGCTTACTTGGGAGCAACGTTTCAAGATCATCAAAGATGTTGCATCTGCTCTGCTATACTTGCATCAAGAATGGGTACAGATCATCATTCATCGAGATATAAAGCCGGCTAATGTTCTACTCGATCATGAAATGAATGCGAGGCTCGGGGATTTCGGATTGGCGAAGCTGTATGATCAAGGGTTTGATCCGCAGACAACTAGAATAGCGGGAACGTTCGGGTATATCGCACCAGAGTTTCTAAGAATAGGAAGAGCAACAACAAGCACTGATGTTTACGCCTTTGGGTTGCTTATGCTTGAAGTAGTTTGTGGCAGAAGGCTGATTGAGAGACGTGTACCGGAAAAAGAACAAGTTCTTGTGGATTGGATCCTAGAGCTTTGGGAAGAAGGAGGTGACCTTCTTGATGCGGTAGAACAAAGTATACGTCAAGAACAAAACAGGGGACAACTTGAGCTTGTTTTGAAGCTTGGTTTGTTGTGTTCGCATCATGCTGAAATGGTTAGACCGGCTATGAGTTCGGTTATGCGGATCTTGAATGGCGATTCGCAGCTTCCGGATAATCTTCTTGAGGTTGTAAGAGATGAGAAATTGAGAGGATGGCCTGAGATATCAACTGAAGTACTAGTTGATGTGGATTCGTTGGTGGTACTTTGACGTTCACTGGTGAGTTTATATGTTAACCTATCTAGAGATTCAATAGCTTTGCTTTGTAGTTTGTTTAGGAACACAATCCCCTCATTGTAGTATTGTCCAAGTTCCTTCATGAAAGAGACCACAGTCTCGTCAGAGCTAACTCACTTGATTCAGAGAGCTTTCATCAATTCTTACGTTGTCGTTTACTTTTCTTTCTCTTCTTCAGACATTTACCACAATTCAGACTTCTTCAGTGGGTTGAGTTCTACTGTATTAATCTTTCATAAAAAGGAATTATTATTGTTGTAAATGGTCGCATGTTTCTCCCTCGCTCAAAATGCAAGACACATACAAAAAGAAAATTTGATGTGTAAAATGCCATGGAAACATAATTTGAAACTTCGAATAATGAGAGCAACGTTTTATATTTTTTTTTTCAAATAATTGGACGAAAATCGTTATTATAATTACAGACAAATACAGTAGACGTGCTTATACATGTTCCAATAATTAGGCCATCAAAAGTGGCGGCAAAGTTGACAACATATTATATTTGTTAAACTAAAACCTTTATGATTTAGTAAAGCCAATGATAAAGCAAGCACATGGTGACATGGCTATATCTCACTAATTCTCTGTATCGATTCAGAACTCAAGAGCTCTGACTTTTGGGCTAATTCAATTTATTTGAAAACTAGCCAATCAAGTAATAATAATTTTTCAAACTAATTGTTCACAAATTTTTATACTACTAATTTGAGTGTCTAAACTGAAAAGTAGGATTCTTTTGTTGAAGCACGGCAAGCACTAAACACTAAACTAAAGACTCGTAGTCAGTTTTCCACTCCTCTAGAACATTACAATTATATACACATATCAATCAACTCCTCGAGAAAATTATATTCGTTTTGATCGTACCCACATTGAACAAAACTTATAGGCACGAAACATGTTTTAACTGAAAATTATTGAACACCAGAAAAAGTTATATTAAAAAAAACTTTAATAGGTCGAAGATGTTCCCTAAATGTAAAACACATTTGTATAAGAGAGTGAATTCAGTATTGTGAGATAAAATGGTAAAAAAATTGTTCATGATTCCTTGATAACATACGAAGCAATACAATTAATTGCTACCTAATACATTAATAGCAAACTTTTCTGTTAAGACTTCTTGACAAAAACCTCTTAACCTTTTGAGTTAGCATTGTATATTCACTTCGCCAAAACTTCTTGCATCACACACGACCGATGATCTCAGATAAACTTACAAAAATCATTTTTTGGCCATCTAAAACGTTTAAAAGGGACATGTAAACTAATAGTCAAATATTCAAAACCTATAAGGTGTGGACACTTAATACCTATGGACTTTACAGTTACATATTCTAAAATTTTACACTGTTCGGCATTGTATGCACGAGTTCTTGCCTTGTTGGATATTTTATTATAACACATATTTTATTCTTGTTAATTTCTGACACCGTCACACACAAAACACAACCATAAATGTTATGTAAGTATAATATCAAAACGCATGTGTTCAGATCCAAGTCTATTATTAATTATATAAACCGTCATCTTGTGATTATATAAATCATATATACAAACCATATATACAATCCCCTCATCAAGTCGTCGTTAGCATCAAGATCATTTAACCCTTTAGCTTTCAAAAAGCTAATAAAAATATATGGATCATCTAATTTCTCCTCTTTCTCCAACACCACCTTCAAACAGGTTCTTGGCTATCTCTAAGTTTTTATTTTTTTGGTATATATATGTAATAATTCTTCCAATAAAATTTACTTTAACTTAATTTTGATTATTAATGTGATCACTGAAGGTGGTGGTCAGAAAAAACAACGGCGGTTGTGACCGGAGCAAACAAAGGTATAGGTTTTGCGGTTGTCAAGAGGTTATTGGAGCTTGGACTAACCGTCGTCTTAACCGCCCGAAACGAGGAAAATGGAAGCCACGCCGTCGATTGTCTCCGCCGCATTGGTTTTCGAAACGTTCGTTTCTTTTGTCTCGACGTCTCCGATCCTCCATCCATTGCCACCTTCGTCTCCTGGTTCCGTCTCAACTTTGGAGTACTCGACATTCTGGTATTTTTAGACTTTTATGGTGATGATCATCCGCAATAACATTTTAGGTTTAGGAACTAACACGGCGTCGTTTCCGTCAGGTGAACAACGCCGCCGTTTCGTTTAACGAGGTCGGCGATAATTCAATCAAAAAGCCAGAGACCACAATCAAGACCAACTACTACGGTGCTAAGCTTTTAACGGAGGCGCTCTTGCCGTTATTTAGCCGTTCGGTCTCCGTTAGCCGCATTCTTAACATTAGTTCAAGGCTTGGTGCATTAAACGTAAGAAAAATCCTTTCTTACTACAATACGTGTATATAGTTGTATAAATTTATAGCTTTTGTATATACAGTACCAAGAGAGGTTAGTATAAAAAAATGATACTCAAATTTGATCCACTCACTAACTTTTTTATCATGTTACATGCATTGACTTTTAGGTGTGGTTTTAGATATTCAAAGTTTGTATTATAAATTCACGTATACATATAAATTTGAAATTCATAGTCGAATTCACCGTCAATAATAATACTACTATTTATTTTTGCTCATGATTTCGACATGTTTCTTGCATACAGAAACTAAGAAACCCTAGTATACGACAAACCCTAGAAGATGAAAGCCTCACCTACGAACAAATCGACGCGACGGTGAATCTATTTCTAGATGAGGTAAAGAGTGGAAACTGGGAGAAGCAAGGATGGCCGGAGAATTGGGCGGACTACGCGGTCTCTAAAATGGCCTTGAACGCTTACTCTAGAGTTTTGGCTCGACATAACGACGGCAAGAAACTAAGTGTGAATTGCTTCTGCCCTGGTTTCACTCGCACGTCTATGACCGGTGGTCAGGGGACTCACACGGCGGACGAAGCTGCTGCAACCGTCGCCAAGTTGGTGTTGCTTCCTCCGGAGAATCTGACCTCCGGCAAGTTTTATATATGCTCACATCAGAAGAAAATTATTTCCAAGTTGTGATTTTGGTATAGTTTTTAATTTTTTATACACCTATACGCATATATAGACCATTATCATTGTTATTATTTACTCCGTAGTTGTTAGTTGTTACTAGAGCAAAATAAAAGTCGCACAGTTGGTACAAAATAATATATTAAATTGTGTTTACATTTGTTTATATCGTGATATGTAACATACTAACATGCATGTTTGATTAGGGTGTGATTTATTTTGGTTTAATATAGAGTTAGGTTCCGTTTGGTTCAATCAGTCGAATCAATTCATGAATTTAGAAATCCTATTAACTTTAGTTTAACTTAAACGTAAATGTTTATGTACCGTCAAACATCTCAATATTTTTTATCAAGATCAGCATGTTTCGAGCATTTCCATAATATAAGAGCATCTCCATCCCTAAAACCATGTTTTTGTTCTAAACAATTTTTTATAATTAATTTTCACACAAATCAAGTTAACAAACTTTTTGTGGTTTCTTAGTTCTTTCTTCCTCCATCCCTAAAACTTTTCATTTGGTTCTTAACAAATAAAAAGAAAAAAACTACAAATTTGATAATTTGGAACATAAAACATAAAAAACATAAAATATATTGCATTTAATAAAATTTGAAACATAGAATGACATACAAAATATTTGATTACAAATTTGGAAATTAAAACAGAATATAACTAGTTTCCATTCGGACGATGCTTATGGTATACATGCTCAATCAAATCCGCTTTCAATTGTTCGTGTTTCATTAAATCACGAATTTGATTTCGATTGGCCATCATACTATCGATATCTTGAACTGTATCCATATCGGTAAAGACCGGATTCTCCACTTGTGAAGTACTTCCTCCTCCTTGCTGGAATTCAAATACATTAACTAGATTGTTGTATCCATCCCGTTCATCTTCAACTATCATATTATGTAGTATAATACATGCTCTCATAATTTTTCCGACTTTTTCCTTATCCCAAAAAAGAGCCGGGTTTTTGATGATGGCAAATCGAGCTTGCAAGACTCCAAAAGCTCGTTCCACATCTTTCCGGAAATGTTCTTGATATTCAGCATATACCGATGCTTTGGGATCTTGTGGAACTTGAATTGCTGGCATAAAAGTTGCCCATTTAGGATAAATACCATCTGTGAGATAGTAAGGCAACTTATATTTTCGCCCATTGACATAGTAACTGACTGGCGGAGCTCGACCTTGTAAAATATCATCGAAAACGGGTGAACGATCTAGAACATTGATATCGTTTAAGGTACCTGGACATCCAAAAAACGCATGCCAAATCCAAAGATCATGTGAAGCTACAGCCTCTAAGACAATTGTTGGTTTTGCAGAGCCACGTGTATATTGTCCTGCCCAAGCGATTGGGCAATTCTTCCACTCCCAATGCATACAGTCAATGCTCCCTATCATCCCGGGAAATCCACGTGCCTCTCCGACGTCAAGTAGCCGTTTAAGATCATCTTTTGTGGGTCGTCTTAGATACTTATCCCCGTACAAGGATATGATGGCATCCACGAAATTTTCCACGCATAACAATACCGTACTTTCAGCGATCCGAAGGTATTCGTCGAACTTGTCAGCTGAACAACCATATGCCAACATACGGATAGCTGCTGTGCACTTTTGTAGTCCGGTATGACTAGTTCTTCCCAAACCATCCGGTCGTGTTTTGAAGAACTTAACGTGAGTGGAGAGTTTTTCAACTATTTTCTCGAATAAGGACTTGTTCATTCTGAAACGTCGACGGAACATATACGCCGGGTATGTGGCATCTTCGGCGAAATAATCTTTGAATAATTGTTCATGGCCTTCCTCGCGGTTTCTTTCTATATATATTTTTTTCTTCTTCTCCTTTCTAGGCTGACCATATCCATGGGTTGCTTGCTCAAAGATTTGATCCCATGCTTTGTCAGATTCTTGATCGTAAGGATCATAGTGATCATGAAGAGAGAAGTGATGATTAGAAGGAGAACCCATAAGCTTGGTAAATACTATAAACTTGGGTTTTAGTTTGAGTAGTTTGGATTTGGGTTTTATTTTGAGTAGTTTGGATTTGGGTTTTTATTAAAGTAGTTTGGATTTGCAAGAAGAGAGTAGAAGAGGGTTTTAGTTTGAGTAGTTTGGATTTGCAAGAAGAGGGTTTTTGTTGGTTTGGCTTTGCATCAACAAGGATCAAGCCCTTTTGATGTTGTCGTAACAAAAAAAGAGAATAAATGTGAACAAGAAGCAACTCCAAAATATGAACAAAAAAGAAGAACAAGAGGAGAAATTTTACAAGGTTGTTGGTTTTGAATGAGTGAAGAACACTTCAATATATACAACTTTTGGAACGCAAGAAAACAACAAGAACAACAGAAAAGTCATGTGAGCAAACAGAGTAAAGAAGAAAAGAAAAACACGTGAAGCTTTGTCCCCTTGGAGTAAAAGCTTTGTCTCTTTCATTTGTCTCCTGCTTTCACGTGAGTAAGCTTTGTGTCTTTACTCACGTTCCATTACCCCAATAGTCTAGCTTGTCTGAAACAAAGATTAGTAAATAAGCCATAAGCAACAATGAAAGAGGAGAACTAATCCTAAGACAAAACCACAAAACTAATCTATTCATTTAATTAATAACACAAGAAACGCTAAGTATCAACTTCAGCAATGTAACTATAAACTTTGATTCAGGAAATCAAGAACAAGATCCATAACTAATCCAAAGACAAAACCAGAGATACTAGACCCTAAAAGTTTGACAACCAAATTTGTTTTCACACGTCCGCAAGAAATTAAAGTCTTCAAGCTCAAAATTTACTTAGATCACAATAACATTTGCCAACTGTCTAAGAGAATCAATTTTTTTCGCCAACCCATTTATCAGAATTTTACAAGCACCATAACTAATCCAAAGACAAAACCAGAGATAAGTTAAAAAACCTGAGAGACGTGGCTGCCTTCCATCCAAGTCCATCTTCATGTGTGTCTTTGAACATGTGTATCTCGTTGAACATTTAACTTGCAACCAAAACCAATCAAGAAACAAACCAATTTTAATAAGTTAATCACTTGTCAAATTAAAACCGAACAAGGAAAACATGTTTATATCATTAGATGGTACAAAACACATGAAAATCCGGAAACACTTATTATCCGAAGAAAGGAAAGACAAATTACAAAGGGAAAATGTTTTCCAAACTCAAAACTAGCTTACTGAAGACATGAAAAACCAAATTTAAGTTAAGAGAACATGAAAAATATAGAAGCCGAACTTAATTAAACACATGAAAATCCTAGAAAACACATAGAAGCTAATCTAACAGCATGAAATCGAGTAGCTTCTCCTTGAGAGCAATCTCTTTCTCACTAAGTGGTTCCTTTTTAGCTAGCAGACTATCTAGAACTGCATGCTTCGACAGCCTTTGCCTCATGGCTAAGTCTTGCTTCCTCTCAGCGGACATGCTCTCGTATTGCTCAACAGAAATAGTTTCACTTCCTTTTGTGCCCTTCTTAGCTTTCGCTTTTGATGCTTTCACTCCCATAGGCCGAGCCATGGCTTCATTCACATCCTCTAAAACTACTGGCGAGCTTACATCACCTCTAAGTCTCTTCGAACTCCCACCGGTTTTTGTATTGTACATTTCACACCATTTCTGGTCATTACGAAGCAGTTTCCAAGCATACTCCAGTGTGAAGGCGCTGTGGTGATCGTTGTCAAAGATCTGGTGAGCCAGCTTCAGAGTGTCGTTTTCGTTTTGACCATTGCTTTTCTGAGATTTGGCAGCCTCGTAGGCACCAACAAACTTGCAAACCAAGCCATTTATCTTCTGCCACCTCTGCTTCAGGACTGTATGATCTCTTGGTTGAAGTCCAGCCATATTAGGACTTGAGTTGAAGAAGACAGTGATACGTTTCCAAAACGTTCCTGCTTTCTGTTGTTTTCCAGTGATAGGATCCTTGCTTGTGTTTAGCCAGGCGCTGATGAGGACACTATCTTCTCCTGAACCCCACTTTCTTCTGACTCTACGCTCCTTATCAGTCTCTTCCTCTACCACCGGAGCATGAGGCGACTGAGAGTAAAATGGATCTTCGGCTGAGCCTAGATCTATGCCTTGAGAGAAGCCACTCGCCTGGCTTGTTAGAAGGTCTGTGTAGCTGGTTCCATAACTAAATGGGTTTGTGGAGTCCATTTCCGGATGAAGGAGAATGGAACGGAAAAGAAACGGCACGAAAGAGAGTAGAGAAGATCACGAGAAGGAAACGGAAAATGAGCGAGAAGGAAGTTGGTATGTGTTTTCAAAGAGGATCAACTTCTTGATTATAAAGAAAAGAAAACGCAATCAACAAAAAACACAACACACATCATTACACAACTCATCAATGAACTACAACCACAATAATCTTGTCGCATTAAAGAGTTACTTTCAACCACAATAATCACATCGCATTAAACTAACCTACACAACTAGTTATCTACCAAATAAGACATCAATGAAACCAAACCAAAACAATGCATAACCAGAATATGAGTCAATTACGAAAATGACAAAACCATTTTCATTTAATGATACCGTAACTAAGCAAACAATGAAATCAAATGCAACTAACCTAAACTTCTAGTTAGCTACCAGAGACAAAGAAACTATAACTAAGTAATGAAATCCACAAGGTCGCATAACCATAAACTTTAATGATCTTCCACCTAACAACTAACACACATCATATCAACTATTTTACAATTTGAAGAAGACAAAAACGATTTTACACACATCATATCAACCATTTAATGAAAAGGCAACAGAGCAAAAATGATTTCACATAAGTTGCATAGAGAACACTACAAACAGAACCTATCATCTACTCAGTTAAGAACACTACAAAGAGGAACAAAGATTACCTATGAATCTTTGATGGTCTATCCTTCCATTTTGCTGCTCGCCTCAAAGCTTATGCTACCACCAGCCAATGAGCCTTGCACCTAACCATAGAAATACATTCAAATGTCAAAACCAAATCAAAATAATAAATACTATGATAAGCTCGTGAAAAAGAGCTCAAATACATCCAAATACTATAATAAATACATCCAAATGTCAAAACCAAATCAAGAACATAAATACTATGATGAGCTCGTGAAAAAGAGCTCAAATTATTCACCAAATTAATCGAATTAAACTTCCACACAAGTAAGAGAATACAATTACTTGCATCAAACAATCTCAACCAAACACAAACAAAAGCTATATTTTCAAGGTCTAAAGGGGCGAAAAACACAATCAATTGCATATATTTTCAAGTTAAAATCTCAAGAGCCAAAATCAGACAGTTCAAAACGAAAACACATACATGCAAACCCAATTTTTCATCGATAAGAGAAGAGAGAAGAGACTTAGCTTCTCGGATCGGCGTCCAGTGAGATCCACAACCGCAGAAGAAGCGACGCCTTGCTCAGACCGTCGACGGTGTAGCAGAAGAAAATAATCGCGACCGGAAATCTCTTGGTGGAAGAGAAACAGAGAGATATGGACAGAGAGAGTGAGATTCGTGGCAGGGCACAAAGGTTAGCCATACGCGGCGAGAAAAGAGGGAAACCGAGATCATCTTTTCCGATCGGAAAGCGCTGATTGACCATTGACGGAGGGATCATCATCGATTCGATTCGGTCGAGAGAACGAGAGAGAAGTCGAACGACCAAGAGAAAGCGAGAGAAATTTGAGTTTTCTATTTTGTTTTTTTTCTAAATGCCACATTAATCTCCTTTCGACGTGTGTCGGGTTATAAACCATGAAATAAATCGTTCAGCTTGACTTGGATTTTACGTCTTCCACAGTAATGAGTTTAAGGGCCCGGACCCATATTGATTCGAAATATGGCCCATTTTGAAATGGCCCATATCACGAACACGAGCTTCGATTTCGTCGGTTTGACAAATAATGAAATTAGGGCTTCTTCTTCCTCCGCAGCCGCTACTGTTTCTCCTATATAAAGGAGTAAAGGCGTCGACTTTCAGAATCATCATCTCCAAGTTCGATTTCTAGTCTTAGTTTGCTTCTTTATCTTCTAGGTTGTTTAGATCTTCTTTCAACGCTTAGTAGAGTTTCCATCGGGTTTGGTAGTTTTGTTTTGAAATCAAGTTTGAAAAATGAGAAAGCCAATTTGCAGAGCAATGACGTCAAAATAAGAATGGCGTGAGTTGCCTTGAAGGTTGGCAATAACAAAAAGCGATTCTCCGTGCCTATCAAGTTCTTTCATATTGATCGTGGCCTCGAACAAGTCGCTACATTCCTTTGTTTTTACCAAATCATCTTTTTTTCATACGTTTTTAAAGATCTGACTTTTACGAATTTGAATATTTTTTCAATCCGATCAACCTTTAAAGTTATTTGATTTAATATTAGGATCCACAAGAATACCTTTTAGGTTTGAATTTGGATATTTTCAGACTATTGAATTAATAGTTCAAGGGGAAAATTAAAATCTAAATCTCATGAATTACGTATCATTTTAGTCTAGCCTGTGATTCCTGAATTGATTTTAACATAAAAAAATGTTACTGGATATAAAATTTAATGCAAGTACAAATTTTGGAGTGAAAAAGTTGCTGAACAGAGTTTAGTTGTAGCAGATTTGTACTGAAAAGCCAAGTAAACGTAGACTAAACTTACCTCAACTAAAGCAACTGTACAGAGAAGACATACATGACGCTAAAAAAAGACAAGTGGATCATATAACGTTTGAAGGAGACTGTGTGGTCGAGTTCTTGTGTATACCCTTGAAAAATACAATTGGCTATGTGCTGCTCCTATACATGAGTCAATTAATTTGGCAAACCTTCAGCGTCCATGTGAGACTAAAGAATCTGTAAACGTCGTTGAGCCCAAAGAATTGACATCAAATAGCAATTCCATTGACGTCTCAGGCCATCCTCTCAGTTTCTCATCTCTAACAACATCAAGAAGATTATCCGGAAGCTGTGAATCGCCATTCAAGATCCGCATAACCGAACTCATAGCTGGTCTAACCGATCAGCTTGATGCGAGCACAACACACCAAGCTTCAAAACAAGCTCAAGTTGTCCCCTGTTTTGTTCTTGACGTATACTTTCTTCACCGCTTCAAAATGTTTCTCCTTTTCCCAAAGCCTCAGATCCAATCCACAAGAACTTCTTCTTTTTCCGCTCACGTCTCTCAATCAGCCTCCTGCCACAAACTACTTCAAGCATAACCAACCCAAAGCGTAAACATCAGTGCTTGTTGTTGCTCTTCCTGTTCTTAGAAACTCTGGTGCAATATACCCGAACGTTCCCGCTACTTTAGATGTCTGAGGATCAAACCCTTGATCATACAGCTTCGCCAATCCGAAATCCCCGAGCCTCGCATTCATTTCGGTCTATAGTACATTAGCCGGTTTGATATCTCGATGAATGATGACTTGTACCCATTCTTGATGCAAGTATAGCAGAGCAGATGCAACATTCTTGATGATCTTGAAACGTTGCTCCCAAGTAAGCCCTTCTTCATTCTCTGTTGTTACGGTAAAGATACTTGTCAAGGCTTCCATTAGGCATAAAGTCATAAACCAAGTAGAGATGTTCTTTATGCCTACAATACCCCAAAAGCCTGACCAGATTCGGATGTCTGAGACGACCAATGGTTGATATCTCAGCTAGAAACTCGCTCATACCTTGTCTTGAATCATGAGAAGTCCGTTTCACAGCGATCTCTGCATCAGAACCCGGAAGTGTTCCTTTAAAGACTTGACCAAAACCACCTCTTCCAAGAAGCTGTTTCTCCTTGAAACCCTTGTGGCATTGAAAAGCTCCTTATAAGCAAACCTATGAGGTCCATACTGAATCTCCCATTCCTCAAGAACCTCTTTAACCTTCTTATGCCTCAAATAGAAGAAAAAACCAATCCACGATGCAACAAAAGCAGCGATCACGGATACAGTTAAGCAGACTGCTAAAATCGTCCTTGTTCTGTGAGATGCTTTCTTTGGATAAGGAGGAAGGATTGGTTGTGTAGCAAACTCCAATCTCGGATACTGAACTTCTCCGTTGACAAACCAACCAATCATGTAATGGATCGCTCCAACGGATCCAGTAGAAGCCGTGAATCCAAGATACCTCTTCTCAAGAAAATACGGAGAGAGATCTTGTTTCAAAGACAAAAGTGGCTTACGAGGAGGCACAGAGAACTCAGCAGGGAGTAGAGTAACATTGAGCTGTTTCTCAGGTTGACTATAAACGATGGAAAGTCGCATTACCTTTCTGCTGATCAAAGAAAGATTGTGAAACTTTCCATCTTTATCATCATAGTAACCAGCAGAAGCAGAGGCAACAGATCTCATACCGTTAATGTTAATCCCAACGTGATTATCATCAATATCTCCAAACTCTTCGTCTTTGTGTATATCTAACTCGATAGCTATCACGTTGTTCGAGTCTTTACCGTTGTTTGTTGCGTTGAAGATTCCGAGGTATTGATCGGAGGAAGCTCCGGGAAGGCCTCTTGTGGGAGAGATGACGAAAGCCATGCCGTGTGAGCCACGCCGGTTATGCTCAGGGACGATTGCGAAGAAGAAGTTGACTGAGAAAGATGTTGTGACACCTGTGGATGAGTTCGTGATTGAAACTGTTTCGCTGTCGAAAGCTTGACCGTATGCGTGTTTTGTCGTGTTGGTTAAAGTGAAGTAACCATTGAAGCCGATTCCTACGGATCCTTTTGAGACGAAGTAGGCATGAGAATTGTAAAACAGAGCAAGGAACAGAACAAGAATTGCTTGAAAGCGAATAATATGTTCACGAGACATTTCTTGTTTATTTTTCTTTTTTGGTTTGTGGAAGGAAAAGATATTTGACGATATTAGCATCTGTTGAGTGTTAACAAGAAACACTGAAAAGTCAACTGTTTGACTTTCAGGGCATTGGTCAAAATTGGCAACAAGGAAATTTTGGTGATAACGAATAAACTATCACAACCAAGTTTTGAGGTATCATCCTCTGTTTTTGTTTTTTGCTTTTATTATATTACAAAAAAAAGCACTCAAAATCATCACTCTCATAAACTGAAGACAAAAAAAAAACAAATCAAAGAAGAATCAACTGAGAAACAAAATCAAAAACCAAAAAAAGAGAGTCAAAGTTACAAATCACGCAAATCTGTTAAAAGATCTCCTTCCAAATGTTGCAGGCATCGAGACAGTGGAATCAATACTCGAATTTCCTACGGATTTAAGTGTCTTCTGCTTCTCAAGCATCACAGCACCAGAAGAAGAACCTGGACGTTTGCTGTTGCTGTTACTGCTCATGAACAAAGACCCTTTGTTCCATCTGAACGAACCAAACGACATCCGTCTCTTCTCATTGTTGGTACTGACCTGTGTACTTTCCACTCTTTCCTTTGGATTGCTGTGTGCTCTCAGCTTTGCTTTAGCTGAGACCGTTGGAGCCATGTAGCTTGGAGCTGAGAATGGAGGACAGCTTGTGAGGCTATCATCATCTTTGAAAAGAGAATCTTGTGAGCCTCTTCCTCCTCCTCGCGAGTATCTTGAGAGGCTATTGTACGGCTGCGGAGTATGAATGGGTCTAGAGGGAGTGAGGAATCTTGATGAATTTGGTGTAGAAATGTCGAAACTGTTGCTGAGCCTGAAATGTTTTTGGTTGCTGCTAGTTTGAGGTTTATGGTTAGGGCTTGGTCGTGTTCGTGTTAGCCTGAAAGGTTGGTTTTGGTTCTTCTGCCGGTCCACCCAGTTCCACCAAAGTGGGAAACCATTTGATCTAATGTCAAGACCAGACTTTGGACTGTCTTTCCACAACTGGTGTGAATATGCATAAGCCATGGACCGTTCTCTTTTGATCAATGCATCAATCTTCCTATGAAGTCTCGCTTCTTTCTCTTCCTTTGTTAGCACGCTATCGTCCCAATCCTCAGACTGCAAGAAAGAAACAATAATGTTTCCAAATGAGAGAGCTCTCTCTTAGTGGAAAAATCAAAGATTAATCATGAAGGCACTTACTGCAAGGCTAGAGGCTAATTTGGTGTCGTCTTTTTCGTTCCTTGCTCTGTTTTCAAGCATTTGGATGCGACGTGACTGGACTTGTGTTTGAACACGGACTAAAAGCTGCATATACTTCATAGCATTCATTGTTTGACGCTTCACGCTGTGTCCTCTAACCACTCCTTGAAGCCTAACTAGACCTTTCAAAGCTCTGAAACTCATCCTTGCCTAACAAGCAAACCATTTTACATCTCCTAAATTATGGATGCTTGTTGTGAATTATGGTGACAGAAAAGAATCAAGGAATGTTTTACGTTATTATTACCATGTAACCTCTAAAAGCTGCTTGAATCTTTACTGCAGAAGCTTTTTTGACAAGTAGAGTTGGCTCTGGTCTATGCACAAACTCACGCCGCTGAACAATCCTTGGAGAAGGAGGTTTCGGAGAAGGTGGTCGAGAGGAAGTAGTTCTTGGCGAAATTGGTCTTGGAGAAGCGACATATCTTTGAGAAGACGCTTTAGGAGAAGCAGGCCTAACAAGAGAAGATGGAGCAGAGGTTATTGATGGCTTTGCAAGATCCGTGAGAGTTGGTGGTCTGAAGACAAGGTTATGCTCTCGTTCGGCTTCACCCAAGATCTTTTCGATACTGCTAGGTTGTCTGAAACTTGTAAGAAATGTATTGTTTTCTCCATTCTTTAGCTTCTTCCCAAAACTTTTCTTCTTCTTTTCTTTGTTGCTCTTACTCTCTTGTTCTTGCTGTCAAGTCATAAAACCAAAAACACCAACTTCAATCATCATTTCAGTTTTTATGAAATCAAGAAAAGATTCTTACGTTGCTACTTAGTTGTTTCTCTTTGGAATGTGGTGTGAAAGCCCTTTTGATTGCAGAAAACCAGCTTCCTTTCTTCCCCATTTTTCGAACATTACTTTCCTTTTAACAGCTAATAACATCAAAACAGAACATAAACATTTCGAAGCTTTTCTTGATTTTAATTCCATAGGAAGTGTTGCTTACTTACTTTGTATGTATGACTTCAAGAAGTAACGCTTAATGAAGTCCAAGTTTTGGAATTACGGCGCATGTTAGCATGATTGCTCACCAAGTATGAACAGCTTCAACGACAAAAACGCCTGCAACGTGATTTATAATGAAGCAGCAGTTGCAGTTTCGGACAAAAGGAACAAAAACAAACAAAAATTGCAAAGAACTCGAACAAATGAAGACAAGAGGAAACTGCCAGAAAACAAAGATTTGAAGTTGTTGAGCTTTCATGAAAAAAGGATAGGTTTTTTTTTTTTAACTTTTAAGAAAACTTGAATCGAACTCTATCATACTAGGCCAGATTAGGTGAGCTGATTAAGTCACATAAACAGACAGATTGGATAATTTATTAAGGCAGACATTAGTAGTATTATTGATTTTGTTTGGAAAATTGCCCCATATTAAACCTAGAAAATGGTCCTAGAGAACAACAACTTAAACAAGAAGTAGATCAGTGAGACTAACAAAAACAAATTAGACAGATTATACACAATTCTGTGATTTTAACAAAAAGATATAACTTTTTTCCGAAAACCAAGAAGCAAAAAAGAAAAACACTCATTGAGATAATCACAAGCAACATGAATCACTTACATTGATCCTCGGTTTTCTCAAAGAAGCAAAGTAACAGATAAAAAGCTGTTCCTAAATAACACAGAGAAAAAGAAACAGCCAGAGAAGAAAGAGTATTGTCTATTGATTTCCTTTCTTCTTCTTCTTATTTTCCCTTTCTAACTTTTTCTTTCTTTTCTTTAAAAATGTTGGGTTCTGGAGGTTAAACTACTTTGATTTTGTAGGAAAAGTGAGCAACTTTGATTCTTGGTCTAGCTGGTATGGAAGAAATTTAAAACCTTTTTCCTTTTTTTTTTTTATCTCTGACCACCTTTTGGATTAATCAAAACAATATTTTTTTAATTTTGAGATTGGATGGTACAGAGAGAATTAGTTGGCCACTTTCTCACTCAATGTTTGTTTAACTTTACTTCATTGTAAAGACAAACAAATTTAGGGTAACCAAAAACCTAGAAACCAATCTCCATTCAAATTCAACCAAAAACCGTTGATCTAATCATTAATTAGACCTAGACTTAGATGATAGATAACGAAAGCTAGTCTTAAAAGAACTAAAATTCACAACATAATTATTTAGCTTCGGATAAATTAGTTCAGACTTATGTTAAGAATAATAAATTTGGACCAAAACGGTTAGGTTAGGTAGAGGGATTTTGTCGTATAATCTGGAGTCACAAAGGTACATTTCGGACTCCTTACCCCTTCCGGTTCCCAAATTTGGTCCATTTGATGTTCCTCCCTTGGCTTGAGACCGTTTCAGTCATGTTTGTCCTCATAGTCATGTGTAGAAGCTATTAATCCATGTTTGGGTAAGTATGGAACTATTTAGTTCATCTTATACACTACAAGTGAGTTTCCTCAATCTGGAGTCACAGAGGTACATTTCGGACTCCTTACCTCTTCCTGTTCCCAAATTAGGTCCATTTGATGTTCCTCCCTTGGATTGAGACCGTTTCAGTCATGTTTGTCCTCATAGTCATGTTTAGAAGCTATTAATCCATGTTTGGGTACGTATGGAACAATCTAGTTTCATCTTATACACTACAAGTGAGTTTCCTCAATATGGAGTCACAGAGGTACATTTCGGACTCCTTACCTCTTCCGGTTCCCAAATTAGGTCCATTTGATGTTCCTCCCTTGGATTGAGACCGTTTGAGTCATGTTTGTCCTCATAGTCATGTGTAGAAGCTATTAATCCATGTTTGGGTAAGTATGGACCAATCTAGTTCATCTTATACACTACAAGTGAGTTTCCACAATGTGGAGTCACAGAGGTACATTTCGGACTCCTTACCTCTTCCGGTTCCCAAATTTGGTCCATTTGATGTTCCCCTTGGATTGAGACCGTTTCACTCATGTTTGTCCTCATAGTCATGTTTAGAAGCTATTAATCCATGTTTGGGTAAGTATGGGTCCATCTAGTTCATCTTATACACTACAAGTGAGTTTCCACAATGTGGAGTCACAGAGGTACATTTTGGACTCCTTACCTCTTCCGGTTCCTAAATTAGGTCCATTTGATGTTCCTCCCTTGTTTTGGGACCGTTTCACTCATGTTTGTCCTCATAGTCATGTGTAGAAGCTATTAATCCATGTTTGAGTAAGTATGGGTCCATCTAATTCATATTATACACTACAAGTGAGTTTCTACAATGTGGAGTCACAGAGGTACATTTCGGACTCCTTACCTCTACTGGGTCCCAAATTAGGTCCATTTGATGTTCCTCGCTTGGATTGAGACCGTTTCAGTCATGTTTGTCCTCATAGTCATGTGTAGAAGCTATTAATCCATGTTTGGGTAAGATGAAGAAAAATATGATCTTGCGGTTTTATATGGTGAAATGTTTTTACTGCATCCGGTACGTTTGAATGCATTAATGAAACTCTGTTCAGTACACTCGCTATATATGATCGATCTAAACATTTTATCTAAAAAGTTATTGCTTTCGTCAGTTAAAAGTACTTAATTAGTTGAAACTAATTGGGAAGAGGATTTACAAACAAAGTTTATATTTCTAAGAAACCATGAACTAAAAAGAAATGAATTATTAAATCTGTTTACATAATTTTGTTTTTCCAATGCTTAGAGGATAACCTGGATTGATTTACAAATGTTTACTAACCGGAGACATGAGGAAATGCTGAGCCTAAATCATATGATGTCAGACATTTCATGAGAGACCCAAACTTAGTTACGTTGAGTGCCTTCCAAGCTAAGCTAAACAAACATGTAATGTTTTCTTATCCAACTACTATAACTCAATATACTTTAATGTTTCATGTATGTACAGATGCCTGCATGCAACAAAATTAGATTACATTGACATCTTTATTTAATCAATTAAATACACATCCATATACAATGCAAGAAGAGATGTTGACTTATTTTTTAAACCTGATTATATTCCTGACCAAGAGAACGATTACAGAACCAACGACTCTTCAAGCTTAAGCATCCAATGAATAAACCATCAACAAAATAGTTAACCGAGTTCCACGTTGCACAGGAAACAAAACACAATTAATTAATTGATGTTTGTTGTTTCTTAAAAACCGGTAATGCTTTCATGTTTAGCTTCATCCTTCTGCTTGATTAAATTACAAAACGGCAGGCATATTTCTGGTTAATTAATTAACTCTGATTAAAAAAAGCACAATTACAAAAAAAAAAAAAAAAAAAAAAAAAAAATCAAAAGCAAAATGCCAAAATCTTCCCACTTTTTTTTTTTAATGAAAAACTTGTTCATCATCTTCAGCAATAACCATGCGACTAAGAGGACTAGGTCCAAGCTTCTTCTTCCTCCTCATCTGATGTCTCTTCCTCACAACCTCCATCTGATCTCTCCTCCTATTCTCCATCATCGCTTCCTCTTCTGCCGCCACGAATCTTCTCATCAACGCGTTCTCCTTCAACGACTTCCCTCTAAAAATCCTCCTCCCTGAATCCACGCTCATCCTCGCCGTCGCCGTCGCAACCGCCGTCTCCGTCACCATCGGAAGAGGCTTCGACGGAGGATAGCTCGAGCTCCGTCTCGGCGGGACGTAGTTACGAAACACGTCGTCGTATGGACCGATCGGAGCGCAGAGACAAACCCTAGTGAATGAGTTCGCGGCTACTTTCAGAGACGTGCATTTCCTCAGCTGGTGGTGATGATGGTTTTGAGTTTGGTGATGATGATTCGACTTGTTGACGCTAGGGCTTCGCGATGGGGATTTGGGGATTGTTCTCCAGTTCGTGGCGATTCTTGCGATCGCCATGGCTCGCTGGTACCAAGGTTTTCTGTTTGGCATAACCTTTGTGTCACGCTCACACATTTTTTTAATAAATTATTTACTGATTTAAGTTGAACTATAAAAACGGGTACAAGAATTTGTAGATGGAGATGAAGCCAAATTGATTACAAGTCCTAAATGTGTGGTAATTAGATTCCTACTTTGGGTTTGTGAAAAAAACATAAAGGAAAAGGAAATATGAATACTACTATTATCTTTGTTTTGACTTTCAACAAGGAAACAAATTAAGAGGTACTTTTATTTATTTACCAATTATGGGACCAATAACTGTTTCTCATTGATTTGTAGACAGTTGTGTTATTACAACAATCAATTTTCTGAAATTTCTGAAAAGAAAAATCAGCTATATCATGGTAAGAAAATATTGTACATGTCCTTTTTGGCTTTGCAAGTATATTTATGGTCAACAACATACATATGTTGACTAGAACCCGTTTTAGAGATTAAGCCCAATATTGGCCCAAACATGTTACAAAAGTCTAGTTATATAACACTATTTTCGATAATCAAATAATTAAATAAGATATCATCTTTTATGTCTTGTAAATCTGTAAAACAGATTTTCGTCTTAATTATCAAAGGAACCGTGTTTTGAGGGTAAAAATTGGGATTGCCAAAAATATATTAAATTATGTGTAAATGATATTAGCCCATGAGAATTCTGGTTTCCTAGTTAAGTATGGCAAGAATGAGAATGTGATACGGTCTTTATAGGACACTTTCTTTTAGAAGAAAACACCAAACAGTTAATTTAATTATGTGAGTGTTTACTAAATCCTGATTGATTTTGAAGATTTGTATTGACAACAACAAGAAATAATCCAGAACTGAGTAAGCAGTGATCGTAGGAGTGAGTTGATGTGCATACCTTGCAGGTGAGATCTTTGAATCTTGCATGAAACAGAAGAAGATGAAGAGTGAGTGAGTGAATGATTGAGAGAGAGATAGCCAAAGGATAGAGAAGGAGATGGAGATTTTTCTCATCTGCCCAATGCCAATTTTAGAGAATTTTGAGAGAGGAGAGAGAGAGTGTGATGGAGAGAGTGTGAGTTAAACAATTGACTAGCTTTTTTCCTCTTTATTTCATTCTTTAAGAGTGGCTGTTTTCTCTTCTCTCTCTTGCTTTTACAGTCATATGAGTCTTGTAGTTGTGGAGAGAGAGAGAAAGATAAGAGATTCAAATATTGTAAAGAGAAAGGTGAATGGGATTTGGTGCTTTTAATGCAATTACCATTGTCCTCATGATCCACTTTCAATGGAAGCCTTTAAGGACTTGTCTTCTCTCATCAAATCTCATATCAGCGCTTTGGTTCATATTTTGCATGTGTTATATTCATTAGAATCTAAACCGAATGGTTGTTGCCGTCTAATGATTTTGTGAACTCACATAGCCTCATAGGATGAATCCGACCAATTACAAGCTTAATTTCTTAATATGCAAATCGAATTATTCATTTTAAAATATATATTTCTCATTTGATAGTCCAAACATATGCTTATGAAATATTTTTGTTCTTTCTCCCTAATCTTTACTTGAGATCATAACCTCATACAATAGAGAATTACTAATGGGTCTCACTACTTGTATAAAATGACTACATAAAATATACGAGAATAATTAAGAAAGGGGTTAAGTGCTGGATTAATCATGTTAACCTTACGGGACCATCTTCTTTTGAATGATGATTAATATGGGCATGCATCATAGTTAGAGCATTTATTAGCTTTCACATATTTACTACATGATGAAACCATTTTCTTGTTTGGGATTATGATGTTTATCACTATTCTACTCTACTAGAATATTAAGTTTCATTGTACTAACTGAAACACGAACTATATAAGAGATGGTTTACCATCTCACTATAATCAAAATGTACTATTTGAACCTCTATATTATTAGTCAAAAGTAATATTTCTTAGTACTTCTTAGTAATCTTTTTAATAGAAAGAATAAAAATAACCATATTCGCATATCGCTAAATCTTTGATAAGTGATTGAATTAATAAAAAGAGAGGACGCTTATAGAGAATCAAAGAAGTAATAAACAATTGACTGGTATACTCAATCATGATTCTGAATTTGATATCGTGGGTGGTGTTATATCAAGAACCTCCAAAAAGCTGCTACAACATTATGATTGGTCCGGTTGGTTTTGTAAATTAATTTAGTTATTTAATACCCAACAATTATTTAAACAAACAAACTACAGTAAAGCTGAAATTTGAAGCCTTTTATAATTTTATTATTTCTTCTTCTTCTTTTTTCGGGATGATCAGAACCAGATTAATTTCCACTTGAAGTTAGAGACTTTTTGATTATAACCCACGAAGGGCACATGATAGGCCACCAATTGTACACAAAGAATCCACCTTCATATTTTCTCATCTCATAATGAATAAGCTTCCAACATAAAATCGTAAATTAGTATACAAAGATTAGACAAGAACTTGTTAGACAGTAATTTTGTGCTCTATATGACTATTCATAAACCTACAAATTTCTCTATAAAGATTTGTAAATTCCTTCATGATTTTCTCTTTTAAATGAGAAGAAACAAAAAAAGGAGATTCCAAAACACATCTATGTAGTAAGTAGTAGCGTAAGATCAAGGAAAAGAATGTTTGTTTATAATTTTCTCCTTTTTGTTTTGGTTAGTTGATTTTCCATAGCTTGTTCTGTTTTTCTTTCATGTAATAACACAAGTATACTGAAACCAATAAGATGATGCCCATCAAATATATTTCATTCAGCTAATTAAAATTCCATAAAGCATAAACCTTCAGATGTTCTTCAAGCCTGACTAAGTTTCAAAACTAGAACTGAATTCTAAAAGCTTTATAGTTTATACAAAGTTTGTGTCTTCTCTCTAACTTTTCATCAACATCAGAAAACAGAAAATAAGCTAAAGAAGAAAATGAAACGAGAAAACAAAGTTGCATGTTCTGTAAACACACAGAATCTGCAGAAAGAAATGAAGAAGAAAAAAAACACTATAAAAGGAAATGTTCAGAAACAGAAGACTGAAGTAACCAAACCGAATCTCTCTGATGCATTACCGAAGACCGAGAAATGCAAAGCCTCTTCCTGTGACCTGTGCAATCGATCTTAAGGAAAGACTGTTCATAAAAAGGCTTACTGAGTTTTTCTCTGATGAATCACTGGCTTTCAGGATCGCTGAGATGTTTCTTGCACCAAGAACTCGCTTTACGTTCTCCACCTCTTGTCCTTTTGTTTCTAGGAACAACAAGCATCTCAGAAGCTAAACATGATCTAAGAACCGAACCTTCACGGCCTAGTACCACCGAAGAAGATCTCTCTTCTTGTTCTGTTTCTTGAATTTGCTGCAGTGATGGCGCCGCACTGGTTCCTTCACCTTCCTCTGCTTTCTCACATTCTTCACGGCTACTAGTCTCCATCATATCAGCATTCATTTCTTCAGCCTCTCCATTTCGTATCAATATATTATCCAAAATCTGCATTTCGTTGCATCAGACAAACATCAAGTATAAAAGATGTTTGTAATGTAATTTGAGAATGTGAAAAAGCTTACATTTTCACATGAATCTCCAATATGAGAATGATGCAAAGTAACATCCGCATCAGCGAAAAGGCCAACAGTGCTCTCGATTATGTCAGGGATATGAAACGCGTCTCCGTAGCTTGACATCACTCCTTCCGATGAGAAAACCAAATCTCCAAGAATGTAATCTTGCATGTGCTGCGATGAGTTGTAGATTGCTCCAATGGAGATCACATCTCCTCCTCCAGCAGAACCCGTCGGGCTAGGCGCAGAACTTGCAGCAAGAAGGCTCAGATTCTCTGAGGACGAGAATCTTGCTGCGTTCTTGGACATGACAAGATCAACTTGAGATTTCAATCTATGAACCTGAGAATGCACCAGCTCGATCTTCCACAGAACCTCTTCTAAGACACTGTCTCCTTCTCGCCGATCGAAAAGTAACGAGTCGTCATCGTCTTCTAACTCTACAGCTTCCTTTGAATCAACACGTGGATCTTTTGCAGCTGCCCCATGAAACAACAAAACATTTAGTAGTCTGAAAAAGATGAGATATTATCACACAGTTTTAGTGAACATACCACCAAAGTCATCAGCCACTGACATTCCATCTGAGCTCAATCTCTTGTTCTCTGCAACAAGACATGCTCAAATCAAGACAGAGTGTTAAGGAGTTAAGAGTATGTATCACAGTCGCTTGCTTACCGATATAAGAGAAGAGGTTATGATGGGACATGTATGAAGATATATCATCAGTGTTCTCGACCTTCTTACGCTTTCTCCTCCTCTTAGCTGCTCTTTTCCTGTAGCAAGGATTGGAGAAAGGCAAAGACTTTACCCCCTCGCCACAAGTTTCCAACGCAGACGGATCAATGTTAGCTCCAAGCTTCTCTTGATCCAATGATGCAAGCTCTTTCGGGTATTCTAACGCACGAGACTCTAACTCCCTAATCCTTAACTCAACCCACTTGGATCGCCACATGAGTGGCCTGATATAGCTCCTCCAGTGGTTTGTTAGCCTTTTCTTCCTGTAAAGAGACACACAATGAAAGATAGTTAGAAGAAACATCAATAACACAATGGAGAGAAGGATTTGAGAGAAGAATAGAAAACACACCTAAAATGAAAAATGCTGCTAAATGAATCATAAGCAGGTCCTAAGTCGGTTTCATCCCAATAATGAGATTCAACCTCAGCTTCTCCGGTTAGTCCGTTAAACAACATGTCACCATTCTCAGACGCAGTGTCAGAGAACGAGCTTGAGTATTCAGTAGCGTTTGGGTCGTCCTCCTCATCATTGGTGGATATGTTGTTGTTCTCATCATCAGATTCAACTATATCAACTTCCAATTCCTCACCACCAGAGACTGAAGTCAAAGTTTCCTCACTTGTATTAGCACTGGTAAGACCACATTCTTCATGACCTCCTCCTCCTCCTCCAGGACTCTGCTCTTCCTTTGGCGATAGTTTCTCAGAATTAAATTGTTTGCTTTCTTGATTGAGCTCCATATGTGATTCAGCCATAGTCACTACAACTGATAACACATGCTTTTTATCTCACATAGGAACATATATAAGTTAAACCCCGGTTATGCTCCTTAATCAAGAACCTGGGGATTCAAAGACAATCCATATAACATTCAGAAAGAAAGTATAATGCCCCATGAAGTTGTACCCTCTAAAGTAACTAAAAATCTAGATTTTCATCAGAATTCAATGTTACTGAAACCAGACTATAGTAACAAAGCCAAAAGCAAAGACTTTCAAAGTAATCTGAGGAGAAGCAAATCAATACCCACAATATAAGTCTATCCTATGTTCGGATTTGAAGCTCTGCCTCTATCAGTAGAGGGAATCTAAAAAGCTCGAAACTTTTGAGCAACCGGGACAAAACGGACTTCAATTCAGAACAATTATGCTCAAGGAAGCTAAAAACCAATTAAAGAAGGAACCACGAAAACAACAAAAGCTATCCACACAACTAAGGATGGAGCTGGAGCTCACATGGCAAATCAAAAAGTAGTAAAGTTAAAACATTTGCAGCCAAGCTAAACAAATGAATGGGCAAAATTCATAAAGAATCAAACTTTATAGTTCCATATGAAACAGAGAATATGAGATTACCGGAGAGAAAGGGAGTGAGTGAGGTTTGCGGCGAAGAAGCGAGTAGAGAGAGGAAGAAGAAGAAAGGGAATGTGTAAAGAAGGCACTTAACAACAAAAAAAACGTCAACTGATCAAATCTATTTATACCCTCAATCAAAAAACCTAAACGGGGTCCTTCCCTCTCTATCTGTCTCCTTTGTTTTCCACGTGGCCTCTTCTGATTCGATCAAAACCACTTGTTTTAAAACCGAACCGATAAATTTAACTGAATTAATCACGCTATGGATCATTATCCGGTTTACTAGGTTTTAGCATTCAAATCTATTGTATCCTTGCATTTATAAAAAAAAAATTGTTAATCAGATACTATAAAAAAATTGAAAATATGTTTCTATAAATATTTTTTTAATAATTAAGTTATCTAATTAGATTGTAACACTTTCTTTACTATTTGTTCTTATGTTAAATATTTGTTATCCATTTCTTTAGAAACTAATACAATAGCCAAGGTCCATAATTGGTGAAATTTGAAGCTTAACCTCGATGTCCATGGCATCTCATTCACTGTTATACCTATAACTTAACCATTGGACCAATACAAAAGCTAGAAACTAATTCAAGCCATATTTTAGTTTATTAGACCAGTTTTTATCGGATTTAAAAGCAAAAAGGCTGATACAAAAATTCTTTGCGTTTGAGTATCAAAATTCCATTGATTATTTCTCTCGTTCGGAGTGAAAATTTTAATACCAAACTTAAGCCCAATTAGTTAGGCAGTTTGGTTCTGTTCAATTTGATTAGGTTCAATTTTGTCTAATGTTAAGCTTGTTAGATAGATTATTTAGTCCGACATTTTTTGGGTCAATATAAGCTTTAGTCTAAAAGTTATGACATGGTAGTTTCATCTATAACAATGGACTTATTATCGAATCGAGAAAAGTTCAGTTCAAGTAAATTAGTCTAAAATAGAAAAGTAGTTTCTCAAATACTCCTTTCTTGTTAAGTTTGTACTGAACACCTTTTTCAACGAAGAAAAATTCAAAAGATGGTAACTAAATAAAAGAAGAAAAAAGAAAAATTACATCACCGGACATCGGACAGATTTTTCATCATTTTTTTTTTGTTTCAGTTTTGAAAAGTCTTCACGCGACGGTTCTACGGTTACTGCTATTTACGTTCGGACCTTTATTTTTCCAGAACTACCCTCAAAATTCTCTCACAGTCCCTCGAGTTCTCACTTCACAGCCAGTAACTGTCTACAGTATTAAGGGTATTTCCGTAAAGTCAATATTCATAACTAAAATTTCTCAGTTTCTTTTTTCTTACAGAACCTTCTCTCTCTCCGCGATTGTCCTTTTTTTGACTCACTTCTTCTTCTTCTTCTTCTTCTTCTTTCCGGGAAATGGTGTATCTCTGTCGTTTGATCAGCCGGAGAATCTACCCATAGACCTTCTCGATTCGCGAATTTCGTTTTCTTCTTCTTCTTCTTTTCATTTAGTGGATTGATCAAGATGGTTCAGTCAGCGGTGGAGTTTCTGATACCGTCGTCGTGGGAGATTGAAGTTGCGGTGGTTGCTTCGGCTTTCGTGATCGCTTCTTATTGGCTATTCGCTTACAGAAGCGACGGAGATGACGAAGCCAGTGGTGTGGGATTTGATCGGTCTCACCTCATGCAGAATCCCGATTCCGGCGACCCCATTTTTGACAAAGACAAGGTTTTTTTATTTCTTCTTCAAATTTTTTACCTTTTTAAAAAAATTAGGCGTTTCTTTCAGTTTTCTCAGTATACAAATGCAGAGAAATCTCGTGGGTGCTTATTGAATTTGGTTTTTCTTCTCTCCCCTTTCAGTTTTCTGTGTGTGAGTAATTTCCCAATTTTTTGACTTGCAGTTGTGCACTTATTTTTGTAGATAGGACAGTTGAGAGGTGACATTCAAACAACTTCTGCATATATCATCAAGGTATCTTCTTTTGATTCATCTCCTATTCTGGAGAATTTTAAGATTACTGTATGTTGTTGGATATTCATTTTTGTTATTGTTTTTTTCTTCCAAGGTGGAACTACTGGCTGCTAAGAACCTCATTGGTGCTAACTTAAACGGAACATCAGATCCTTATGCTATTGTAAATTGTGGATCAGAAAAACGATTCAGGTTTGATAAATCTAATTTTCTGTTTTTCTTTTTTCAGTTAGTGGTTAAACCTTTGATTTTCTGATGTAAGTGTAACATATGTGCTTGTTACAGTTCTATGGTCCCTGGCTCAAGGAATCCAATGTGGGGGGAAGAGTTCAATTTTCCCACAGATGAGCTTCCTGTTAAGGTTATCATCATTTTCTACAACTTTAATATGCTTCAGGACTCTCAGTATTATCAGATACTTACCATATGCTTTGTCATGGCAGATTAATGTAACAATTCATGATTGGGATATCATTTGGAAAAGTACTGTTCTTGGCTCAGTAACTATTAACGTTGAACGTGAAGGCCAGACAGGTCCAGTGTGGCACTCATTAGATAGCCCATCTGGTCAGGTATGTGTCCTTTTCCCCTGTTTCTGTTCTTGTTTCTTCGTTAGAGGCTAACCCGGTTCTGTCTGTCAGGTTTGCCTTAATATTAATGCAATCAAATTACCTGTGAATGCTTCTAGGTAATCCCCAAGTTCTACTTCAATTTGTTCTATCATTTGAGTTAATCTTGTTTAGATTGGAGAGTGGTGTCATTGTCTTGGTCATTGGCAGGGCTATAACTGGATATGCTGGAGCCTGTAGAAGAAGGGTGACGTTGGATCAGCAAGGCCCAACAATTGTACATCAAAAGCCAGGGCCTCTGCAGACGATCTTTGATCTCCTCCCTGATGAGGTAAGTTTAACTAGTAATAACCGTATTACTGTAGTTATCTCATATGAGAGTTAAGATATAGGTATTGTGCAATGTTCCCTAGGTTGCTGAGCATAGCTATTCATGTGCCCTGGAGAGGTCATTCTTGTACCATGGCCGAATATATGTTTCTGCGTGGCACATATGTTTTCACTCCAATGTTTTCTCTAAGCAAATGAAGGTTAGTGCTTCTATAACTTGAATAACTTTAAATTCTGATCTCTACTGAACTAATGGTAAAAACACAAACACACACATTTTTTCAGGTAGTTGTACCTCTGGGAGATATAGATGAGGTACTAGTCGTTTCTTGACCACTCAGATCGTCTGTTGAGTGAAACTGATAACTTTAGTTTATACATAATGTTTGGCTGTTTATTATAGATTCGTAGAAGTCAACATGCATTGATAAATCCAGCTATAACAATCATACTACGGATGGGCGCTGGTGGACATGGTGTTCCTCCTCTTGGGACTCCTGATGGTAAGCGATTCTGTTTATTACCTCCATGCCTTTGTTTATCTTCTGCAAACACTTTCTTTGTTAGTTTTTCGCTTTACCAGCACAAGCCAGCGAGTTAATGTCCCCATTTTATGCCTGGCCTAGCCTTATAAACCTGTAGGAACAAAGCTTTTGGAATTTTCATATGTAATGGTGCTTTGTTATGTTTATGTCTCTGTGGAATTCCTTCTTTATTTCAGGTAGAGTGAGGTATAAATTTGCATCGTTTTGGAACAGGAACCATACACTAAAAGCATTGCAGCGTGCTGTTAATAATTATCACGCAATGTTAGAAGTTGAAAAGAAGGTCTCTCTCCATTTCTTGAATACATTACTCTTCCACCGCGTGTTGCCTGAAATTTAACATATTTTCATCTTTTGCCTGGCTTCTTATCTTGTAGGAGAGAGCAGAATCTGCCTTGCGTGCTCATAGTAGCTCTGTGAGAGGAGGAGGTGGTAAAGTACAAGTGAAAGCTCCTGAAGATACTGCAGCTATACCTGTAAAGTTTCAGGCTTTCGTCAAGGAAGAAGTCCTTGTCGGCGTTTACAATGTAACGATATGTCTTTTTCTTGTCAGTGCTAATAGTTGTTTAAAGATATTGTCTTGAAATTTACGTACCTTTCTCTTGTGTGAAGGATGTTTTCGCCAGCACACCTGAGCAATTCCTGAACGTCTTGTTGGCTGATGATTCCAATTACACGAATGAGTACAGATCTGCACGGAAGGATAAGAATCTTAATGTAAGCTTGGTATTTACTAGTATCTTAGATCATTAGTTAAAAGCTGCGCTTGTTAGATCCATCTTCTCTGAAACTTTGTTGTTGATCTTTCAGATTGAGCCTTGGCACACTGCTGTGGAATATGACGGTCAAGTTAGAGAGATTAAGTTCAGATCCATATGTAATAGTCCTATGTGTCCACCAGACACTGCTGTGACAGAATGGCAGCACTTTGTTCTGTCACCAGATAAGAAAATGCTGGTAAGAATGATTCAGTGCCGTCTAAGATAGTAATTTGCTAATGTTGCTTAGATCCTAAGAACAAAGAAGAATTCATATTCCATCTGATCCTGATGATACTCATATCTTTTCTTCTCTTAGGTTTTTGAAACTGTGCAGCAGCCACATGATGTTCCTTTTGGTTCTTACTTTGAGGTACGTTTCCTGTGAGTAAAGTCTGGTTCAGGTTTCGTTATCATGCTTCTTCTGAATCTTGTGTGTATCAGGTCCATTGTCGATGGCGCTTGGAAGCTAAAGAGGAGACTTCATCTGTTATAGATATAAGAGTTGGTAAGTAATTTTGGTGTCCTTCAAACTATTGAGAAACCACTTAGCCCAAAGTGTGTGTAATCGATTACAACTTGCAATGATTGATGACACATTGTATGAAGTAATTTCTTGGCTTAATGTACAGGTGTACATTTCAAGAAATGGTGCTTGATGCAATCGAAGATTAAAGCAGGAGCAATTAACGAGGTAAGTAGAAAAATACAAAACTAAACCTGCAGAATAGGTTTTGTTCTGATACATAGTTTTTTTTTTTTTTTTTGAAACTTTTACACAGTACAAGAAAGAAGTGGAAGTGATGCTCGAAGTTGCATTGTCGCATCTAAAGTCACACTCGCCCTCAAACAATGTAGACAACAACACTGCTTCGTTACCTCCAATACCAGAAGACATAAGCTAAAACCTACTTTACCAAAATCAAAAAAAGCTTCTTTGAAAACCTCCATCCTCGGTCTTCCTCAGTCTTAATATATTTCTTTTTGTGCTCTCTACATATGAAAATGTAAATTGTGGTAACTATTATTGTTGGGATGGATATTTACAGGGCTTGTCTGATTTATGGTACTTGTGAAAAATAACATTCTTTTACAATTCTCTTTGTATCGGTAAATACTAAGCAGTTTCACTATTATTTGGTATTACGTGAAAACTCCAATTTTGCAGCTTTCAATAAACAGTATTAAATCCAATTGATCGGCAAAATGAGTACTGTTCTACCATAATAAGCCCTTCTGAAATCTTATGAGAGATTCAGCTCACCACCAAAATGGGACAAGACAGACCAAATTCAAACATTGCATAAACTGCAAAACATTTTGTAGCCTTGAATCTTCGTCCAAGTCACAGTACAATCAACTTTGGGATTTGCAAATATTGATAACGACGAGTCCTGATACTTGCAGAGCATTCAATTCGACTCAATAGACAAACTATCTAGCCGGAAAGGCTTAGAATTTGAGGGCGGTAGTCCAGGTGCCTTGAACACTGGGGTGTTTGGTGACGTGTCTAGTTCTGAGTTTCACAACTTTCCTTCCAAGAGAGTTCCTAAGCCTTGTTGCATTCAGAAGCACTTCTTCAGGATCCATGTTCTTCACACACACCACCCTTTCATTTCTGTTCCCTACACAACAGTTGTATGCAATATCACTAAATATCGAGAGAACCATTCATTATAGGCCTGTAATGTTGACAGGTAAGACAGAGGAGAAAGATTGTGCATACTGTAAATGCCCTTCAAGTAAGGATGTTGTCCTCGCGAAAGCTCAGTAATCACTTCCAGCTGCGGATTCTTCTCCCTCAGCGCAGGCAATTCTGATTCCATAAAGGCTCTGTCTCACAACAACAACAACAATCCACCAAAATTAGCATCAGACTGATCAGAGGAAAATGCTCAGTGCCTAACTATAGAATGGTAAGTAGCGACTCATTACTGGACACCACAGCTAAACCTCAAAGGTCCAAATTTTCCAAACAATTCGATACAGGAGAACTGATAAAGAATCGGGTGAATAAAGATTGAAATAGTGAAAAGAATTGGTACCTGATGCCTCGACTGCTACCTCCCCAGTTACAGTAGCTCACTACCAGCTTCTGTAGCTGCCACACTCCTCTCAGCGCCATTGCTACCAAACTCACTCTTCGTTTGTCCTGGGATTGGAATTTCTTGTGATTAAAAAATCGAATCAACAAAGCAACGATCGAAGAAGAAATGATAGAACACTAAAGTAAAGCCCTAGAATTTTGAAGAAATTATGATTTGAAACTCGAATTTGAAGATGAAATCTGAGAAAGTCCAAGGCTTTACTGGTTCGTATCGGAGAAAAAGAACCAGGAGCTGCTATACTGCAGAGACTGAAGAAACCCTTATTTCTTTATCAAAATGGATGTTACACATAAGCCCATGTTCGTTATATGGGCCACAAAGCCCACTACAAATTCAAAGTGAGACTCTCAAAAACCAAACCAAAACCGGATTGTGTTGTTGCTTAACCAAATCCCCCTTCGCAAGGTTTCTACTTTCTACATACGCTCGTGTTGTTGCTTCTTCTTACATCCCAGGTTCGGGTTCAGCAACACCTTACTTGATTCCTTACCCTTTGTTTCTTTCTTTGTTTTTACATCATCACACACTATCTTGCCTTTACTTTCATGTTCGTGTATATATATCTACCAAGTGCTTTAACATTTACTTGTGAAAACATCATCAGTCGTTTACTACAAACCAATATATTTGTTGGATAACAATGGCGAGAGTAACTAGAGAAACATGGTTCAGGGTTTAAAAGGAGAAAAAAACTACCTAAATCAAAAAAGAAGGAAAAAGTTATTCACCATCTTCATTTGAATCAACATAAGATCTGAGGAGGCCGCTATCATGGCAAGTCGTAGGCGTAGTGATGATTGGTTTTTGAAGCCAGTACTTGTGATACAATCTTTGCCTCGACATACTCTCCAAGAAGCTACTCCAACTTTCCATAACTCGAGTCAGCCTAACACTCTTTGGTCGTCCAATAAGATACCTAAAGTAATCTCTCGCAAGACGCAACAACTCCTCTCCGTTGATGAGGTAAATGTACTGGCAACAACAACAAAGAGAAACAATGACTCATATACCATAACTCAAAAGTATCTTGTGTGTGGGATTGTGATTGTTGTCATTACCAGAAAGATGAAGCCTAAGGTTGCTAAAACCACTTGCAGAGTTTCATGAGCGATACCCGCAAAACCACCGTCCTCTCCTGATGAGCTTCCAGATCCATTATTCCCACCATTTCCACCGCCTCCCCTTCCTCCTCCTCCTCCTCCTCCTCGTGGAGGTGTGTTGCCATTGTTAGTGATGTAATAGTCTTTCTTTTGAATCTGCTCACGCAACAAATCTTCAACCGATCTCTTCCCTGTAGCTTTCTCAAATTCTTCCCATAGTGATGATCCCTAATGATAAAACATCATCAGTGAGCATATTCATATCGGAAGCACAAAACATAAGCCCAAATATCATCTGATCTCATCAACTACTATCAGTACACAGCACAAAAGCATCATATGAACACTACTTATCATCATCCATCAGAAACAGAACTCATTTCTGTGGCCAGATTCTTTACATGCACACAAACAAACCCAATTTGCAGCAATCTAAAGATTCAATTCTCAGCATTCTATGATTTAACAAGCAAAAACAAGCATATTACCTCAGGACTAAGATCAAGATTATCCTTCCCACCAAGTAAACACACAGCAGGACCTTGCCTCTGATTCCTACTCTGTAAACGGCATCGATGATTCAGTAGAGGCGAGAACTGCGTAGACATAGATGATGATGCAGATGCTCGAAGAGTTAGATTGGGGCGTGGACGATTATGAAAGCGTAATGTTGGCCTAAAAGACAAACTCGAGACATGTTTCGTTTGTGTAGTCCTTGCAGGGATCAAGGAAGGTCTGAACAGAGTAGCCTGCGTAGAGCTCATCTTTTATCTCAGTGGCTTCTCTCAACACATCAAACTCCAGCAGAATCTTTAACAAGGACGTTAAGCGAGTCCAGAATTGGGAGAGAAGATTGTAATGATCGAATCGAAAGTTTGCGGAAAGCAATACGCGAAATTCGCGAATAGAAGATTCCCCAGAAATCTAAAGCCTGGAAATTTTAACGACCCAAATCGTAAATCTAACGAATAACAATGAATAAGTCTTAGGAGAAGCAATTCGGAGGATGATAAGGGGAAAAAGTGTAGTACCTTGACGAAACCCTAATTGAATCCTTGGAGATTAAGGATTCCTTTTCAGCTTTCTTGTTTGTGCGTGTAACTTTAAATTTTAAAACAAACCAAACGGAGAAATCGGAGATCAAGAGAGAAGAGATCACCGACGAAATTGCGTGAAAGCGGCGAGAAAAAACGATGTCGCTTCCGTCTGAACCGAGCAATGCATTTTAAAAGGGTTTAATAAATACCAAAACCAATAATAGTCCGGTTTAGTATAAGACATGTCACAGTTTAAAACATTCAAAAACAAAATGTTAGGATTTTTTCAGGTCAACATTTTTTTTTTCCATTTAGCTATGTTTTAACATATCTTCAAACTAATTTTTATTTAGCAATGTTTTAAAATATCTTTCAAAATGATAAAAATGAACATAGTTTTAGACTTTTAGTTAAAAGAATACTTTAAAGAATTTGAAGGATCAACAAAAGGAATAATTTTATGGTGAAGTCTGAAGTTTATAACATTTTGTTCCCATCAAATCCATTTTTGTGCAATTTATGTTCAATTGCGTTTGATGGTCCTGATACTAGAAGAACACTAGACTTCATAAAAAAACAGGATGATAACATAGGAATTAACTCAAGGTCGAGAGAGTACTAGATGTATTAGAATAGGAATGGATTAATTAAGCATTGTTACCACCGAGCGGGTTGACCTAAGCTCCAAATGTCACATCATGATTGTAGAACCCAACTATTTCATGATTCTCCTGATGGAACTCAATTTTATCCACTTGATCTTCTTGGTTTCCAAAGATTGGATAGGTCTGGTATGTTAGTCTTGATCGTAATATTTTAACTAATACAAGAGACTCCCATGGTTCCATCAAAATCTACAAAACAAATAACAAAAAAAATATTAAAATCACAGAAAACTAAATTCAGTAAATTAGTTGGTAATTATACAGCAATTACATAAAACCTCTATACAGTAATAACATTGGGATCATAATATTTTATTACTTTAGCAAAAATTTTAATTTATCAAAGGATAATTGCACTAAAAACTGAATTCGGGACTTGAAAATTCTATTAATTAATCGAGGTATTACTTTATCGAGTATTACTTTATAGAGTTTCTACTGTAATTTTAAAATGTGTGTGTGATCTACAGATGATTTATCACATAATTTTGTAAAGTGCATGAAGGAGAATCAAAGACCTCTTGTCTGTGGGAAAGAGGAGTATAGTTTATTAGATACTACTCGTTTACCGGATATAAATCTAGTCACTCAAGCATATCATATCAAATCTACAATGGGCCAATCTAAAATAGCCATATTTTTTTTTTGTCAGTCTTCTAAAATAGCCATATTTGCTTTATAATTTCTTTTAATTTTAATCCCTTTTTAAATACCTCACAAGATTTTTGTTTTCTTATCATTATGATATTTTTATTTATTTAGAAAAACTTTTCCTTCTTAGTTCATTTTATTCCTTCTATTGTAATTATGAGTTTCTTATGTAGTAAGAGTACCAATGTAGTTTCTGCAAATCCATCTATATAAATAATCTTATTTGTGATGCTGTAAATTGCTTATACAGAAAATCATCTTAAACCGCGTCCATTAGAGAAACATGATGCAACCAGCAGAGCAACTTCCGTGGGAATTGGAGGAAAAGATACAATCTCTGCTTCCAAGAAAAATCCAGGCTCGATTCAGATCAGTTTGCAAACGATGGAACGGTGTTTTCGACGAAAGGAGGTTCTTCAACAATGTTTTGGGTCCTGCCCGTTAACAGTTCATCTTGCTTTCCGAATCCAAGTTCTGTTCGGTGGACGTTAATCTCGACGGTCCATGTCCATCTATAGAGGTACATGACTTACCCTCGGATATTCCCGGTTATAAACCTTCAATGCCCTTAACAGTCGAATATTGCGACGGGTTATTGATTTATGCCCTTAACAGTCGAATATTGCGACGGGTTATTGATTTATGCTACATGTTACGGGATGGGAATATGCAACCCATGGTTGAGACTTGAGACAAATTCAATGGATTCAATCCAAAGATAACTGTCATTGGTTCAATGGGATAGGATACGACAATAGTAGATCCGAAAAGCACTACAAGATCTTTACGTCTGATTCGTTTAGCAATGAAACCTTGATCAAAGCTAGTATCGTCGAGCTTGGATCCCATGCAGAAAAAAATTACGAGTTTGCTTCCGATAAATGGAAGTTCTGGGACAGATTCTGTAGTGTATCTTGGCTTGGTCTATATCAATTGTGAATTTGTGACTACCGCAAAGGTGACGCGTTTGTAGTCGGTGCCGTTCATGGGAATACGACCCAATTTCCATACTATCAAAACGTACGTGAGATTTCTTAATTATTGTATTGTTTTTCAACTTATAATTTTGATTTGCTTATTTATAGTTTTTTTTTTGTATACTATCAGTTTATAATTGCTGAAGATGACTACATCGAAGCCGTGGAGGGGACCTACAATGAGAGCCACATCACCTCCATCGCATTCCGGACGCACAAGAGAAAGCATACGCCACACTACGGACTCTTTGAGGGGAGATTTTTCACGCTCGGAGGAGGAGGAGACTCCAAGATCATCGGCTTTTATGGCAAAAACTCTCCTCTCCACCTCACTGCTCTCGGCGTCCACCTCTAGAGTCTAGATTCTTCGTTTCCAAGATGTGTGAGATGCAAGCCTCTCGTATTTATTTTAAAATACTGTATTTAGGTATTCAAATACCTACAAATGTTTGGTTTTCTTATTGTGGAATAAAGTGACATATATGATGCTCTTGGCTCATCGTCCATGTCTAATATTCAATTCATCTGTTATGTTATTGTTGGTCTCAAGTACTTATATATATTGCATACCTCTTAGAGCTATACGACGTTTTTTCAACTTGACATTTCAATGCTTTTGTGATTTGGAAACAAGGTTACCAACAGGATAACAGGCATCAAGAAGCAATAGTTATAATTCTCCTCTCGACTCCCGTCCATGTCTAATGCAATTCATCTTTATGTTTTACTTGTTATCCATGAGTTTTATTTTATTTGCCGTTTTTTTCCTTAAACTTAATTTGGTTCAATTAAGCAAGTTTTTCTACGCTTTTCACTTTTTTTTGGCAAGTATGGCCTTAGTCTGGAAGTAGTGCAGCTGGCCCATCTCTGAGACTAGTCAGACGGGTTAAGTTGGCTGAGGACTTCGGCCTGGTTCTAGTCATAGAAAAGAAATGGTAAATAGAAAATACTATCTTACAGAATTAATGTAAAATTTTCAAATTTTCTTTTAAGACATCTATTACCTAGTTGTAAGGATCATTATCACCAAACACCAAAGTATCATAAAATTTGATCATAAATTTTTTCCACCGAACTAAATGAAAATTTCTATTTACAAAAAGTGGTTATACCATGGATGATGCAAGCACTTCCCGTATATAGGTGAGAGAATTGTAAGAAAGAATCTTTATAAGTTTGTCTTGATCTAATTTTTTTTGTTTTTGTGTGTTTGTCAACTTTCTAGTTTATTGCTGTCTTAAAGAAATAAGTGGAATCCAGTTCAACATTTTAGTTAGTTTTACATTTCATCCTTCTAAGTCTTAGAAAAAGATGTGGAATCCGAGTGAAATGATGTATCAATGTATCATCAATATTTATTACTTTATAAAAAAAGGAATTACTTTTCCTAATTTGCCAAAGAGTTACAAGTTATCATTTCCATTTTAAAAAAAGAAGTTGTATCCAAATAAATGTTATTTCCATTTTAAAAAAGAAGTTGTGTCCAAATAAATGTTTTTATGCAAGTTGCACGAAATTTCAAACCTGTTAGGTGAAAATGTTTCAAAACACTTTAATTGTGAATTATTATTGATACAGTATTTGGTTAGATAGTGTCACAACAATGAGTTCATTTATTTATTTTATTAGCCTTAATCGACCATTAATAAAACTATAAACAAATTTGTTGTTTCACGTGTTGGGATTATTTTTCTTCAACCCTAATCGATCATTAATAAACAAATTTGTTATTTCACGTGTTGGGATCATTGTTCTTCTCCGTCACTTAATATTGCCATAGCTTATTCTTTTTGGACCTCATTGATGTCGCCGTCAAAGGCTGGGGAAAGAAATAAGATATTGTTGTTTTTTTTCTTTCTTTCAAATCATGGTAACGAACATTGAAGACAAATTGTGTACATTGAAAGGGAAAAAAAAAACACAAAAATGGAGATGCATAAGATCAATGGATCATTATACTTTTTTGATGTAAATTTTGTTTTTTGTTTGAACCTTATGTTTCTTCGACAACTCTACGACAACCCATCTCAGAATATTAATAGATATAAACATACATACTTTTATTTATTCCATCGAAACAGTTCATAGCAACATAAGAACAACGACACGACAAAAGAAAAGAAAAACATAGTTAAAGACTTGAAAGCCAAGGAAATAGGAAGAGCGAGATAGTTAGAGCTATTTTGTTTTATATTCTTATTTTTAATTTTAATTTGACGAAGACAGAGATAAATATAATAGCTGCTTAGAACCCTTTCGATCGGTATAGACTTGTCCTCCCTCCCTCGGTCATCAACTAGACTGGAGCCCAGTGGACTCCGATTTGTTGAAGGAACTGATCCCCGGAAACGCCATGGAAGCCAACGATCTTTGCTGTCCCGTCAGTGGACCCAAAACAGACCGGTTCCTCTGTCCCGTCAGTGGCCGCTCCGCATTCCATGTTTCGCTTGTTGGTCTTGAACTGAATGGTTTTTATTCCACTTAGGCCGCACTCTGCATATACCATTGTGAGGTATTCACCATCCTTCAAAAGAAACTTGGAAGCAAGAAAAAGAAAAAGGTCATGTATTGGACAAGAAATAGAAATAGAAAAAAAAAATGAAAAAACAGCAACAACCGCTACCTCGGCCATTGTTTCTTGTCTAGGATCTGGCCTCCTCTGTCCGTGCGTGCCGTCTCTGTACCCAAACTTGACCGCGTTGATACCAAGGTCATGGCAATAGATTTGTATCGTCTCAACATCATCGTGGGGCCCATCATCCCAAGCAACTCCATGGATATCATCAAGTTCTACTCCAAGAGGTCCCTCCATTGTTCCTGCTGAAAAAGATTCAGATTGTTGTTAACAGAGAGTTAAATAATAACAAGGTTAAAAGAAATGAAACGCGAAACTAATAGAGTATATAGAGAAAGTGATTTTCTCACCTTCTTTTAAAAGCTTAGCTCTAATCTGTTTTTTTTTTGTTTTTTTTTTTTTTTTTTTTTGGTGATCGTAGTTGCTTTGATTGTTATGAAGAGAGGTGTATGTGCATGTGCTTATATAGAGCTTAAATCTCGACTCACAAGTCACAGCGTTAAGAAAAATGGGTCCCATCACAAGTCACAAGTCACTTTTGTTTATTCACATAGTTTTATTTTATTACAAAACGTCCTTATAATTTTGCATTTTAACTTCTCCGATACCCTAGATTTTCTCGTTTTTTTATATGTCGGCCCTTAGATTTTTTGTTTATTACACATATTTCCTATTTTGTTTATTACAGTCTTTTCTTTTGGTACATGGTATACCTTTTGTTTATATGAAATCTTTTTTGCATAGAGAGACATAAAAGATGAATTGCATCATTTGCATGTTAAACATGGACGAGAGAAGTATAATTTGTGGCATTAATCAAGTATAATGTTTTGTGAACCGGCTAAATGCTTTCTAAACCGGTGTGCGTTACTTACCTGGTCCTATAACGAACGCGCAAGGCTAAACCGAAACGGCGCCGTTTGCACGATCATCATTCTTCGTCTCCGCATTGTTTCTTCAGCCGCCATTCGCCTGAGTGTTTTCGTTCGTCTCCTCCAGTTAACGAAGTAAAAATACGATTTTAGTTTTCTGGGTTTAACCTATGGACATGGAATTTCAATCGAGGTATGAGATCAATCGGACGGCAGAGTTCATAATCAGCAAAAGCTTCACCAGAGTCGCTTTACAGGTAACGAAACTTCTATTGAATTCGATTTTGTTTCTTATCCAAAATTGTTAATTCAGTGTATACGTGATGATAATGCTTGGATTTTTTTCCTTTACCTTTGCTTGTGTGATAGTTCCCGGATGAGTTGTTAAAGGATTCGACTAAGGTCGTGAGTGCTCTCAAGAGCAAAACCCGTTTGCTCAACACTGAAAGAGAAGTCAGGTTCTTTGTTATGGCGGACACAACTTATGGAAGTTGCTGCGTTGATGAAGTTGGAGCTTTGCATATTGATTCCGAGTGTGTTGTTCACTATGGACAAACTTGTCTAAGCCCGTGAGTTTTAGAAAAATCTGTTCTTGATTTGCGTTCGTTGCTGTAAATGGAAAATGTCTTGAATTGTGTGGCTTTTATGTTCAGGACATCGGTTCTTCCAGCATTCTTCGTTTTTGGGAAAGCTTCGACAGAAGTGTCGAGCTGCGTAAAGCATTTGCTGGATTACGCCTCTCACAGTGATAAGCCTATAATGGTATGCTAATGTTAAACTTAAGCTAGTTTATGGTTATGATGAAGAAAGTGTTCTGTTTTCTAATCTTTGCTTTGTTTGCAGATTCTCTATGGACTAGAGTACGCGCATGTCATTCCGCGTATTAGAGAAGAGCTTATGGAAGCCTTATCAAGGACTGAATCTGAAGCGAAGTTCTCTGTAGCTAATGTCATATGTTCATTCATAAGTCCTTCCAAAGATCCTCGAGAATCCATGGAGCATCCAGGACCATCTGGCGAGAGCGATTCTAGAAACTATAGATTAGGAGGACTAACTTGGGACTTGCCAGAAGGAAACAAAATTGAAGACTATTTGCTTTTCTGGATCGGTTCTGATAATTCAGCTTTCGCCAATGTAGTACTGACCTTCAATGGTTGTGACCTAGGTATATGGCTTTATGTCTTGATCTTGTTTTAGATTCAATATAGTTAGCAATGTCTGCTGTGACTGAATTCTCGGTATGTTTGATCTTAGTCAGATATGATGCTGAAGAAGATTCTTTGGTGACGGAATTCGCTCAACAGAGAAGGATACTTAAGCGACGGTATGTTTCAAGCAGACATCATTACATAACAATATCAAAATTTGTCAATCCTTTTCGATTTTTTTCACTATATTAAAGTGATGTGTTTGCAGATACTACTTGGTGGAAAAAGCTAAGGATGCGAATATTATAGGTATCTTGGTGGGGACTCTTGGTGTTGGTAAGTTCCTTTCTCGTCAACTCAATTTGTGCCTGTGTGATGTCAAGAACTCAAGATTGATGAGTTTAACCATCGATGTTTGGCAATGAATGCAGCTGGTTACCTTCACATGATTCACCATATGCAAGCACTCATATCCGCGGCTGGTAAAAAATCTTACATTCTTGCCATGGGACGGCCTAACCCGGCCAAACTTGCAAACTTCCCCGAGGTAACTTAAATACTGGCTTGTCGTTTAACTATCAAAGTGAGATATGTCAAGTGAGTAATGTTGTGTTTTTTTCTTAGTGCGATGTATTCATTTACATCTCATGCGCCCAAACCGCCCTTTTAGATAGCAAAGAGTTCATGTCCCCTGTCATAACTCCATTTGAAGCAAATCTTGCTTTTAGCAGGTACAGTGAGAAATTACAATATCTTTTTAAAGCTTTTGTAATTCTTATCCAAGAGTTCTTTAACCAGTAGTGTCTTTGGGGTTTGTTCCAGAGGGAGTGAGTGGACAGGTGCATACTTAATGCATTTCCAAGATGTGATTAACTCTTCAAAGACAGAATCAGAAGCACATAGCGAACCAGAGGAGCCACGCTTCTCCTTCTTTCAGGGTGGTTACGTAGAAGACCACAATGCAAACGGTAACAGAAAAACTCTATACAAAAGTGTCATTTATTTATCACATTGGTTTGACAAATAGTTAGTTGCTTGCTGCAGATCAAGCTGAGAATGGCGAGGGAGACACAGGAGAGACAATGGCGCTGGTACAAGCTGCAGAGAAAGCATTGCAATTGAGAGGCAAAGATCAGAACCAACTCACTAAACAAACCGCTGCCAAGTCAGGACCTGAGTATTTCCTCAACCGTGCTTATCGTGGTCTGGAGATTAACAGCGACAATACTTCGCCAGAGCCTTTCATAGTTGGGAGAAGCGGGAAGGCCTCCGGATACAAGCACGAGTAACACAAACTCCAAGAATTTCACTTGGTCACAAAGAAACCTTGTTTCTTGACTTGATCGATAAATTTTGAGTTTTATTCAATCCAAATTGTTAGAAAAGTGGGAAAGATTAGGTGAGAACAGAAATTTATACGTGCCAATATCTGTTGTGTTATTGTTGGTCTGAAGTACTTATACTGAATAGCTTAGAGCTACGAACACATTTCAATTTGACTAGTTAAAAGCATTTCATTGACTAGTTAAAAGTGTACTGCAAGAGGACGGAAGAAGCTGCTTTTGTACAAGAGCTGCTTCGTGAAAGTAGCATAACATACAAAAGTTGAACATAGATAAAGCTTCACAAAGCTTGTTTTCGATGGGAAAATGCCAAATAATGATGCGACAGTGACATCTTATAGCTTCCTCATGAGAAGAAAGAGCCTCTGGTCGAGTTCAAAGTGAGAAATGTGAGCTGGATCTCCCTGGAGCAACATCAGGAGGCCTCCGAACGAAACGTATAGCTCTCTGGGAAACACAATAATAAAACGGGAAGAAACCAAAACAGGTGTTAAGACTTGTAAGCAGCTCTCGAATTGGATTTTCAAAGTTTTAGAGTTTGTGGGTTCTTACGCTTTTGGAGTTTTGCCGTCACGCTCAGTGATCTTGTAAAGCTTCCCGTGCATGATGTACTCGTACTTATCCGCAAGCGTTTTCTTCGCTCCCTGTACAAAAACCATACTAGCTTAATGTTCAGAACAACATTCAAGACACCAAGGTCTGCTCAAATTCCATATGATTACTCTTAACCTATTCTTAAGGAGGCTTCCTGAATTAAGCCAACTGAATCGTTATATCGAGCAATTAACATTAATGTTTATGCCTAAATCAAATCCTTATACAATGTCTATGCCCTTATCAAATCCTTACACAGGTTCAACGAGTAGTCACAGAATCAATAAGGCTACATGATACCATTTCATGAACTTCGGCCAAGCAAACAAGAGTGTGTATATACACAAAACAAAAAAAGTAAATCAAAAGCAGTAGAGTTTGATTACCGGAGTGAAATATCCGGTATCAGGGGTTCCATCGAGGTTAAGAGTGGGAGCCATAGCGAGTGTGAACTTATCACCAACAGCCATCGGATAAACCTCTGTGTTAACATCTAAATGCATAAACATTTCCAAGTTGTGGCTTCGAGCTTCAACACGCGTTACTGTAACCACAAACACGCACAGAAACACAATCAATTTCCCTAAGAGAGAGCCTCTCAATTTGATGACAGAACTTAGAAATGGGACACTAATAGCTTATAAAGTTCAGACTTTTTTCATCAGAAATCGTGATTTGAGGTAAGCAAAAGTATATATATACCTTTATCGAACTTTTTGCCATCAGGATCTAGCTTATCGACCACGAAGATATCCTCGAACAAGATTATATTGCTCGTCATCTGAAACACACAGAAAAATTCAAACCCTAAATACTCTTAATTCCTTGATTGAAATAAACCCGATTCGATTATCATAGAAGAGCTATATAAGATCATCTGGAAAACTTGAAAAGCCGTAAATCCCTTAAAACAAGATTAAAAGACGAACATTCACCTGCTCCGGAGAGTCGGAGAGGAGTGGCAGCGAGAAGAGTGTTACGGAGGCGGAGAGATGAAGCGAAACGAGAGAAAAAAAAGAGTATTTTTTGTTTTTCCTTCAGTTTTTTCACATATATCCGCTCCACTTTTGTTTATTTACATGTGTGTCCTATAGTTTTACTTTATTACATAAAGACCTTCTAATTTTGCCTTTTAACTTCTCCGACTCCCTAGATTTTCTGTTTGTTTGTTTTTTTCTCGGCCCTTAGACTTTTTTGTTTATTAAACATTCTTCCTATAGTACATATAACTTTTGTTTATATGAAATCTTTTTTTGCATTGAAAGACATAAAAAGATGAATTGCATATTAAACATGGACGATGATGAGTCAAGAGCAATCTTTCTTTGTCTTTCTGTGGTTATATATACATAAACATTCTTCACTCCACTACACAGAACATTCATACAAACAAAAAAAAAACTCCACTACACAGATCTTCTGTCTTTCTATGAGTAAACTAATGTCAGATCAAACATAGGATAATGTGTTTCATACATAGCAGTCTTCTTATATAATACAGATGCTATGAACATGTTCCCATGTACCCGTTGCTGCCTCCGGAACTTCCATTAACCGCGGCGCCAGGTAAATCTCGGACCAGAAACTTCACCGTTTGTTTCCTCATACCGTTTAATATCTCTAAGCATTCATGGAGATCAGAATCTGTGACAAGCATCACCCATTCTTCTTCATCATCCAAGTATTTCAACTGAAACGCGCCGTCTTGCAGCTTGAAACGCATGCCAACTTCTTTGTAGAGCTGAGCGCAACCAACAACGTGCGGATCAAGCTTGAAACGTACAGTGTCGTCTCTGTAAGTGGCTTTTACGGTAAGTACTGATCCACTCTCGCCGCTGTTGTTATGAGTTCTTGTTTGGCTCCAGTCTTGTTCCATGGAGTTTGATGAGCTTCCAACCATAACCGCACCTGAACCGTTCGATGAATCCGACATGCTGCTGGAGATTGATTGGTTTGGTTCACCAATACCAATACCACACTCGACTCTTGCGTTTTGTCTATCATCTGCAAGTGCTAGAGAGCTCAAACACCTTCGCACACAAATGTCTTTATCCTTCTTTACCTCTTCACTCCGTTTCCTTATATCGAAATCATCACTAGACTGTTTGTTCATCCAAGCCCATGGCTCCATCAAGGCTCCTGGGAACATTGAACCTAGCTTATTAGATAGATACTTATTATATGTTTTTTATATCTATACACATATTCTTACCTTGTCCTGCTTGGTTTGTTTCAAGACCCTCCTCCAACTTAACCTCACCACCGTCATAAGACTTAGCTTTAAAAAGCTCTAATGCGTCGTCATGGTGAGAAGATAGACTCTTTTGAGGATCATACTCTTGTATAAAAGGCCCAACTGCTACAAATTCCCCTGTTACCGAGTCAAACTTAAGTCCTCCGTCTACACCTTGAACAGAGTCCAGCACCGTCTGTATCTTCCTTAGTGACCTATTCACTTTGTTGATCTTGCGAGATGGCCACCTCATGATTCCGTGTTGTCTGCATATCCGTTTTAGCGTAGTCGGACAAACTGCAAAACAGAGAATACAAGTCAACAATTGAGTTGTTTGTAGAGAAAAACAAGCAATGAGAACAACAAATCTCACCACCAAGGCTCTTTGCAGCATCCTTTAAGCTTCCAGAGAAGTATTGTTGGAGAACGCTTAAGCTCACGTTCTTCTCTGTACTGCTTTTCTTCTTCTCTGATCTTCTTGTTCCGCTAATTTCCTTATGAAATATGTAAGAAAAGTTCCCTGAGAACTTGCTAATGTATATCTACATGGCATTATCAAATGAATTAGATACATCATAAGTACCTGTTGAAGAGTTCCCTGAGAGCTTGCTATATCATTTGCTGTATCAGAGGAGATGTTCAAGAAGATACTTCGCGTAGAAATGACATCAGTATCCAGAAATGTTGTCTGAAAGCTTCCTTCGGATACAATATTCTCTGGGAGATTTGACATTATCTCTCCACTACGAAACCCAACTTCATCAGAAACAGTTCTCAGTGTCCGACAAATTCTCTGCATGGTGCCAGAGAGACTGTCCAGCAAAAGTTGTTGTTCTGAGCTTCCCTTCATACTCACAGGCAAGAAAAACTCAAGTATATAATCATTGTCTCCGGTGAACGTGCTCCTAAGTTTGGTAGCAACAGCAGCATTAAGGCCAAACTTTCGAGCATGCTGAACAAGAGGGTACTCGCAGATATCAAACGTCTTCACATCGGATGAGAAAGACGGTTTGTTTGATACGAGTGCTTTGCCAACAATACCTTGCCCTTCTCTTAGACAATGCTCCACACATGCATTCACAAAACCTTCCATTTCCACATCATTAACATAACATGCCGTCTCTTCTACGCAAAGAAGAGAGCTTTCCTCTGAGTTCGCCCCCTTGGAGTAACTACAGGGAATCCAAGCTAGAGCTAAAGGCAACCTATGTGCATGGCACACTGCTCGGAGAACGTCTCTTATTTCAGCCAAAGCTTCTTTTTGATTGCTCGAAAGGTACTGAAAAAACAAAGACACTATTAGATTTAGGCAGAGACCAAAAGAAAACAGAATCTTCTCATTGGTTTAGATGTACCTGACGACGAGGAATAGTTGATGTTTGCAAGTTCACAGCCTGAAAATGATAAAGAAAACATGGATCATGCAACGATCATTGTTTCATATGAATCATTCTTCATCAGAACAAGCAAAGACGCATTCACACAAAGAGAAGCGAGAGAGAAGTTGGGTTTAACCTGAAGAGCACGGCAAACAGAGTCCATCTCCAAATCAAAGTTTGGTTTCTCCCTACACGTTACAAGCTCCAGAACAGCACAACAAGAAGTCCCAGATGCTTCAAGAACAGGGATAGCAATCGAGCCACGAACTTGGTTATCAAGCGCATGCTTCATCCTCAAATACTCAACAGTCTTGTAATACATGACGTTTGATGTCCACTCAGGAACACCAGAGATGAAGACTCTCCCTGGAAGACCTGGAGAAGAGTATTGGTTTGCTTCTGCAGAGAAAGTGAATCTCCTCGACACTTCTCGGTATCCAGACAGCCTCGAGTCAAGCAAGTACGCCTGATCACTAGTACTAAGCATGAACTGATCTCCAGTCTTGATCGGAGTCCAAAACTGCGCAAGAATTCCCTCTCCAGAGAACTCCATGAACAAACTCAATGCCTTAAGCATCCTCTCATCAAGCGAGAAGCTCAACGACCTTGGAACACTACAGTCTACTGCAACGGTTAAACTATTCCTCTTGCTTCGTTTACCAGTATCAGATAAGCAATAGAACTGAGAGCTCATCTCTTGTACAGGTCTTTTTTCACCAACGTAGGAGCCTTCTAAAGCATGGAAAGAACAAACAGGATCTTGCAAAGTAGCAGACTTGGAATCAGCTAGTGCACTGAATCCTCCAAAGGGCGTAGTAGTAGGAGAGTGAGAGGTGGATAAACCGTATTGAGTGAGCAAGATATCTGTAGCGGAAGGAGTATTGCACCAAGAAGCAAAAGATTCGAAATTCATAAGCTCTGAAGAGGTAAACATATCTTCTTCTTCTCCTTCTTCAGAGATCAAATTCTTAACCCAAACATCCATTTCTTCAGTTGGAATTTCTGGAAAGCAGAAACCTTGTTCTCTGGATGTTGATGGGTCTTCCATGGTTAGATTGAACCAAAGACAAGTCTGATCTTTTTTGGCAGATTGATACAATTCTCCTGAGTACCCTTCAGAAGAAGAGAAAATCGAAAACACCAGATTAAATACACTTAAAGTTCCCAAATTTATAATTTTAAACAAGCACTAACTCAGAAACAGGACAAACTTCACCGCAAGGAAAACAAAAAATGAATTCTTAAATCCCAGAATTGAATATCCTAAACATTTTGTTATTGTATGGTCCAAACTCCAAAATCACGAAAGCAACAACACATTTAGGTGGAATTCAAAAATTATCTTAGCTCGTCCAATTGCAAAAGTAAACAAAGCCCACAAACGGAAAAAAGCTCAGAGAAGCAAATTATGGGTTGTAGAGTGAACCTGGAGCATGAGGCTATAAGAGAGTGTAGAAGAGTTGTACAGAGACGAAACTTTGAGTGGTTCTCTGTGAGAGGAAAGATAAAAGAGGAAACTTTTTATATTGTAAGAAAAATAGTGAAACTGATTTTGTTCAGTTAGCGGAAATTGCGCTGCAAGCTTACTCGTAAGCTCGTGGGAGCTACATCAGCAGAGAGAGAGACGGTTCCATTAATGGAGGAGAGAATCCGAGCTGCTTCTCTTTTTTTTAACAGACGATGAAGGTAACGGATGGGAATCGCGATTTTAAATCGCGGTTGTAATAAAATGACTGGTTGTAGTATTTTAATTTTCATCTCTGCTTTTGGCGTGTGTGCGTGAGTCACTGAGCCGTAAAAAACGATGCGTGTTAATCGACCCCACCTCCACGGATGACGTCATGTGAAAAGGTTATTGATAAGTATTTGATTATTTTCTAATTTTTTTTTAGGTTTCTCTAATAAAATGTAGGTAATTGCTTTTCGGTTTTCACTCGTAGTCCTTTAAACTGTAGAATGCTGTATTAGTATGGGATTTAATACTTGAAAATGTGTAGTTCACTTATTTTGTTATTGTTTAGTTGTGTGATTACACTATTTATCACGAATCAAGACAATAGTTAGAACATGTTTCCTAGGATAAATAAAAATACTTAACGGTAAAAGAAACGGAAGTAATTTAAGTGACTTACCGTGAACGTTAGATATTGATTCTTAACTACATGAAGGAAAACTCGAAGTTTGGTTAGCTTTAATTACAAGATGTTTATGGCATTTCGTGTCTTTGGACTATCCAAGGTCCAATTAGGAGTAAAATAAAAGCTACGTTGCCTAAGTTTTATAGAATCATATTTCAGAATATTATGAACCGTAGATATCAATTTTCATAAAACAGTAGAAAATTAAATGAAAAAAGAAAAGGTGTAACAAAAAGAGTATAGATGATGAAATGATGTGGGGGAAAAACAGATAACGAAAAGGGATGACAAAAAACTTTAATCTGCAGTGAAAGAAGAAAGGGACACGTGTGCATCTGTTGGATTCGGAGGACCATAAATTTGCGTAATCTGACGCCATTTTTCTCTGCTTTCATTCCTCTCAATCGGAGAGCTGTCACTTTCTCCTCTTTCCCATGCCGACTTTCCTGATAAAACATCAATGATTTTTTTTTTATTATAAAGCGACAAAAAGGATTTTAAATGGAAATAACTATTTTCGCTTTTATTATTTTCAAATTTATTATTTTAACAAGAAAAAACAAACAAACTTATGTAACATTTACTCCCTCCGTTTCAAATTAGTTGTTGTTTTGGCAAAATGTATCTGCAATTATTTGGATATATTTACTATGCAAAACACATCCAGATACGTCCAAATATTTGCAGATACATTTTGCCAAAACGACAACTAATTAGAAACGGAGGGAATACTTACCAAAGGTAGTAGGTTCGAGAAAGAAAAAGAAGATTGGGTAGTGGCGTAGTGCTGACACATTTATAGTTTTTGATTAGTGAACAATAAAACTATTACTGGTTACGTTGATTCTTGGTTTTCTGCATTCAAACAGGTTTAGAGAACTATAATTTTCATTAGTGGTTTTTTACATTTGAACTATCAATCACTATAAGAATCCTTTACAATTTCGTTGATTATATAATCTATCTTCCATTATTTTTGCTGTCTGTGGGCTTTATAACAAAACTATACTTTTTCTTGCCTAATGCTTTATGTCATTCTGCTTTTCATTCAGTCGTTTATACAATTTTACTATCTTGCACCATTATCGTTTTAAAATATGTTTTTTTTGTCAACTGATTATATATATATAAACAATACTAATTAATGTAGAGGTAAAACTAATCCTAAACCTAGTACCATTTTGTTTACTCAGTTTTAAAATTATTAGACCACGTATTAGTTTAAAACTTGCTTGTTGGATCTCCCATAGCATAGGAGCGGCTGTCGGCAGAGATATATTAATTCTTCAATCGTACAATCACGAACAAAACATTGAATAATTGTACAATTAATACATTTAAATAGAAGAAAACCAAAAACTATTTCAACATACAAAGTCATATTAAGACTCCGTCTTCATCTTTAGTTATAACAATTTTAAAATAGAGGGAAGAAGACTCCGTCTTGTTCACACAAACTTACTAGTAGTTTACCATTGTTTCAAAACATAGAAACGAATAAATTAACCCACGTATGGATTCAAAGCACTGCCTCGCATGTGACCTGAGATTTACAAACTCTGCTGTAAATTAAACTGTTTTGCTTCATTATAAGGTATCTATTATTTTGTAAATTTGTAAAGGACCAATTCATTATCCAGGGAGCTAATGACAATATCATCAGTTAATACATATATTTTTTTTCTGTTAGACAAGAGTAAACAACATTCTACTATTTCTTAATTATAAAAATAGTTCGAAATTAGTCTTGTTTAGAAAAGATAATTTTGTTGTTGTTGTCATCGTTATTGAGAACTTGAAATATGATGAAATAGATATAGATTCCTGGAAAACAACAAAGTGGTATGTAATATAATGGGACCACGACATTTATTATGATTATATATTCTGGCATTCTGCCACCTAAACTATTTTATAATTACAGTATACGTTAAACTATTCCCGCTTATGTCACGAATGATCCACTTCCTCTTGTCGTTACATGTTTCTCCTTAAAACCAGATTCCTAAAGTCGAGATGCGCTGAATCCTGACCGTCCATTCTCCTTTCAAGATTCGGATTCTCTTTCGAGATTCCTTAGCTCTACACGCGGAATCTTCAACAATATACAAAGAGACCTACGTCTCTTGTAGGACTGTGCTAGTTCCCCTATTTGCTGTTAAATCTTTTTATTTCTTAACTATATTTTTAGCATTCTTAGTGTGATTAGTTGTTATTCAAATTAATTATGCGGTGTAAAATCATCCTAATACATAACTCGTTTATTGTTGTGTTGGCACTAGAATATCATCAATTGATGCCAGATGCAAATAAACAGTCGAGATCCAAGATATAGATTTAAGATTAATTACATTAGATATCTCCATAGGATTGAAACGGTCCGATTCAATTACACTATTAATTAATTTCTACATTTTGTTGGTTAATGTAATTTTACTTATCCATATTGCTCAAGCATTTTACCATATATAGGTTAAGGTCTTTGTCGACGAAGAAGAAAAGAAAACGGTCTATTTTTTTCATTGGATGGTATTTTTCAGACCTCGATGTTAAGGTATATTCATATCATGTCATCTCTAGAACAGGTGTACCATTAACTTTTTTTTTTATGTATAAAAACAAGGTGTCAATCGTTAAAAAATCATTAATAATTGAAGTTATAAAAACAAAGATACCCTATCGCAGTAATCAGATATTTAATAAAGCTAGAATTGTCGGTATCAAATGTTTTAGGTTGAAGGAGAAGATTTCCACTGTAATTCTTTTTCAGGTAATGTCAACTTGTGACGTTGGTCGCTTTCTAACATCAAATGATAGATTGATGAGTAGCATATTTTTTTTGTTTGGGTATTTTCCCCCTTTTCTATGCTACATTCAAATTTTAACATGTAAGAATTTGTTTAGTGTTTAATTATTTTAATTTTGAGAATACATAATCGATAGCTCAGTAGTTTGCCCCTGTGTTATGTTGGGTCACTATACCAATTTGAATTTTCGATCAGCTTCTTTTTTAATTAGAAATCTACCACCGTGAGCCATTTGGAGAAAAACATCCAAGTTCACTTTAATTATTCACTCATTTGGATAAGTTTCTCGGAGATCGATACACAATGAAACCCGAAAATATATATATATATATAAACTAATGAGTTAAAATTTCTACCAGGAAAAAACAGCACGAACTACTTGATCAATTGCATATTATACAAATTTATCAAAATTATGAATTAAAACAAAATTTAGAGTTTTTAATAAGTTACAAGAATCAAAACACTTAGAGATTCTATTTGTGGACTGTTTAATGTACACTATGATTGAATAATAAACAAGAGTTCCTGCTTCTTCTAAACGTGAAAGAGATGGCTTCGAAGTCCATTGTCCAATCAGTGTCTAACATGATAGGTATAGCCAGATGGAAGGGTCTTGTAGGTATTGGACAACCTTTTGAGAATCAATTCCAAATATAACGTCATGACAAGACCTTCCAACTTAACTAGTTCTTATTTTGAAATTGAAGAATGAATTGGCTGCTCATAATTTTACTAAGCAAGTTAGGAACTTAGGATCATTCTTAAGTCTTTGACTGAACGTAATTTTTTTTATCATAAAAAGATAGTTAGTCTCGTTGAATCTTGACCTTAAGTCAAAGCGGGCCGGGACAGATTTTTGTGCCGACCAAACTAGTTAGCCACAGCACTCAGGCCGTCAATATTGTGAAACAATTCCAAATATAACGACGTTCCTGGGACTGTTAGGACCACATGTTTTGGATCCTTTAGGCCCGTTATCAGCAAATTAACACTTTATGCATGGCATGTTAACCGGACCGGACTAAACCATTAATCTTAATTTCGAAATAGCTCACAGATTTTTTGTTTGTTTCCTTTTGAGAATTTTCCCTGTTGGTAATTAATAAAAATCTACAGGTAATCATTACAGATTAGTATCAACCAGTCTGTCACCACTCACCAGTAAGGCACTAATCAGTAATCATTCACTATTCAGTATCACATACAGTTATGGATAAGTTGTTAACAATTTATTCCAAAAAAAGAATTATATGGATAAGTGGTTGCTTCTTCTTCCAATGATGAGTGTAATTGACTAAATTCAATGTCAACCTAAACAAAAAGGTAGAAACTTTGGCGAAAATAGAGAGACGCGACAAAACCAAAAAGAGAGAGAGGAGAGAAGCTGAGAGAAGGAACATAACTTCTGAGAGAGAGAGAGAGACGAGAAAAACACACACAATTAAACGGAGAAAGACTTTCCGTTGAAGGTAAATGGCGATCGGAGAAGAACATCCTCCTTGAGCATTTCCCAGGTTCTCTCTCTCTCTCTCTGCATCGATGCATGAGTAGTATTTCATTCGACCCTTTTTTATGTGTTGCATTGCTCATTTAGGCGCTTGATTTATCCATTGTTTCGAGGAATGTATCTGTAATTCTGTATTTCCGTAACATTTGAAAGCTCTTCTACCTATTTCCGTTGAGGGATTTCAATTTAATTTGTACGGGATCGAATGATCTCTGATTACGTTTAGTCCGATTCGTGTTTGTGGATTGCTATGATGCGAAAGTGTTCTCCTTTGCGAAGCTCTGTATCTGGGGATTAAGGACTTAGGTTCCGATATTATTCTGGGAATCTCTGAGAATGCCGTTTTAAGTGTTTTTCTTTTTGCTCTCTCCTTCTGGATATCCTTTTGTGTTCTGGGTATTTTTGGGTATCTGCTTATATTCAGAGATGGTTGATATAGATTTGGGTCACTGCTTATCTCACTTTCGCTTGTAAATGGCAGATAAAGCAGAAGTCTTTCTTCCATTATGCTGACAATATCATGTCTTTGTTGCAGGTTTCTTGCTGCTTTTGGGCTGTTTTGTGGGGAGATTTAACGGAGTGTGTGTGTTTTGATTAACTGATGTTTTGTGGTGGAGAGGGAAGGAAATGGACTTGTGGGAATGCTGGTGTGGTACGTTTGCAAAAAGTGGCCTCTTTTGTTCAGGATCTAAGCCAGCCTTGTCTTTCACAATCAGGGATTCAGGTTCTCTTAAATGTAAGATCTTTTCTTCTTCTAAGTTATAAGAAACATACTTTAGGGTCTTGAAAGTTGAGGAATCTTTCAGAATCCATTGTATGTTTACTGCTCTCTCTATCATTTTTGGAATCTTAATTGCCGTTTTTTCGTGTTCACTTACTGTGTGTTTTGCTTATATGCAACCTTTTTGTAGTTGATGTTGTTACTGAAAATGTTCTCAGATGTATTAAAAGTGCTTATTGTCAAATGTACAGATCGGCAAAATGCTTAAGCCAGAGAAGTGGCGAGCTTTTTTCGATTGTGATGGAAAGGTTTCTGGTTTCCACAAGGCGCTCAAATTAATTATCTTGGGGGTATGTTTCCTTTTGCAGATGAGTTTGTTTCCATTTTCATGTCCTGCAGTTCGCTACATTTGTTATTTCATTTGGTTCCTCTAATGCATCCTTCTTGTTTCTTGTTAGGGAATCGATCCATCAATTAGAGCTGAAGTTTGGGAATTTCTCCTTGGCTGTTATGCATTGAGCAGCACCTCTGAGTACCGTAGGCAACTCAGGGTAGCACGAAGGTTAGACAGTGCTTTGATGTTGTTGTATCAGAGGGAGTGCTAAGTGACACACTAAGAGTTTAATGCACTGTTTATACCATTCATGCAGAGAACGATACAATGAGCTGCTGAAGCAATGCCAGATGATGCATTCCAGCGTGGGAACTGGTTCACTTGCCTATGTTGTGGGATCTAAAGTTATGGATATGCGAAAATCATACAAAAACGAGGTGGTAAAGGAAACTACAGATGAAAGCACAGAAGCTTCTACAGATGGTCATGAGAATACTGAAAATCACGGTGATTCGAGTAATAATGATACTGACACATCTCATGCGCACAGAACGGGAAGTTCTAGTGAGTCAGTTGACCTAGTAAGTCCTGACAGCACAATAGTTGAAACCTCTTCCTTTGTACCGTTGTCTAGTCCACGTGGCTTTCCTTCCTCTGGTCCTTGTGTTGCGGATGGTTTTTTTGAGTTTCCGTCCCTACCGGTAACAGATTTGTTTGGGAGGAGTAGTTTAGGTAAGAAAGGGGATTCTACTCCAAATAAGGAAGCTTCCATGCAAAGTGAGTTCAGATGTGAGGATGAAGGGGTGCGCAGTTTTCGAACTGAGAAAAATGCAGAGCTAGTTATAGTCGACTGCATCCACAAACTCAGAATTGTCTCAGCTAGTACATGCTGACTCTGTCGAAGAACTGTCTCATAGCGGCTCCACGACAGAGATTGTTGATGGTTTGAGAATATCAGATGAACCTGACATGCCATCAGGAAATGAGACTCCTTCGCGTGGTGGGACTGTCAGGGATGATAGGATGTCTGAATGGCTTTGGACATTGCACCGAATAGGTACCACTTGTGTGAGTCTCTTTTAATGGTCACTATTCTGAAATAATATTTACGTCTTTTTTTTTTTTCTCCCACAGTTGTTGATGTGGTAAGGACAGATACCCACATGGAGTTCTATGAGGATCCAAGAAATATAGGAAGAATGTCAGATATCCTTGCGGTCTATGCTTGGGTTGATCCTGCAACTGGTTATTGCCAAGGTTCCAAATCTCTCTTGAGTTTGTAACTTGTTATTAATTGACACCGTATGAGGTCATACTGATGTAGGGTACTTACGAACCCTCTGGTATTAAATCTGATGACAGGAATGAGCGATTTAGTGTCTCCTTTCGTGGTTCTTTTTGAAGATAACGCTGATGCCTTTTGGTGCTTTGAAATGCTTATAAGAAGAACGGTACTCAATATTTTTGTTCTCCTTGCCCCAATAAGTGACATAGCTTATGCCATACTGTTGATGTTATTTTCTTGTGTGGCTGGCTCTTACTGTAGCGTGCAAATTTCCAGAAGGAGGGACCAACAGGAGTGATGGATCAATTGCTTATTTGTTTATTTGTTTTCTCTTCTGCTCTGTTCTCCGAAATTCCTTAATCCATTCATTTGCTAGAGTATCGTCTTATAGAAACTTGACACAAAACACAAGTCTAGAGTTGTTGCATTTGGCAATCTTCGTTTTCCTCATATCTAACTGGATAACTTTTTATCAGAATCAGGTAATCAAGATCAAGAGCCACACTCAATCTCAGAATCATAAACCTGCACAAGATACAGAATCAAACCGCGGTGGAGAAGCAGATCCCAGAGGAGGTTCAGAGTCATGATGAGAACTTTAGCTATAGTTCTGCCCCTTAGAGAATGATGACTAGGATAGATTCTTTCTAGCTAGATATATCAGTTTTCTTTCTAGCTAGATACAATAGTCTGGACTAAGATATACAAAAGAAGAACAAGTTCAAAACAGGTAGGTCATCTTTGGAACTGGAGAAGGGTTTGTTATTTAAAGAATTTCATGAGTTCATTTATTTACACTTAAGTTTTTGACAACTTTTTGAGCCAACTCGTTTTTCCGTTTCATGTAATAATGAAAGTCTATAGGGGTCCAAAGTCAAACAAAGGCTTTGTAATTGGGTCATGAATGACTTTATTGACACACGAGCAACCTGCAAAACTCAAACACAGTAAAGTGTAACAAGCTGATTGCAGACAGTATTCATACGTTGATGAGGAGGATGATCATGTGAACTTATAGACTTTAGTTTTCTCATTTTATATCCGAATTAATAATTAAATTTTTTATTTAAATACATTCTAATTCTAATAAGATATATAAATATGAGTATGAATTTTTGGATAGTTTCCAAAATTGTAGCTAGATAAAAGATCTATTTCATAAACCAAATTTTCAATTTTCCTTTATTCTGAATTTTAATACAAACTTTGATTGTTTGATTATTTGGCAGAGGTGATCAGAGTGGGTTTCTTCATCACCGGTTTCTATGTCGATGAAACGGATCGCCGAACACAATAAGAAGATGAAGATTACTCAGAAAGCAATAGACTTGCTAAACGAGGTAATATGATTCTCTGTTTTCATCTATGTCTTCGTATTTTTTTTATGCTAAGACTAAGAGATTGTAGTTACTGGAGATATTTGTTAGGTTGTGAGCTTAACTCTAATAAAAAGTCCATCAGACTTAGAGTCGGTCTATTGTTCTTTCTTTCTCATTGTCTGCTCTCATTACGTTATCTCAGGCGCTTAAGAGCAATGCAGAATCTGAGAAATACTTCCTGGAGAGGGCTGCCATTCTCGGTAAATTTGCAAGCAATCTTGAGTCTGAAGGAGTAGACGAACACGAACCCTGTATGACCAAGCTCCATGCAGTTATTTCATCGTATCTGCAAAGTAAGGGAAGTTTCGAAGAAATTGCTAAAGAGTTCGCAGATATGCAACCGCCTATACTTGAAGAGGTGAGGTTTTCCTGTTTTCATTGTTTTTTATATAAGTTTTGATTACAGTGAGTGAAGCCTCTAGCTCAACTTTAATATCACAATTTCTGTGGAAACAGATTTTTTTGCTCCAAAGTCTTAAGAAAAACGCGATTGAAGCATTCCAGGATGGAGGAGCCCTCACCACCAAGAAAAAGACGAGGCTTTTTGCTTGTTTCTTGTAGGATTAACCTGTATGATTTTTTTTTTTTTTTGGTAATCTATTAACCTGTATGATCTTATCTATCTATCTATCTTTAGCCCAAACAAAGATACATTATGAATGGTTCGTTATTTAAAAGAGATTCATGAGTTTATCTATGCTTATTGTTATACAATAGAAAAGTGTATTTCAATCAAAGTGGCTGACACAGAAAAAAAAAAGTGATTTGCAGATTCAGTGCAGTGCAACTATTTGATGTTTACATTGGATCCTCATCACGGAAAGACTGTTTTGTTGTTCTGTTGTCTTGTTGCAAATAAAGGATAAAATAGTAGAATTGCGTTATTATTCTGTAGGAAAGACAACCGTAAACGGCAGAATCCAGGAAACAAAACATAAGATTTTGAGACATGTCAAATGCAACTCTCTCTCTGTAATTGCAATTTCAGAGAAGACACAATATTGCACTGATATGATCTGACTTTATTCATCGCGTCTCAATGCCTTTTATAGTTTACAACAATAACAGAAGCAAACGAAAAACAAGGACACGACTCCACTAGCTCTAGTTTATAGCAAACTGAAACAAACTAAAGAGAACAAGTCTCTTTTATTCCAACACATGCTTCCACAGAAACTAGTATCCCCCGTACTTGTGAGATTCTTCTTTCGAAAATTTTACATGTTCTTCTGAAAAATGGTAAATCACGTACCATGAATTCTGTGCTGTCTGGCCTCAATAAAATCCATTTATAGTTCCAGATCACTTTCTCCAAGTTTTTCTTCTCTTGAGCAATTGTTTGGCAAGTGAGATGAAGCAGACCTTTGATGTTGAGGTAATTAGCAGCGACAAGGAGCTCGAAGATGGTGGAATGATCCATGATGTTATTCATGAACTGGGCGTCCCATTGCTTGAGATCCTCCTTGGAGAAAGAGTCACCATAGGCGTGCTTGTTACAGTACTCGATCACTTTGCTGAGGGTTTTGCCCGTGACGTTTTCAAGCCGGATTTTGGGGCAACCGCAATCGTCACCAACCATATGCGCAATCGTTTGAGATTGGAGTGCGACCGCTTCTTCGACCTTGAACGATTTATTATCGGAGCTCTTCAACACGATCATCTTCTTCTTCTTCTTCTTCCTGGACATCGTTTGTTGTTGTTTCTCTGTAAGCAGATTTACCTCCAAATCAAATAACTCATCAGACCTCTCCAATTTGTCCTTATTTCCCAAACAAAATCTGTTAATTTGGGCTAGCATTGTGAACCTCGTCTGTAAGTGAAATCGTTCGAGAGAGCGATTGATTGGATCGCAAGGTAAGGAATCAAGTTTATGATGGCTGTGTCCTGTGTATTTATAAGTCGTGGCATCCACGTTTCCTTTCTTCATAAAAAAGTAAAATAGATATTTCGTGGGATCAACGTTTCCTTTTTTGTTTTCCAGAAAAGGAAATAATTATTTGTCGTGCAAAAATGTAATTCATTCCTTCTTTAGAGCAGTATACACATGGAAAAAAGTTGAACTCTGATCAAAAGTTATTTTATCGTATCTGCAAAGTAAGGGAAGTTGCGAAGAAATTGCTAAAGAGTTCGCAGATATGCAACCGTGAGTGAGATTTTCCTGTGTCATTTTTTTTATATATAAGTTTGATTACAGTGAGTGAAGCCTCACAATTTCTGTGGAAACAGATTTTTTTGCTCCAAAGTCTTAAGAAAAAAGCAATTGAAGCATTCCAGGATGGAGGAGCTCTCACCACCAAGAAAAAGACGAGGCTTTTTGCTTGTTTCTTGTAGGATCAACCTGTATGATCTTATCAATCTATCTATCTATCTTTAGTCCAAACAAAGATACATTATGAATGGCTTGTTTTGTTGTGTTGATGAAATTTCCAACAATCTATGCCCAAGTTATTTATTGATTACTTGCGTTTTACTCTTCTCTGTAAAAATATCCAAACTTGGAGAAAGCGGATACAAAAGTTTCCAACAATTCCAAACTTGTTCTCCACTTGACGACCCCATTTGTGCCATCAAGACCAGGCCATCAACGCCAATTAACATTCAAATTAAGACATCGTCTTCCTTAAAAATTCAAATTCATATTCCGGTAAAACAGTAAAAACTGTTGGTAACTTCGACATTAGCCCTTTAACTGATAGGAAAAAAGATTAGTTTATGTAATTTGAATTATGGGATTTTATGTGTTTTAAGACAAATATTTTTGATTCATTTGCATAGACGAGTAGTAGCTCCTAATGAATTGTTCCTGCAGATTTTAGCTCCTAACTCCTATCGAGAACACAGAACAGAAAGTATCCACATTCAGAAGTTTGTGTGAGTCTGTGAGAATGAGTTGGACAGAATCAACTACATGAGAAAATCTTTTGCAGCAGGTGATCTTCGCTAAACCAAGGAGAAAATGCTGTAAAGAACACTTAGGATTCCTTCTCCTCGTCTGTGACATCCATCACAAAAAATGCTTCTCAAGTTGTAGATGGTGCATTTAACAATGCGTTTTCTACACTAGACCAAACAGGAGATATAGCTGGAAGGATGCTTCAAACAGAGCAGTTTTTGTTGCCATTGAGTTGTTGAGGCAATCAGTTAGTATTGCAGAGAGTTCCTTAGCAAATGGAGTTTCTTTTGTTGTCTACTCTTCTGGCTCAGCAAAGAAATTACTTCCTTAAAAAAGCTCTTCTTTGGTTTCTTATAATGTGACAGAAGCCATAGTTGGTGCAAGGTGGGTTTAGATCATGGGTTAAGGAAGGTCTTCGTGTGAAATAGCCAAAACCTGAGACAAAACTTACCATCCTTTACGAGGTATCTATCACTTAACAATGATGGTTCTTCTTCTTCTACAAGGTTGTTGTTTGCACGGGTGAAACTTGGAGCACAGGCTTTCTCATGTGCTGCAGAAAAACTTGAGACAAATGGTGTTGGCCTCCCAACTTCACCTTCTTATTCAATTTTATTTTTATTTTTGTCAAGAATTACTTTGTTAGTCTCTTGGAACCGTTACCATTCATAATTCAATCAAAGTGGCTGACAATCACAAACCGCAATGGCTAGAGTTGTTGCATTTGGCAATCTTCCTTTTCCTCATATTCTAACTCAGGTAATCAAGATCAGAGCCACACTCAATCTCAGCATCATAAACCTGCACCAGATACAGAATCAAACCGCAATGGAGAACCAGATCCAAGAGGAAATTCAGAGTCAAGATGAGAACTTTAGCCATAGTTCTGCCTCTTAGAAAATGGTGACTAGGATAGATTCTTTCTAGCTAGATACAATATCAATTTTCTTTCTTTCTAGATACAATATAGTCTGGACTAAGATATACAAAAGAAGAACAAGTTTTAAAACAGGTAGGTCATCTCTGGAATTCGAAAAAGGGTCTGTTATTTAAAGATTCATGAGTTTATCTATGCTTATCAAGTTACTAAATGTGTTTGACAACTTTTTGAGATAATTAACTTTTCCTTTTGATGTAATATTCTTATAACTAAGGTGGTCAAAAGTGCATCAGAGGCTTGTTAACTCGGTCATGAGCAACCTGTAAAACAAGAACGAACACAGTAAAATGTTCCTGTCACAAATATACATGCTCGGTGTCAAATATTGCCAAAATCATATTAAAAACCAGAACAAAATTTAGATATTTAAAGATATGAATTTTGGATAAAAGATGTATTTCATAAACGACAAATGCGATTGAGACAAATGGTGTTCGCCTCCCAACTTTGCCTGCCTTCTTCCTCGGATGTTCACGCCCTATTAACCTTTTAGATCATTCTTGTACGAAAGGAGCCACCACACTTCGGAAAACAGCAATGAGCATAAGAAATACAACAATGAACGATACAAGCACCCATGGGGAATCAAAGTAATTGCGTTTAAACCGTGCCCAATACCCGGTGCCACGTTTGCATGTGTAAGCGTTGATGACTTCAAACGTGGGTTCAAAATAAGTGCGAGATAAATCCAATGCAATACACTTGCTCAAGCCTTTAAAAAAGTGTGAGGTCTTTTCGTAATCGCCAGAAAAGCAGTTTCCAATGATGCACTTCTCGCGCAATAACGATACGTCTTCCTTGTCGTTCATCAAAAATCCCATCAATACTATGTAGCTGGTGAAGTGGTCTTCGGACTTCATACAACATTGCTCAAAGGCGACAACATTATATAGTAACGTGCCAGTGAACTGATCCAATAACAAATGGGGTATAACAAGGGCATTGTTTTGTAGACCGATAGCCAGGATCGTGTTTGCACTCCAATCAGCCTTGAACTCAATGCCTTGGAGTTCAAGTTTCCTAGCTGGAAATATATCTCTCTTCCTGGGAACATAAGAGGTCGCACCTAGTCGATTCAATTGAGAAGAAGAGGGAGGAATTTGAGACTGCCGAATCAGATGAAGAAGATGTCTTGGTTCAGAACCCACTATCCGTTCCATCACTCGCTCAACAGACAAAAATCTCAATGAAGAGGAGAAGAATTCGCATAGAAGTCTTTTAAGAGAAACATCTATACCAGATTTTGCAAAGAGAGTTTCGAGGACGATGTAAGGGACCTGGTTTTCTAAGAGGAGGAGATCTCTGCGAAGAGTCGGGAGAATCCAGGGAACCGTGAATATGGGAACCGTGAATATGGTATCACTTCCGAATGACACATGTCTTAAGGCAACCAAAACAACCATGATAATGAAACAACCATCAAGAATCATTATCTTCACTAATTCTTCTCTGCTTAGTTGGAGATGTTCAGAGTAAGAATCTCTTATGGTCTCTTCCAAAGCGCCCACATCATCCTCCAATGAAGTCATGGACACTGGTCCCCCAAGTCTGTTTCCTGTTTCGAGAAAGAGCTCAAGAAACCGTTGCTTGTGCATCTGAATGGTTTCCAGACCTTTGTCATTGTAATGATAAGGACCAACAGATACTATCTCGGGCTGAAAAGCCTTGGGATTGGTTCGCTGAAGTGGTGTAGGAGCTTTGAAGATGCAACAGTTTTCATGGCGTGACACCTTGGTCAACACGATCATCTCCTTCTCCTTAGACATGGTTTGTTGTTGTTGTGGGGCGAGTTTCTATGGATGAAAGTTCAAAGAATTCGAGAGAAAGGATTGATTGGATCGTAATAAGGTAATGAAGTTTATGAATTGTTCCTCTGTATTTATAAGCCCGGTGGGATCAAACTTTCCATTATTTGGGAAAATAAAATGGAAATAGCTATTCGTCAAAAAAAAGGTAATTTGAGAGGAAAAAAAAGAAGAAAAGGATATACAAACATAACTATCGAAATTTTCCAAAATCAGTTTTAGATCAGAACCAGTTAGATATTTTCTTAAAGCCGAAGGTGAAACCCTAAAAGAGCTTACAAGAGGTTTCGATGGATAACTACCAAAAGTTGTGGTAATTCATAATTAGTTTACACAATGTCGAGAAAATCAAATTCACGCCATGTACAAGTATAACAAATTTTTAATCCTTTGGTGAAAATACAATCATACGGCAATTACTAGTTGCAACACCAAACAAGAACATACAAAGCCCACCAACAACAACAAACAAAGAAAAAAAGAACTCTGAGACCAAGAAAAGTGTGAGTCACAAATTTCAAAACAGGTAGGTCATCTCTGGAATTCGAAAAAGGGTCTGTTATTTAAAGAATTTCATTTATGTACACTATGTTTTTGACAACTTTTTGAGGCAACTCGTTTTTCCTTGTGATGTAATAACTAAAGTCTAAAGTAGTCCAAAGTCCATCAAAGGCTTTTTAATTGACTCATGAGCAACCTTTAAAACTGAAACACAGTAAAGTGTAACAAGCTGATTGCAGACAGGATTCATACGTGGATGAGGAGGATGATCATGTTCATGTACACTGGTTGTTTTCATTTAGAAGATCTAAGACGTTCACAACCAGATCCAAGGAGATACAAACTTTCAGTTTCAATTTTATTATATTCCTTGTGTACTACATTACATCAATCGATTCATGCGGATTATGGTAAGTTGGTAACTCATTTCATCTTTCATAAAGTGAAAGTAGACGTTAAAAAAGAAAAGAAAAAGTAAATACAAAATATTTATTAGGAAAATATTGTATAAATATTTGTTTGTTACATTTTGGAATAAATGTGAACTCATGGACTTTAGTTTTGTCTTTTTTTACATTCGAATTAATATTTTAAAGTTTCATTTAAAATACATTAGATATTTAAAGATATGAATTTTGGATAGATTTCAAAATTGTGGCTAGATAAAATTCATAAATTATAAATATGAGCGTTTTTTATATCCAAATTTCCTTTTCTGAAATTTTGATACAAACTTTGATTGTTTGATTATTGGCAGAGGTGATCAGAGTGGATTTCTTCATCGCCGGTTCCGATGTCGATGAAACGGATCGCCGAACACAATAAGAAGATGAAGATTACTGAGGAGCAATAGACTTGCTAAACGAGGTATGATTCTATGTCTTGGATATGAAAGTTGGTATCTTTTTAAGCTAAGAGATTGTAGTTACTGGAGATATATGTTTGGTTGTGAGCTTAACTCTGATAAAAAGTCCATTAGACAATTTAGACTTAGTGTTGGTCTATTGTTCTTTCTTTCTCATTACGTTAATCTCAGGCGCTTCAGAGCTATGCAGAATCTGAGAAATACTTCCTGGACTGGGCTGCCATTCTCCGTAAACATGCAAGCAATCTCGAGTCTGAAGAAGTAGTTATCTTATCGTATCTGCAAAGTAAGGGAAGGTGCGAAGAAATTGCTAAAGAGTTCGCAGATATGCTACGGCCTATACTTGAAGAGGTGAGGTTTTCATGTTTCATTGTTTTTATATAAGTTTTGATTACAGTGAGTGAAGTCTCTAGCTGAACTTTTGAATATCACAATTTCTGTGGAAACAGATTTTTTTGCTCCAAAGTCTTAAGAAAAAAGCGATTGAAGCATTCCCGGATGGAGGAGCTCTCACCACCAAGAAAAAGACGAAGATGAGGCTTTTTGGTTGTTTCTTGTAGGATTAACCTGTATGATCTTATCTATCTATCTATCTTTAGCCCAAACAAAGATACATTATGAATGGTTCGTTATTTAAAGATTCATGAGTTTATCTATGCTTAAAGTGTATTTCAATCAAAGTGGTTGACACAGAAAAAAAAAATGATTTGCAGATTCAATGCAGTGCAACTATTTGATGTTTACATTGGATCCTCATCACGGAAAGACTGTTTAATTTGTTCTGTTCTCTTTTTTTGCAAATAAAGGATAAAATAGTAGAGTTGCATTATTATTCTGTAGGAAAGACAACCGTAAACGCCAGAATCCAGGAAACAAAACATAAGATTATAAGACATGTCAAATGCAAGCAAACGAAAAACAAGGACACGACTCCACTAGCTCTAGTTTATCGCAAACAGAAATGACTGAAACAAACTAAAGAGAACAAGTCTCTTTTATTCCAACACATGCTTCCACAGATGCTTCGACAGAAGCTAGTAGCTCCCGTACTGGTTCGATTCTTCTTTCTAAAAGTTTAGCTGTTCGTTGGTAAAATGGTAAATCACGTACCATGAATTCTGTGCTGTCTGGCCTCAATAAAATCCATTTATAGTTCCAGATCACTTTCTCCAAGTTTTTCTTCTCTTGAGCAATTGTTTGGCAAGTGAGATGAAGCAGACCTTTGATGTTGAGATAATTAGCAGCGACAAGTAGATCGAAGATGGTGGAATGATCCATGATGTTATTCATGAACTGGGCGTCCCATTGCTTGAGATCCTCCTTGGAGAAAGAGTCACCATAGGCGTGCTTGTTACAGTACTCGATCACTTTGCTGAGGGTTTTGCCCGTGACGTTTTCAAGCCGGATTTTGGGGCAATCGCAATCGTCACCAACCATATGCGCAATCGTTTGAGATTGGAGTGCGACCGCTTCTTCGATCTTGAACGATTTATTATCGGAGCTCTTCAACACGATCATCTTCTTCTTCTTCTTCTTGAAAATCGTTTGTTGTTGTTTCTCTGGAAGAAGATTTATCTCCAATTCATTTAACTCATCAGACCTCTCCAATTTGTCTTTATTTTCCCCAAAAAATCTGTTAATTAGGGCTAGCATTGCGATTGATTGGATCGCAAGATAAGGAATCAAGTTTAGGAGGGTTGTGTGTATTTATAAGTCGTGGGATCAATATTTACCTTTTTCAAAAAAGGAAAATAGATGCACTTAAAAACACATTGCGAAAAGTTAGTGCAAATTATCTAAGGGCTTGCATGATGGCTTTCTTCAGCTCAGTTGGCACACATTCATCTGATTTCAAACAACAAGATGTTAAAGATAATCAACATACTAATCAATATCCACTATGCAAAGAGATTGTTATACACTCACCAATTAAGTTCCCAGTCAATTCAACAAGTAATTGAACTGGTAAAAGTAGTCGAGCAAGTTGGGACCGAGTCAGCTTCCTCTCTCCTGCTTGCATGATGGCTTTCTTCAGCTCAGTTGGCACACAAAAACCTGATTTCAAACACCATAGATAAACAAGGTTAAAGATAACCAACATACTAATGAAAATCAAAATAGCACACAAATGGGAAACACAGTTATTTATGGACCAACAATCCATCAATGAATGAAGAAAAACATTAACAACCAGGAAGCTCTTGTTAGATAATATCCATGTGGAACAAGAAAGTTTCACGAGAAAGAAGAAAGGTAATCGAGGGCTTGATCAACATATATATCAACAAAGGAGAATTTTAACACAAATCAATTAGCACAAGTCCCTTATAAGAAGTAAGAAACCACAACAATTATTACTGCTGGAAACGGAATTCAAATCACAACAAAGGAGAACGTTAACAAAAGTCCCTTAATAGAAATCACAATAATCCACTGGCGACGAAGGCATAAGCCTAATCTCGGAAACTATATGAAACCTAATTTTGATTCCTACATTTGTTGATATATATCCCCATTCAAACAATAATCCTGTTTTTAAACCTAATAGGGAACAATGTGTCCATACATTAAATTTGATTCGACTTTGTGACAAGGAATAAGTTGATCAACGATCTTTAACTTTAAGATAACCTGAGTAAGATTCAAAGTCATGATGACAAGTTGACAACTATAGCCATAGTCTTGCCCTTTATAGAATGATGACTACAATAGCATGAGTAATATATTCAAAAGAAGAATCGTTTAAAACAGGTTGGTCATCTTTGGAATTCGAAAAATTGTTTTTTAAGTTAATGATTCATGTAGGTCATATTTGGAATTCCAGCATCTATGTTAATATACAAACATAAATGAATCTAGTGAGACATTGTTTATTCATGGTTGAAACTTTGAAAAAAGGGCAGGCTTCAACTTCAGAGTGATATCACTGTAGGGTTGTTCCTGTTGCACATCTACAAGTCCTCTAGATTTCAATACCTGTAATCCAAAAAAACAACGCGTCTCAATTAAAGGCAATGCAGAGATATAAAGAAACAATCTGTATAGAGAATCAATTACCAGTGTCTCGAAGAACATCCGAGCAGCTAGCTTCCTCGTCTTTCCTGCCAAGATCTTGCTCAAACTTAGATCTCCAGAAGGAGATCTTGAAGTGGGACTACTCGAAGAACGTTCTTTAAGATACTGAGCCAAGGCTCTGCAATGTTCAATGAATGTTACATGTTAGTAGAGAAACAAGTAGGCTCATTCTTAGTGCTACATGGTTTTTTGGAAATCTTGGTACCTTGTTCTCCCTGTCAAACCATCAGAATCTTGACTAGCTGGTGATTCTACCGGGGTATTGCTCCCTACCTCCAGAAAATAAAGTTCCTGTAATGGTATTTGCTATCAATGTTAGCAAAACACCACGAAATGGTAAAAACAAAACACTTAAAAACGTGAGAACAAACCTCGTCCTGCATCTCAGGTATATCTGAAAGCCCCGAGTTTCTTTGTCCACGCAGATCCTCTGAATTTGTGGAAGCTGAAGGCTCTGACCGCTCTGTTCTGTAAGAAGATCCTGTCTCCCACGATCCAGGCTGAGTGGTGAAGTCATCGGTTCTAGCTGGTGAAGATCTTGGAGCCGGTGACCGCATGAACTCAGGGTAACCACCATCCCTTAAACGTTCGATTCCTGTGTCGTCATTATTAAACGACATAGGAGATTGTGCTTGTCTTGCTACAGACTCTGCATGCCCGGACTGATGAACATCTTCAGTTTGCATATCAGGAGACAGCTGCAATGTTCTGTCAGGACTAGTAGAGTCAGGAACCGTAGACTGTGGAACTGGAGAGGACGGGTTAACTTCTGTTTCAGCTTCTCGAGTAGGAGATGACACAGATACAGATGCAGGTTCTGTAACAGTTTCATCAGGAACAGCAAGATATGGCTTTGAAGATACACAGTCCTTTTCAAAGACGCTGCGTAACTCATCTGAGAAGCCTGCGGATACACATAGACAAATCAATAAACTTTCTTCAAAATCAAAGAAGGTAAAAGTAAAACGGTTGGACAATAAAAGAGAATCACTTGAAAATAAAATTACCAGTAAGCACAGGCTCATTGAAAATTTGATCCATCTTTGACTGGTTATTCAGTCTCCAAACATTTAGTTTAGATGAAGGCAGCTTCTTTCTCTTACGAAGAGTATCACTAGCATCTTCAAGCCTTTCTCTCATGAACCTGTCCCAAACTCTTTGATCAGTACGAATAGGTAATGAAATAATAAAAAGTTACTGTAAGCAATGGATGAAGTTATTTTACCTGTTGGTTAATACTGTGACCTTGTCAAAGTTCTTCCTCTTCCTTGGCCTTGCTTGTGGTTGGGGAGGAGGAGATGGCTGTAGAGCCAGTTGAGGTGATGGATGCACTTAACACATCGAAAAAAAAAAAACAATAAGATAGTGAATACAATGTTTCTTTAAGCATAATATCATCAGGCAATGTTGTGTACTCACCAAAATCTGCACGTTCTTCCTCGGAACGAACAAAACTTGGAGATCCTGAGAGAAGCTCAAACGTCGAATGTCCTCTAGAGTTCAACATTTCTTCATCAATGTCAGGGATAGTGGCTTCCTTGTCGTTCAAAGTTTCATCCAAAGATTCAGAGCGTTCAACTCTTGGAGAAAGAGGTGGGTGGGACGCAGGGCTTAAGTCGTGTGCAGCGTCACGCCTTATCTCAATCTCGGGAACACTTCCAGGAGAATTGGCATGGCTTCTCTCCGGACTAGCATTGAGGGGTTCTGTCAAGTTACTTGGTCTAGGATCATGGAATTCAGGGATTTCCTCTGTGTCGTTATTGTAGCCACGATGCTCACTGTTTGGTTCTGTCTCATTAGCCATGTCAACATCAGTATCTCCACGATGCTCACTAACAGGTTCTGTGGATTGGCTGCTTAAATCATATAAAGATGTAACCACATTAGATGAAAAAAACATATGCTTGAACAGGGGAAGAAACAGGGGAAGTAGAGGAAATCAAAAACTGTTTGAAGACTCACTCGACATTCATCGGAGTAGATTCTGGAAAGATGTCCTGTAAAAAAGACATACAAACTCTCTTTCAGTAACAATCTCTCAGAGCCAAAATCAACTTCAAAGTCTATAGATACAAGCAAGGAATCTCACCTCGTCGAATGTTACAGCAACATAAGGATCAACGCCAGTAGGAATTTGATCTGCACAATCAGCATCAGGATCATAAACACCTTGAATCATAGTAATGATGCATCAACATCAACAAAGAATAATAAGCAAAAGGTACCTGTGAGAGTGATATCTTCCGCACTCATAAGATGATTATCAAATTCCCTAGGATTCACAAGAACATAATTTAAACTCTTAAGATCTTTTCATTACAGTGTCAAAATCCAACAAAAAGAGAGTGAAGAAGATAGATACCCCTCGCGTGTGTCATCCTCCAATTCAAAGTCGTCCAAGTTCAGTGCTTGAGGCAAAGTCACTGACTCAACCGGAGCCTGTCTCGCGTCCTCTGGCAAGTCAACTTGAGTGGAAACGAAAGCCTTAGCCAACCAAGTGCTAAAGAGGTTACAGTCACGGAAGAGATAATCGACCTGCTTCGAATATATTCGCACAACCCCAAGGAGAAGGTGACCTGACAGTCTCAGTGCCATTGGTGCATCAGGAACCATTATAAGATCTGCAAAGACAAAATTACATATATAAATCAACAATCCTGCATATGATCAATCAATTCAAACCTAACCAGAGAGACAGAGAGAATGAGCGTTGAAAAGTCTAAACTTTTACTGATTATAAACTCAATAGTAAACCAGGCCAGAGCGCAATTTGGTGATTGGTGTAGATTTTTTCGAATTGGATTTACAAATTGGCATACTTTATAATTTCACAAACAATCAACAATCCTGCAATTGATCAATCAATTCAAAACCTAACCAGAGAGACAGAGAGAGCGCGTTGAAAAGTCTTAAACTTTTACTAATTAGAAACTCAGGTAAAAGAGGACAAAGCGCAATTTGGTGACTGGCGAATACCCATGTCAAGAATAATCACAATTGAACGGAAAAAGTGTTGATTTTTCGAATTCGATTTAAAGTGAGATGAAGAAAAAAAAACCAAACTTTGATGAGAGAGCAATAATATCGAAGAGAGGAAGACGACGAACCAACAGTGTCGGGGATGTTGGTGGAGGTGTAGTGAGACTTCTTGAGGAGATGTTGCAAGTGAACGGCACACCACACCGTACCCAACGGACCCTTTCGAGCCAAATAGGTATGCGAATAAAACATTTATTCGTCGAAATCTAAAGGTATCAGATTTAGAGAGAAATCAAGTAAACAGGGCAAGGTTCTTCGCTCTGGATAAACAGAACAAAAAAAACACTAAACAAGTAGAGATGGAGACTGAGTGGGTTTTGAGAGAGAAGGAATATCGAAGGGAAAAGAGGAACCCAATCGATTTCGAACAGAGGGACGAAGAGGTTAGGGTTTTTTGTTTAATGTGATTTTGGAGGAGACAAATAGATTTTAGTGGCGCGGGAAACGATTTTGGCGCGATGTTGAAAATAGTGGAAAGTTATGTGACATAATCAGGGTTAAATAATGAGAATGCGATAATAAAGGGATCTAAAAGAAAAGAAATTCTGGTCGAAATTTGCAAATATTAATTTGGGCCATAAACCCAATAGCCAAATGGTTTGGATTTACTAGGCCCGAAGGGATATAACACAGTTTAGGGTTTCTTTCTTAAAGAGAATATTTAAAGTTTTGTGTTTCTTCCAGTCGCTTGCTTGGGTTCTCTGAAAGTTGCAGCGACCAAAATCAGATCCGAGAATGGTATTTTTCCGTCGTCTCTAAGTTCTTGTCATTCTTCCTGAAGGCTATTGAATCTTTTTGTATTAGCTGTTACATCATTAGGACATCACTGTCTTGATAGTTCTGTCTTGTCTTCTTTTATAGAATTTGACTGTTTGTCCTCGACACTGGAATTTTAGTATCCCGGATGAAGTTAATCTATAATTGTGTTGGTCTCAAGTATGGTTTCTAATTGTCTAGTAGACTAAGTATCATTCCTCGTCATTAATCTATTTGCTTAAGTTGATGGTTATCAGTACATTTTGCTTAAAATTTTGTTTTGAGTTCTTGATTGTTTCTATTGATTTTTTTTTATTACGCATTCTGGGATTTGTCTGAAGTTGTATTGACTGGAAATGGGATGTTGATTTGAATATGTGTGTAGCCTAAGCAAATCCACGAGATCAAGGACTTCCTTCTGACGGCGAGAAGGAAGGATGCAAGGTCGGTGAAGATCAAGAGAAGCAAGGATATCGTCAAGTTCAAGGTCAGGTGCTCAAGCTACCTCTACACACTATGCGTCTTTGACCAAGAGAAGGCTGATAAGCTTAAGCAGTCACTTCCTCCAGGTTATTAATCTCTTCTCTCTCTCTCACACCTCATATTCGTAGTGTAGTTCTTATATTACAAACTTGCTATCAATCAATTGAAACCTCCCTCTTATATCACAACATTGTTCGATTTTGGCATGTGTTTTACTAGGGTTTAAGGAATCTCATCACATAGAAATTTGTTAGATTGTGATATATGGATCTTTATAGGCTTTTTGGTGATTGTATGATAGTTTGTACATATGCAATTGGTTATATCATATGATAGTCTTAGATTTTAGCATCTTTGAGTATGTGATAAGTGTTAAAAATTGGAAATTTACAAATGCATTTGGAATTTATTTCAGGTTTGAGTGTGCAAGAGCTTTGAAGATCTTTTGATGTCAGTTTTCGTCAGTGGTCTACCAATAGCAGAAGTTTAATATTCTGTCCATTTTGTTTTTTACCATCTCTTAATTTCAGACTTAAACAGAGTGGAATCGTATTTTGCTTCTTTTTGTTGCTTTTTCAAGTGTGCTTATTTCCGGATATACTACTCGTGTTCTCTCATCTTTAAGAGACGAAATGACTTACGATAACTCATTCTAATGATTGAACAAGATTTGAAGCATTTCAGTCATTGTCAACTAGTTGCATTACAAAAATTCGAAATGAAACACGTTAAAATCAACCTCATTGAATCTAGCGTAGTTATAGTACAAACTATTGAAACATCATATTCTCAAAAAAAAAAAAAAAAAAAAAAAAAAAAGCTATTGAAACATCATCTTTTGAGTTTTTTAACAGTGTGTTTGAGTCTTTGAGAAGGAAGTCCAACAATAACATCATACAAGTTCAACTTCCTGAGAAAACGATTTAAACGCCGTCGTTTTGGGTAAAAGGACATTTGCTGATAAATCTACTTGTCTTGTCTTAACAGTGTATCGGATGTGAAAAATTTGCCGTCGTTCTTTGGTTTTCTCTATCTAAATTGTTGTTTTTGAGAGGCAAATTTCACTGGATTTACATTTCAAATAGATTACAAATCGTCACAAATCTTCTCATCTCCATCGTAGAATCTCGCTGTGCTTCTTCGGGGGATTTTTGTTTTGAAATTTGAACCCAATTTGACGGGTGGGTCGAGAAGGCTGGCGATGGCTCCAGTAATGAAGCCTTCAAGAGGCCGAGAAGCAGACGGATCTGATTTCCAATCGAGCAATCTCTGGGTCGGTAGTTTGACGACCGATACTACAGAATCCGATCTGGCCGATCTGTTCGGAAGGTTCGGTGAAATCGACAGAGTCACTGTGTATTCTTCCCGTAGCTTCGCTTTTGTATACTACAGGCGCGTCGAGGAAGCTGTGGCGGCGAAGGAGGCGCTTCAAGGTGCAAACTTGAAGGGGAGTCAGATTAAGATCGAATACGCGAGACCGGTTTGTTCTCATCTCTGCGTTACCTCCTTAGCTCTCCTTTGTCGTTTCTTCCTAACTTTTGATCCAAATTGGGAAACTTTCCGGATTTTGATCGTCACTTATGCTCTGTTTAGCTCGAGAAAAATTGTTGCTTTTTAGTGTTTTTGCGTTTCTCAATCAAAATCAAAAACTCGAAATATCTTAAACGTTCAACGGTTAATCAAACTCGTCGTCCCATGCGATCTTTTTGAGCTTCCCGACAAAGCTGTTGTCGAACCGATTCCACCAAACGAGCACAGCGCAATATGTATCTCATTTATGACTTTGCAGACTTACACCGTGTCCGAATTCAATGTGGATTGATTTCGTAATCGTAAGCCGATGTAAATCACTCTGAATCAGGTTTTGCTATCAGGTCTTGATCTCTGAAGTTCGTTCCAGATACAGTTTGGTATTTGTCAATCTCGTAAGATTGAGTGTAAACTTCAAATGTGTATTCAGTTCGAGTATTTGAAGCTGCTTCCGCACTCAGAAACGCTTAAGATGAATGCTTGCGGTAACAATTCGCAAGCTAGTATATCGATTTCCAGCGAAATGTATCAATATCTTAAGCCCAGTTATACAATCCTTGTAGTTCCTCTAGCCATCAGAGATGTAATAGTTACACTACCAACAGGGTGGAATAATCAACACAAGTATTTTTGTGGAAACAATGTTATCATCTTGTTGATTTTGAAGAGGATATTGGCTCTTCTCCATTTATGGAAATTATTCTCATCAAGTAGTGTTGTGTGTTTAGGGTAGTAATTGTCATTGATATTAACTTACTACAGCAGTGTCCTTGTGAAATAACTGCAGTCTGGTTTGTTCTGTAGTGTAAAAAAGTTCTCTTTATGACAACTAGAAACCAATCTGGATTTTAAGAAATGTCAATTTGGCTTCTTATGGAAATTGTTTGTTTGCAGGCAAAACCTTGTAAGAGTCTTTGGGTGGGTGGAATCAGCCCGAGTGTCTCAAAGGATGAGCTCAAGGCAGAGTTCAGGAAATTTGGGAAAATCGAAGATTTCAGGTTCCTTAGGGATCGCAAGACAGCTTTTATTGACTTTTGTGACATGGACGACGCTATACAGGCAAAGAGCATGAACGGAAAGCGTATAGGTGGGAGTTTTCTGCGAGTTGATTTTCTTCGGTCTCAAGGGCCAAGAAAAGTAAGCATCCTCTTGTTCGCTCTTGTTTACATACAGGGAATAAGCTTTAGTAACCATTTTGTAACAACTCCCTACTGAGTACACTAAGTGTCATGATCTGTAAACAGACTTCCATGGCTATCTTATTTACTTTTCATATTTACGCTGTCGTATCTGAGTTCAGATTGTTATGTGCTTAGAAAGCTTTGTGCCTGCCAAGATCCTGAGCTCAAATTGTTATGTACTTAACAGTATCCTCACTCATTTGGAGATGGACAACCAAGTAAGGAAGGACTACAGGGAAGCTTATTCAACGATCCAGGAATCACAATTATGTACAAACACGATATCATTCCCCCTGAACGAGGATATGACACTGGTTTGAATTCTGGTGTCAAACGGTCAAGGCCTGAGACGTTCATCAATGATCCTCCATACATATCATCTCCACACTCCAGCGTTGTTCTTGACCCTACGAGGCCCTTCCGAGGTAGCATGGAACGTTTGCATAGTGGTCCAGAATATAGCAAAGTGGTTGGTAAGGAAGGAAGCTGGAGGAGGCCATCTCCAACTGGTGCTGGATTACTTCCGTCTCCTGCACCAAGTACAAGGCTACCCTTTATGTCAAACCGTGGTTCTTGGGAAGGGTATGATCCTGCTCAGTTGGATAGAGAACCTAAAAGAATCCGTAGAGATGGATCAGTAGATGATCGGGCATATGGGCGTGCCTCAGTTGCAGCTAGACCGGGGCGTGGTTTTCCTGATACTGATTTCATTTGGAGGGGAGTCATTGCCAAAGGTGGAACTCCTGTGTGTCATGCTCGTTGTGTTCCTATTGGAAAAGGGATTGAAACAGAACTGTGAGTCACATTTTGTTCATTGGTTAGAAGTTATGTATCTGTTCATTCTTTTTGATGTGATATTTGTTGTCTATATATCTGATCTCAAAATGGATTGCAGTAGTGTTTATTTGAGTCACTGATAACACTGCCATCGACTACTGATTCTCGGTTTTTTCGAATGGTTAATAGCCCTGAGATGGTCAATTGTTCAGCAAGAACGGGTTTGGATATGCTTGCAAAGCATTACACCGAAGCAGTTGGATTCGAAATAGTTTTCTTCTTACCAGACAGCGAAGACGATTTCGCGTCTTACACTGAATTTCTCCGCTACCTTGGTTCAAATAATCGAGCAGGCGTTGCCAAATTAGATGATGGAACCACTTTGTTCTTGGTTCCTCCATCAGATTTCTTAACTCATGTCCTCAAAGTATCTGGTCCAGAACGGCTATATGGTGTTGTTCTCAAATTGCCTCCCCCACCTGTTCCTGCAGCATCATCGTATAGACAAGAATCTCAGCCCATTCCTCAATCCTATTTGGATCAATCTCGGGATTCGCCTGCCAATGCCAATAACGGTTTGTATGATCGAGCCTTGTTTGATTACAACAGGAGTATGCAGGAAGAAGTGAAGCCTCCTCCAAAAGCATTGTTTGCTCCTTCTAGCGAGCCTGTTTCTGTATCTAACACTGCAATGCCTCAAGCCGGGGTTAGTCTAACTCCCGAGCTATTAGCCACTCTGGCCTCCTTACTCCCTGAAACTTCTCGATCTATTATTGCCTCTGAGAGTCACCAATCCGTTGGAGTGTCTAATGTAGAAGCTCCGTCCCAAGCTTGGAATCGAGACCAGCCAATGGTTTCTGAACCATTGAATCGATCATTCCAACAATTTGGAAATCAATACAATCCTCCGATACATTATCCTCCAGTATCAAGCACACCGAGCTACTCCAGTGGAATGGTACATGGTGGTATGCAATACCAAGCCCCATATGTTAGTATGCCTCAGCAGGCGCCGTTACCTTCTCCTTTATCGAATAATTACGCCACGTACTCACAAGGTTCACATCAAGCTGTTTCTCAACCCATGAGACCACAATATCAACCTGAAGCTCATATGCTTAACCAAAACTACATACCGGTCCCTGGAGCTGAGAACCCTGCTTTGCATGTTTATCAGCAAGGTAATTATCACGGTCTGGCAAATAATCAAGCGCATAGCGGAAATTATTCCCATTCTCAAACTGCGATGCAACCACTAGCGAACAAGACAAACTTGGATCCGTCTGGCCATGCACAGCAGCAGCAGCTCCAGACTTTGCTCCCTGGAGCTAATCAAGGTACTTCAGATGGTGAGGTCGATAAGAACCAGCGATATCAGTCTACACTACAGCTTGCTGCTAACCTTCTTCAACAGATTCAGCAACAGCAGCAACTGCCATCAAATGCTTCGACTGGACAACGGCCTTGACACTTAGCTCCACATGCCCTCATAATCTATTGGTACTTTTCACAATCCGTACTCTTTGGCATCTGATAAAGTGCTATCAATATTCTTCTACTCGTCTTGCATATGCACATTGTGCTGAAATCAAATAGTTACTAGGGTCTTCTGCTGTGATGATGTCCCCTGCTACAATATTTCTTCTTGAACGAAACTGTTAACTATGTGTGCCATCTCGTAATAGAAACCGTTTGAAATCTTCTCTGCATGTGTTGCATCTACAGCCTTGTCTGCTTCTTACTATGAATCTTGGGTGTAAAATGTGAATCATGCTCTCATTTTAATAATCGACAGGTAGGTTTAGTTACGAACAAGCCGGCCGTTACAGTTATGTTACATATTGGCTGTTGGAGGAACTGTGTTGCCTGCGGGAAGGATGATGTCGCAATGAGCTTATTATGTCCGGGCCAGACGATGATGACACAATGGGGCTTCACTTTGATCAACCAAATTATCTTAACTGTTTGCGTTCTACCTATCTTATGTACTAGGCTGTACAACATACAAATTATGTAATTGAAAATTTCTTTAGTAAAAAATGATTTTGTTTATTATTCTTCGATGACTTGAAAAGAGAGAACTTCAAGAGCAATCTATGCACCAGTTCACATAACATCAACAGAAAGAAAAAAAAAAGACAAAAACATCATTACAGTGGAACCAAAACGAAGATAATTAAGTTACAAAGAGATGATTTAGTCCAATCATCAATTGTTACATATTGTTCGTTAATCCTCATGAAAATGTTAATCAAGAGGATATCACTTCCAGAAGCTAAGAACTACACAACAAACTTCATCATTAATTCACTGCTAAAGGGTAAGGCAAAGAGGCAATGTGGTTATGTGCCACTGTCCCAATCCAAAGCTTCCCTTCAACCTCCTTCACTTCACTCACAAGCTTCATGACCTTACCTTGTCTATCCTCAAGCACCTCCAAGATCTTACCCTCCTCGTCGAATCTCGATATTACAGTGTACATTCTCATCCCCATCGCTTTCGCCAGCAGCTTCATCGGTATCGGCAACCTGAAGTAGATGCTCTTTATCCAAGGGTTGTTTGTAAGAACCTCCTGTGCTGGTGTTCTGCAACAGTCTATTGCAACCCAAAAATCACCCTTCTCGTTCATTCTCACATTGTCTGGGAATCCCGGTAGATCCGCCACCACTTCGACTTCACCAGTCTTCGAACCCTCCAGCCAGTATTTCACTAACCTGTCAAATACATATCGACAAGAAAAAAGCTGAGGGAGAGAAACATGGAGTCTATATCCATGATTTTGAAGATGTCTTGCTTGAGTGTTAAGGTTTGTTTATATGGTAGTACCTGCAATTGGTTGTTTCGGTGAAGAGAAGGAAAGACTGGTCTTTAGAGAGCTGAATGCCATTGGGAAAAGCCAAACCATCCAGCACAATATGCGTTGTTTTGGTAGGTGGGTCATATCTTAGAAGCCTTCCTGTTGATTCTCCTTCCAGTAATATGAAGAAATGATTCCTACAAAATTACAAAGTCTAATTCTTACATCATACAAAAATTACATCATACATCATACAAAGAGCTTTTTTTGTTATGTGAAAACTTACGCTCTGTCATATCTTGTGCTTGTGTCAGTGAAGAAGATGGAGCCGTTTCTATGGATGTCAAGATCGTTGGCAAAGAGTATAGGCTTTCCTTCCACATGTGTAGCTAAAGGCGTAGCGACACCTCCTTCAGGACCAACCACTAGCAGACCATAGTAAGCGTCTGCAATGTACAAATTCCCGGTCTTTTTGTCAAATCTCAGACCAAGAGGTCGCCCACAGAGCTTCTCGTGCTTCCATTGCTTGTTTGTTGTTGAATCCACACCTCTTGCGCAAGCCTTCTCCGACCTGAGTCACATGAACACACAACATCAGTAAGAGAAACTGAAACAATCATTAAAGTGATGAATATATATATATATATATATATATATAATGTTTTACCATTTTGATGTCACAACAGAAAATGTCTCCCATCCGATTGATTCACCCATCCATCTAACCACCCTTCCATCAGCCAGCCCTGTGTATGGACCACGACCTAAACTATCAAACTCTAATGACTCAGGACCAAAGACTTGGTCCACAAACTCCAATTTCCCATGATGTCCCAGTCGACTAAGGTTGTCTCTTGGCCAGTTTTCCATGACTTGCTTGTATGGAGCAACCACATGCTTGACAGGTTTGAACTCACGACCCCCGATTGGACTCATGTGAAAGGGGTCGATCGCTATGAAAATCACAGACAAAGCAATGATACAGAGAATCGGGTGGTGAGTCAGCAAGGAGTCGTGTGTAGCATGCTGGCCTTTCTTGTCCATTTGAAGTGGCTCAGAGATGGATCAGAAAGCAATATCAGATTCACCTGCAGATTATATAAGAAACATAGAAAATTTTGGTTATGGAAAAGTTGGGGTAATAATGCAGATCCTGTGAATAAGAATTGGGTTGAAAGTAGGTTAAATGATAATGAACAACAATTCAAAAGTGGATCCAAGTTAGACTACTCTGATAACAAATACAATTGTCATGACTCTGTTTTGACCTGTAAATCATCCAACCTACAACTTCTCACAAATCAACCATAATTGCAACAAGTAAAGGACAGAAGATGGAAACAAGTAACAAGAGAAGACACTGCTATAATCGAAAAGACGTTCATAAAACTTCATCTTATTTACCTTGTGATATTGCAATAGTGAAGATGATAGAACAGATACAATATATGGAAGAAAAAGCAAGAATGTTTGGTAGCATGCTTTCATAGTGAAATAAATGTGAAGGTCACAAATGAGGAAACATGTCTAGTGGATGGAATCTTTACGTAAGACATGGGACCCTTTCACAACTATACATCAAAACATACGACACAAATCGACTGTCCTATTCATTTGTAATGACGCCTAAACAACACTAACTTGATTAGACAAAGAATCCTTCTCCAAATCACCACATTATGCAGGAAGCATTCCCACAAACAGTTCAAGCAAGAGCCTTTAAGTGTTGGAACTCAATAAGCTTGGTTACCACAACTACCTCCATGACAAGAACTTTGCTCCCAAATACAATATTGAGTCCTGACAATGAAACTCAATTCAGACAACTTCCACTCCACTGAGAGGAACTGCACTTGCTTGCAAGGTCCGGCCATTTCCAATAAACCTCACTGATGGTAAAGAAGCATCAGTAAGCAATTCAATCTCGAGAAAACTGAAATCATAAGCACCAGACTTCTTCAAACTGTAAACAAACACCACAATGATCCAACCAAGCATAGTAAGAGCCCAGTAGTTGTTCATCCCACCAATCAAACCCCACGAAATAGCATAGCCAACCAGAATTCCCGACAAATGTCCCAGAAAACTAGCTTGCGGAACAATGATGGAAGTGAAAATGAGCGACTCGAAAGGAGCAAAGCTAATGGGAAGAGACAAAAGCCCAAAAAGGTCAAGCTTTGAAGAAGGCTGCTTCACAGAGAGAATCGTCATCCAACCAAACACAACGCAGGAGTATCCAACGGCTGTGACTCTCCTGAAATACTCGATCTTGAGCCTCGAGATGAGCAAATGGTAGATCCCAATAACCAAAACGCCGGAGAAGACGACGAGGACGAGAGTGTAGTGAAGGTAATAAGCCGTCCCGAGACCTAAATGCCCAAGCTGCTCAACAACACCAAGACTCCACAGAGCGCTCATGTTGAAGACGAGATGCAAGACGCTGATGTGTGACAATGCGGAGGTGATCATCCTCCAGTAATGCCCTTCGATTGCAGTCTCGTAACTCAATCCGACTTGCGAGTACCCAATGCTCTTCTTCTGAATTACGAACCAGATCAAGCTGCATATCGTCACGACGCAGCTCGTCGCCGGTTTCTCGATGATATCGTAAAACAAAGGTCTTCCCATTTTACAGATGAAATCGAAAATCGCAAGTAGACGACTTTGCAGTTGAGGTTGAATTTCTCTCTCAAGTAGAAGGAAGCTAAACCCGAAGCTCAATTCAATCCCAACAGAAGAGCTTTGAATCGATGCACGAAATAAACAGAGCAAAAACAGATTCAATACACAGATCTGAGAATTAAACTATAAAGCAGTGACCTTTCAGCTTAAGCCCGCCGACCAAAACATGAATCGGCCGAATTCTCTAGAAGGATAAAGAGAGATCTTTTAATCTTCCTTGGGAAGTGATTCGATTCTTCGAGTTCGCGCTAAGTTTTTGATGTTCTAGATTTGATTGATTGATTGATTTTCTCAGGAGAAAACTTCCTTCTTTTAGAAACTCAATTTTTGTTTGTCTTTGTCGCTCTGACTTTAATGGTCCTGGGCCTATGTAGGGCCCTCTCGAGCTTCTCACCGTCAATTTTTCATTCATCCAAATTTTGTGGGAATTTTTAATATATAATTATATATACATTTCATACACATAAAACTTTCGGAGTAAATCAACATTGGAATATACAATTGGGTACGAGATTTTGATGGCATATATCGAGTTTTCATGGACGTCACAGTTAAACAACAAACGTACATGCAGACATAATAGCTTTGAAAGCCTTTGTTCAAAAAAAAAAAAGAACAAATCAACAGGACTGTCGACTTTGTTTTCCATCTTTTATTCCATGTAGACATAATGCTATTCATGAAGACTATGCTGTATCTCGATCAAGTTAATGGAAGTTATTGAGCTAAAAAAAAAATGTAGGAGTGTGTGTATATATATGAGAGTTTGGATAGTCAAGTATATGTAATGTATTATAGAGTTTTGATATTTAATTATGAGTTTGTGTCATTTAGCTTGGCTTGATTTGTTCCCTTGGGCTGATTGATTCTATACGAAGACGAAGATGTTTAGTAAATTAACCTCTATACATGATAATATTAATCGCTGAATCCAACATTAGAATCTGGTGTCGTATTTTCCATCAATATAAGTTACAAACATACGACGAAACGAACCACAATCCCGTAACTCAATCCCACTTGATATATAACACAATTTTAGTAGTATTAATATAAGGATACGTTTATCCTCTTTGAAATATACAAATTAACTAAAAAAACAAATAGAATATGAACATTAGTGTTGTCAAATTCTAGAGAAATCATAAAATAACTCTGTCAATGAAATATGAGACTAGTATATTTCATTCACATATACAAATATTCTTTTGCAAAACATTATTTATAAGTTATACATCCATAACTAAACGAATAGGAGGATGAAAAAATCATATATAATAAGATTAGTGTAGGCATATGCTTGAAGCTCCTCGTTGAAGGAACCATTTATTCTCTCTTAAACTTTATGAGCCATCGATTTAGAAAAAGAAAAACTTATGCTTTGGAGGCGGCTTGACTGTGACGTGATTCCTGGCCTCAACTTGGGTCACGATCATTGTTACCATCATCATAACGATGACGAAGGAGGCAATGAGGGTTTTCTTTTCGATAGCCATAGTTTAATAAGCTCTTAAATGGTTCTCGTTCTCGTTTTTGATTTTTTTTTTTTGGTTATTTTCTTAGTTATTCTAGGTAACTGACCGACGTATTTATATGCACAACTAAACTTCTATAAATAGTGAATTCCTAATTTTACAATTTCTTGGAATGTTTCAATTGTCTTTTCTTAGATATTGGTCAAATGGTTACTAACTATTTTTATATTGAAATCTAAAATCGTATTGGATTCTCAATTTGCACATGACGCCTGTCATGTAAATTTAACAACAAAAAAATAATAAATGATAAAAAAATAATAACCACTAATTATTACTTCCACACTTTTACAATGCACCATTTCACCAATGCAATGCAGGGCAGCTTGGAGTAGAGATCATACGAATGCGAAGTTGTGTTATCCATTTGTTGTTAATCTTATTCAGATTATGTAAACTCATTTTGATTAATCGAAATATTTAGTTTGAGAAAAATATGGAATTTATTTCCTTTCTTATCATGCTGGAAACTATGAGTAGTCCAAATTCCTCTTTTAGGCATTTCATCAAATGCAAAAAAAAATATATATATATATATATATATATATATATGTATATATATGTGTATATATATATATTTGTAAGTTTTTTTTTTTTTCTTTTTTGGGCCAAAAGGCTTGATATCATATAAAAGTAAACCTGATTAAAAATGCATAGCTGATATTTAAGTATTGCATATTTATTTGGAACCAAAATACTAACATAACTCTCCAAACTCCAAAGTGTGTACACAATTAGTACATGATTTTACAAGATTGTGATATATATCTAATAGGCAAATTGTTTATGTGGAACAGGAAAAAAAACTAAGACGTTTATTATTGTAGTTTTGTTTATTTGTAATGGTAATTAAATGATGCGTTCGGATTTCTGCTAATTTGTGAAATCATGTTTCACATTTCTTATTAGTCTCAATTTCTTATCATCTCTCATCATGAATCTGATTGTTGTCAAATTTCATGTTAAGGAAATTGAATGTTGGAATGACTTGCAAAAATTGCTATGTTGATGAGTTCGAATTTCTGCTAATTTGTGAAATCATGTTTCGAATGTTTTATTGGTCTTATCATCTCCCATCATGTTTCGAATTTCTTATTAGTCTCCATTTCTTATCATCTCTAGACATGTAGAGTCGTTGTCAAGTTGTTTTGGTCGAAACAAGGAGAGATTGATGAATGATGCTCTCACCAAGATGCAAACCAACATTGATGATTTGAGAGGCATGGAAAAGAAACATAAAGAAGATATTGCAAAAGAAGAAATCGAGTTGGCTGCAACAAATGATGAACTTGAGCAGGGAAGAATCAACCAGAAAATTGATCTGCTGAGAGAGGAACTTGATCTCATTGAAGCACACATCCCTATTCTAATTAATGAGGTAATTGTATGTCTTGTATGTTGTTATCTTTTTATTGTTGTCTTCCGATTCTTATCTTTTTTATTGTTTGTGTTGTGTTGTGGTGTGTTTTAGAGACACACTTTGGTGAGGGCAAAAACCATGAAACCTATATCCACGGTTTTCAAGACTTCATACAATGCTAAAAGAAAATTCTACAATTGATTATGAGGTATTTTTTTGCTTTCACTTGGCTCTCTTATCCTATGCTTGTTAGGATTGATGTTTATAGTGAAATTTCTTTTTCTATGCAGCATAGATTTCCTCACTTTGAAACAACTTTCTTGAATCGGCCACAGAAGAAAGAGACGCAGCAACAACCGCCGCCACCGGAAATGTTTTTCGGCATGACGCATTTTGATTTAGATATTCATCAAGACTAAAGAATAAAAACATCAAATATTAAAAGAAGTGGATGGTTTATAGCCGCTTTGTTTTCTATGCACCTATGCAGCATGGATTTACTCAGTTAGAAACAACTTTTTTAAATAGGTCCCATATAATATGGTTTAATACAAAATATATTAGTAGCGCTACAAAGATGTGAATCTCACCAATAACAGACCCGAAAACCTTTAAAGCATGTTAGATCCAAATTAGGTTCAACACGACGACCTTCTTCTTCCTCCTCTTACAAGAACACTCTCTTAAAAAGAAGGTTCCATCTTTCATTCATGTTAAAGAAGAACCACATGCAACAATGACTCCCAAGACACAACCATCATCTTCTTCTTCTTCATTGCTACTTATCTCATTCTTTTTACTACATCTTTCAGTTATTCTCCCTTCACCAGTTCTCTCAGCCACTCTTCGATCCGATATTCAAACTCTAGAGTCTATCATACGCAGCATTGATCCAAGCTCCATCTCCCCATCCTCTTACCTCAGCACATGGGACTTCTCCGAAGACCCTTGTGAAGGCTCAGGAACGTTCTTGGGAGTAATGTGCTCTTTCCCACTTGAGAACACGACTAGCCGAGTCACAGAGATCGACCTTGACGATGACGGTTATGACGGTTTTCTCTCCGATGCAATAGGGAACCTCACTGAGCTCACTGTCCTCAGCCTCAACAGGAACAGATTCCGAGGTCCAATACCTGAAACTGTGTTCCAACTCAGGAAACTCACCAAACTCTCTCTCACTGAAAATTTCTTCACCGGAGACATATCCCCAGCGATCACGCGGCTCAAGGAGATCAAAACCATAGACCTGTCAAAGAACAGCATCGCCGGTGAGATCCCTCCAAGAATCTCAGCCCTGAGAAGTCTGACTCACCTGATCCTATCAAACAACCATCTCGACGGAAGAATACCTGCGCTCAACGGCTTGTGGAAGCTCCAAGTGTTGGAACTCGGTAACAATCATCTATTCGGAATGCTTCCTAAGCTTCCTCCAAGTCTAAGAACTCTCTCCATCTGTTTCAACAGCCTCGCAGGACGTATATCTCCCTTGCATAGGCTGAAACAGCTTGTGTCCTTAGATGTGAGCCAGAACAGATTCTCAGGCACCATTGGCCATGAAATCCTAACGTTCCCAGACATCTCACGCATCAATGTGTCTTTTAACCAGTTCATATCCATAGAGGTTGTTCAGGTTACAGGCATGGAGTCTCGCCTGCGCAGTCTTGACGCTGAAGGTAACCATTTACAGGGCCACCTTCCCCTGAACCTGGCAAGTTATGCAAACTTGAAGGACATCAATCTACGGAGCAACATGTTCTCCGGAGATATTCCAAGGATTTATGGGAAAAGACTTGAGAACTCATGGAGAAGCTTGTACTTGGAGAACAACTACCTCACGGGATCACTTCCTGAGGAGTTTCAAAGGATCTCCAAACTCACCAGAGGAAGCCTTTCCAATAACTGTCTGCAATGTCCCAACAATGTCTCAATCTGCCAAGGAATACAAAAGCCGAAATCACAATGCACCAATGCAATGCAGGAGCGATTGGAGTAGAGATCATGCGCATGGGATGCAGTTTCTATTAACATTACCAGAGCAAAGTTCATGTCCTTGTTTGTTTCTAATCATAGTAGAAATGTAGTCTATAAAAAGTGACACTGGAAAAAGACGATAAGAAAAGAGAGATGTGTATTTGAGATAACACTTTTCTTTCATCATATTTATGTTTGACAGAAGTCTAAACCAAAAACACACAAACTCTGCTACAAGACCTCATAGGTGTATTTTAACAAACATAATGCATATCAAAAGAGCCAATTAACACTAATGTTGCCAAGCCACATCAAAAGAGGAAACTGTGCTAAAGCTACAAAGATCAAGAGATAGTGATGCCTGCTCGAGTCATAACTCCTAGCTTCCGCAAAGAGAACTCGCTTCATTGTCTTCACTAAGAACACCCCGGTGCATAAGCAGGTCCACGGAATCAAAGCATAGTAAGAGTATCCCCAGATGATCTTGCCAAGAACAGCTAGACAGAGTCCCGTGAAAGTATAGCCTGCATACGCCACAATATCCAAGAGAGGTGCTTCTCCGCTACCCAATGAGAGCAATGTTATCTTCAGCAGCATGACTTGCAAAAACCACCCAACCGCTCCTTTCATAAAAAGCCAATTCAGAGCTTCCGGGCTAAACCTAGAGAAACACCACAAGGTTGAGAAAAGAAAATGCACTCTAAAAGACTGCATACATGAATAGAGATACAAGAACTTACTTCCCATAGAGTCCAAGTGAGAAACCAGCAAGAACAACGTAAGTGCCAAATGCCATAAGCGGAATGTATAAGTCTGGAGCATTTATATCGTATATTGGGGGTTTGTATGAAAGTCTACCCCCAACTGGTTCTGAGATTCTAGTCCAGTGTCCCTGAGGTTGCAGCAAAACACATATGAGAAAGACCACAAATACACACAAACACAAAAACACACAAAAGGTGAGCTAACTTACCCTGTGAAGGAACGGAAGAAGAACAATCTTCAGCTTGTTCCTCACATATTGGTCATTAACTTGAAAATAGTATTGGGGATCAGAGAACCAGCGACTTATCTGTTCATTTTCAATTCAACCGGTTAAAACAAATGAAAGACAATGCTGGGGAAAAAGAAAAGGTGGAGAGAGAGGAGTGACTTACGTTGCTCTGCACATACTCAGAGCTCGAGCCGAAAATTTTCTCCCCGTAAGCTCCCAAGCCACTACGGATAAGTCCAGAGCCAGGTCCAGAGAAGGGATTCCCAAACGGGTTAGGCTGAGGAATTGCATTCCCAAACGGACCAGGCTGAGGATTTGCCTGAGGCATTGGCATCCCAGGCTGTGGTCCCATGTTATTATACATCTCTGTCATTCAATCAAAACCAGCACAAAGAGCTTAAAGGTAGGTAATTCACTAACTTTATAAACTTCATATTCACAAAGAACAAAACTTTCTTTGCATATGATTCTTTTCTAAGAGCTTTCGTACGTTAATGATCAATAACCCCCAAGAAGCCCTAAATTGCATCGGAAACCCATGTAACCATACTCTATTTTACTAATTTTCATTCAATAGGTTCGAGCCTCGAATCAGAAACTACGACGTTGCTAGTCTATGGGTTTTCCGATATCATGCGTAACTAAATATGCCACGGAGCCCAGATTTCGGCCATGGAAGAGCAATTCTCAACAAAAAATCGCAAGAAAACTCCATTGTTTGAAAAGAGGAAAAAAAAACGAATGGCCAATTTGAATACTGTAACAAGGAAAAGCAATCAGAAATCGGTGATAACGAGCAGTGAACGCCAACCTGAAAGCAGATGCGAAGGAGATAACAGATCTGTAGCTTGCTTTCGTTGGTTTGATTAGTGCGCCGGCTAAGTTCCGGTGAAACGCGAAGCAAGTGAGGAAGAAGGATTCCACAGATCCAAGGTGGAAAAATAACGGAAGGAACGTGTGAAGCCTCTTGTTTGTACGTGTGAGCATTGTTTATCACCGATCCAATGAAAAATCGACAGCTGTATATCGAAATAGCTTTAAAGTGGGTTTCTAAGATAGAACAAATAGATTCAGGGGTTTTTTCGGGAAAACTTAAATGTTCAGGGTTTTTACTGAAATTGTATCCTAAGTAAAATGCTAAAATCGTCCAAAGTATCAAAAAGAAGAAGAAAGTGAATTCCAATAGAGAAGAAGAGAAAGCTTCAGACTTTTTCGTGAGATGGAGGTTCCAAGCTCTGAGGAAGTAGTTCAATTTATGAACTCTTGTCTCTCTCAGATCAAATGGCGACTTAAATCCACTTCCAAACGCCGCCTCGAAATAGGTTTCCTTCCTCCGCTCTCACTGATTCCACTTTTTTTTTTTTTCATTCTGTTCTGAGACTGTTCCGGACGATTCAGTTTGGGAAATTGGTTTTACTTTCTCTGATTCTCCACACTTTTCTAATTTCTCAATAGAACTGAAAACAAAAATTGACTCTTTAGATCTCATTGTGTATACGTTTGAAGCTTGGTGATGCTTTGATTGCATTTGAGATCCTCATAAATAAATGAAGCCAACTTGTGCATTTCGTTTGCTGGTCTTATCAATTTCCACTCCCTGTTATAGATGAATCGTTAGAAATATTGAACTTTAACATCATAGATCCTTCAAATATCAGCATAACCTCAATTTTCCATATGCTTGAATCTGTAAGCGACGCTTAAACGAGTTTCTTTGTACCAGATGTGCTGGCATTATGCACGGGAATGAGACCAGTAGTGATGATTGACTATGGTGGAAAGTTGCCTGAGCTACAAGATCGCTTGCTCTCACTTCTTGAGCTTATCCAAGAGGTTAGACTCTAGTTCTCTTCTTCTTCACGCACACTATTAGTACTTGAGTAATGTGTATGTCTATAGCTAATCTGATTCCTGCTTTTGTCTTGGCACTTTTATAGGGTTTACCAATTTTCAAAGATCTGAAGGTTATGGTCATAGAAGATATGATTTACCTGATAAACGTAAGAAGAATGCCCAAGTTTGTAAGTTCGAGCTTAAATTCTGAACCTGAATTGTTCTTTGTCGACTTGGAACAAGACCCTCCAAAGGTTGTTCCTTTTACAAAAAACTCATTTCTCAATTCATGTTCCTCCGTGTCCAATTGAGACTGATCTCAGTCTTGCTTTTTGTTTGTTCAAAGATGGTAGAACAAAGCAAGGATAGCAATCTAGGAATGCAGCTTAGATCGATTCAGGAACAATTCTCTTTGACATTTCCTTTAGAAGGCATCGATAATGATACCACTGCAACAGCAGCTGATGAGGCTAAATCTTCTCAGTCTTCTTTATGCATTGATCTTAGTTGTTGTTTACAAGACACTAAGGTTACAATCCCAACCTTAAACGGGTAAAATTTCCAATCCAACACTTGATTCATCCACTATAGATTGTCTTCGTTTATCAAGCCGTGAAGTTTGGCGTTCGATCTCTATTTGCAGATGGCTCCTGGACTATCCGGTTGTGTATTTATTTGGCACAGATCACATAGAAGAAGCAATCTACAACCTAACAACCAAGTCTCTCCGCATATTCAAAGTTCAAGTCCAAAGGTTAGCTATTTTATATTTGCTGCTGTAGCTTCTGATCATTGTTGTTGTGATGTCTAACTCAAATATCTTCCAGGAACGGGACCACTGGGGACTCCCCTTTAGAAGAGCTGACTAGGTAAGAGCTTTGATTGGTGACTTTTCTGCCTAAACAAATACGCATTTGTGGAAATAACCAAGTGTGTTTTTGGGAATTGACTTGCAGTTTTTCGGTGCCATATGATCTGAGTATGGAAGGTAGCAAGGAAGTGTGGGCTGAAACATTTCTGGAGCGGATGTGTTCGAGGTGGGAAGAATGCAAACATATTTGGAGATCTTTGGATATGGAAGTTACTGAATGTTATCCTCAAGCAATTGTTCTTTAAGGCTTTCGTTGCTAAATTGTTGTTCACAAAACTTGGTATTGAGTTATTATTCATTAAAAGGGACCCATAAGATAAAACTTTTGAAAGATGAATGATACGAATCATAATAACAGAATCAGAACATAAGGGTTCTACAAGAACGGTACCAAAAGCAAAAACAAAATGAATGTAAAACTCAAATCCGAAAAAGAAAAGTGAAACGGAAAATCCTAAAAATCAAGACTTCTGTAGATCAGTTCCCTTTGAGGAGACTCTGAACCTCAGACTCTGTAGGAAGAGCTGGAATTGCTCCTTTCTTCGTAGTTGTAATGGCTCCACAAGCATTCGCAAACCTAAGCACTTCTCTTAGACGAGCTTCGTCCTGTTGTTAAAAGACAGAAGAACACAGTCAATAATCGAACCAAAGATTCCGAAATTGCAGACTAATCTGATATGTTAGTTTAATAGTATCGTTACCTCGAGCACAGCACGGTCATCAACGATCTTGCAAAGCAAGGCACCAACATATGAATCACCAGCACCAGTTGTATCCACTGCGTTCACATGGAAAGGATCAACAGATCCACGGAAGCCCTGTAATCACAACTTGAGTAATGTTAATGGTAAAGTCAAATCCGCAAGAGAGATAATAACTCTTTCAAAAACAATTCACCTTGGTGTAGTATCTACAACCCTTGTCACCCAAAGTGACCAAGAGAAGCTTCAGATTAGAGTGCCACAGAGACAAAGCAGTCTCATCATCGACCTTATCAGATCCCGTCAAGAACATAAGCTCTTCGTCGCTGACTTTGATCACTTCAGCTTTGTCCCAGATGCTAAGAATCTGCTTCTGAGCCTCCTCCTTCGAAGGCCACAAAGGAAGCCTCAAGTTTGGGTCATACGAGAGCAACGCACCGGCTTCTTTAGCCACTTCCATGGCCTTCAGGTGAGCGGATCTACATGGCTCAACGATCAAGCTTATTGATCCATAGTGGAATACCTTAGCCTGAAGAAAAAGAGAACCAAAACAGAGCGTTTCGTCAAAACCTAACTTGACTGCTACGGTAGATGTACCAAAAACCGTTACGGTAACGGTTTAGCCGCGTCCGTTAACAAAAAATGGGACCCATCAAGATTTGCCTACGTGTTATTATATGAAAATTAATTAAAAGTCAAAAGAACGTACAGATCTGATGAGATCGAGATTGAGCTCGTCGGGACGGAGGAGCATATCGGCGCTAGGGTTGCGGTAGAACATAAACTCACGTTCTCCGTCGGATCTTAGGGTCACGAAAGCGAGTGCCGTCCTGGCTCCGGTGTCGAAATTGATTCCTTCGGCGGAGACGCCGTTCTGTTTCAAGATCCCGGCGAGCATGTGACCGAACTCGTCGTCACCGAGTTTTCCAACGAACGCAGCGCGACCGCCGAGGCGGGAGATGGCGATCGCGACGTTGGCAGGTGCACCACCGGGAGCCTTGATGAAGCCAGGAGCGTCTGCGAGGGATACGCCGGAGACGGTGGGAACGAAATCGATGAGCATCTCGCCGAAGCTCACGATCAAGCTTTTCTCGCCGTTGGATGTAGCCATTTGTGGTCGGAGAGTGTTAATCGGACGGTAGTGAGTTATAGAAATGAGAGAGATTAGAACTTGGGAATGAATGAGAAGATATTAGAGAACGAGTGGGTTTATATAGAAAACTATTAGGATCAGTGGATTAGTCAAATCCACGAAAATATCGTTTTTAAAACAAAATTAATGAAAATGTTATAAGTTTATCCAAAAAATTGTTATTATCAAAAAGTAACTTATGATTCTATTGGTCCATTACATGTAAATTATGATCTGATGAGATTATGATTGGTCCTTTTGACCGGATGTTTTGCTAATTCATGGGACCCACGTGACGTATTTCGCAAGGTTAATTAGTAGGGACTTATCCATAATCTCATTGTTGGATAACGATATATAATACTCTATCAAATCCAGTTATTTCATTTGTTGAGATAACTTTCATTTTCGATAATACACACCGTTCGTGGATATTATCTCATGTAAATTCACTAAAATCATTAATGTGTGATTTTTGAAAAAAAAAATCGAAACGGGATTAGCTTTGACTGATATGATATTTTCTATTTATGAGAGATCTACCAACCTTATTTGATTTCCTATGTCCCAAGTAATAAATCTTTTGTATTTATCATTAATTGATCAACGAATCCTTAGACGTTTCCTTCGACTTAATTACGCATATTTTAAAAACGGATATAGGACCACAAGAAAACAGAAATGTATATACATTAATTTGATATAAGTTCACAACTCACAAGGGTATACTAATTTTCATCTTCGTATTTAAAAGGAAATAGAAATTAATGATTTAGTCCATAGTATGATATAAACTACGAATTATCTTGATGTAAAAGTATAAAAGATAACTAAGCCAAATTAAGATAAGAATAAGATATAGATATTTATCATTTTAAAATCATCATAAAATAAAAGTAACTATAGATGATTATAGTGGATAAGTTATAAGATTTTTTCGACCAAAAAATAAAAATAAAAGTTACAAGAGTTATCCATGATAAACATAGAAGATATAAGATAACAGAAGAGGATATATAACAGAAAAAGTTAGATAACAGGATTAATATTTTTATCCAACAACGGACAAGTCCCTAATAAGTAACCTTGCGAAATACGTGACGTGTGTCCCATGAGCAAAGCAAAAACTCCGGTTTAAGGCACCAATCACTAGTCAGTCGGAACTCACAAGATCAAAATTTATATGTAATAGAATGATTACGCGCGATATACATATATGCAATAGAGAATCTCATAGAAATCTTACTAAAGTATCTATAGACTAGTCGCGAATGCAACAATGTCTATGTGTGATGTCTCTGCCAGATTAGGATGTTGGTTTCTAATTTTGGGTGTTGTACGTACCTTAAGCTACTAATGCCGTGAAGGTTTACTCAATGTCACTTAATGTCGTCGTTTGTAATTCAAGAACAGTCTCATTTATCATGTTTGCAGCTAGCCACAACACATTGGCCATTGATTGTTACGATAAAGGGAAATAGGACTTAAAAATATTATACTGTATGATATAAGTTGATTTGCCTTTTTCTTTTGAGACCCTCTTTACGTAACAATTATTCAGTCTGCATATAAGCTATCTTGCAGCGTCCATAGTCAATCTGCGATCATTATGTATGATATTACAGCACTGCTCACATACAAACACGTTTCGAAATGGCATTTTGAATACTGCTGGTTCAAGAGATTGGCTTTCTTTGTGTACAACCGAAAAATGAAAATTGATTAACGGCCATGTAGAACAGCCCTGTCGATTGTTATTGGGATGAATTGTTTGAGTAATTGATAGTCTAAACTCTAAACAGATTTGATCATTGGATAACACCAACAACAAATTTCAGACCGGTTTGGACTCGAACCGGCTGAATTGGAATGGTTCACACGATAAATGAAGGGAAGGGTAGACAATTAGAGAATTTGTGAGTATAAGGGCGATTCCGTAAATACAAAACAATAAAGGGGGCCATTTGTACAATAATCAAAAGTAGTGGACACCGGTCGGCGAGAGTTATGGTGTAAAAATCTAAAAGGCCAAAAAAAACGAAGGAGAGGAGTTATCAGACAAGGAGAAGCGCACTGGACGAACCATAGGGTCGATAAACCCAAAGCTTAGATGAACGGTGTGTTGACTTCGCTCCCAAATTGACCCAATCATCTCTCGCCACGTCATAGGTTTCTGCGTCCCTTGTAATCCATTCCCTGAACCGGCACCTCCTCTGTCTCTCCCCTCCATCGAAAACCTAATTCGATCTTCGCCGCCTCCGACCTTCATCCCCCGGCGGCGAACACCCCCGGAAAAACTCTGAAAGTAAGATTCTTTATTCCTCCTTCGCAGCTATTTCGGATTTGAGATTGTGATTTTGGATTTATCGATTAAGCCGTTTAAGTCTCTGCGAGAGAATGAGACGGAGAAATTCGACATCTCGAACTTTCGTTACTTTTGACAAATCCGATTTGATGAGTTACATAAATGGTGATGCTTAGTCTTTTTGAAGGTGAATCTTCAAGGGTTCTGTTTAAGCTTTGTTTTGTTTTATATTTTGTTGTGGAGACCGGACGGTTTCGAAAGCACTTGTCTTTGAGCTTTGTCCTAATATCTTTGAGCTTTGTCCTCGTATATTTGTTAAAAAGTAGGCTTTTTGTATATGTTAGTTAGTAAGAGGATAATACTTGCAGCTCTTCTTGGTAGATATTTGATATGTGTCAACAAAGTGTTCTTCTTTTTCTTCTTCTTCTTCAATTGCTGTTCATCTTTGTAAATCATTTCCCTTTTGAATCGCAGTGGATTTCAGAATCGATAATGGTGTAGCTTCAGGGATGATGATGGGGATTCCAGTGGAGCTAGAGGTCACCACAGTCGAGAGCCATAACGAAATGGGAGAAAGCTCTGGTCAAGCAATGATTGAGCAAGATGACGAGAACAACCATAATAACGAAATGGGTGAAGAAATGATTGAGCAAGACGATGACGAGAAGGTTGATCCGGATTCTATCCCCCTAGTAGTTGCAGATATGGCAGAGGAGGAGGTTCAAGCCGACGAGCCTTACGTAGGGCAAGAGTTTGAATCGGAAGCAGCTGCGCACGGGTTCTACAACGCGTACGCTACGAAAGTAGGGTTCGTGATCCGTGTCAGCAAACTGTCAAGGTCAAGGCACGATGGATCTCCTATAGGCAGACAGCTTGTTTGCAACAAGGAAGGCTACAGGTTGCCTAGCAAGCGCGACAAGGTTATTAGACAGAGAGCGGAGACTAGGGTTGGTTGTAGAGCAATGATCTTGATTAGAAAAGAAAACTCTGGTAAATGGGTCATCACGAAGTTTCTCAAGGAACATAATCATCCTTTGATGCCTGGAAGGGTTCGAAGAGGTTGCATTTATGATCAGTATCCGGTTAGTTTGTTTGTTGCTCTTTTTCAATTGATCTAAGATTCTTTGCTATTTGGTGTATTGAAAGTTTGAAGTTTTGCAGAACGAGCATGACAAGATCCAGGAGCTGATGCAGCAGCTAGCTGCAGAGAAGAAGAGAGCAGCTACGTACAAAAGGCATTTGGAGATGCTCTTTGAACAGATTGAACAGCATAACGAAAGCCTTACTAAGAGAATCCAACACATAGTAGACAACGTGAGGGATCTGGAACAGAGAGATCATCAACAGAACCACCAAGTATAGTCTTTTTTTCTTTCTTTTTTTGTCTCAGGATTTTTCATTGTTCATTTTTCCATCAGTTTGGTTTAGGAGATAGATCTTCTCTTCTTTTTTATCACTCATTTTCTCTCTTTTAATAAAGTTTTTTATTTGTCCAAAAACGAAAGAGCTTGCAATTGCCTTAAAAGGCTTAAACAAAGTTTTGTTTTTCTTCTTATGTTCTAACATTAGTTCTGTTCAGTTGATGCATAGGCATAGTTTAGTGTACATAAGGTGATGGTTTTTAATTATTTTTCATTTCAAGAATACAAAGCATAAAACGAACTTATTTACAGTTAAAAAGGAGGTAAAATCAGCTTAAACTGAAGATGATCTATTGCTAAAGCCACCAGTTTTCATCATCTGAAGAAACTCCTTGTAGTTGACTCTACCATCTCCATCTTCATCCACTTGCGTAATCATCTCTTTACAACACTCTAGGGTTTTACCTTGCTTGAGTCCCAAGGAAGCCATCACAGACTTTAACTCCTCAACTGTAATAAACCCATCGCCGTCTTGGTCAAACACATTGAACGCATCTCTCATATCCTCTTCCTCTTTTTCTTCGACAATCGAACCGTAAAGAGACTCGAACTCGTTTATGTCCACACATCCATCTCCATTTGCATCCATCTTCTCGATCATCTGGATCAGATCTTTGTCTGGCATGAAGATTCCTAGATTCTCTAGGGAATCGTTCAGCTCTTCCTTTGTAATGCGTCCGTCTCCGTTCTTGTCGAACATCTGAAACACTTGTTTTAGATCCATCCGGTTTGTTCTCGCCGGAGATTCAGATTTCGACGGTGGTGGGCTCTTGTCGTCGATGTACCAAGAAGTAGGGAAGAGAGCTCTTAGCTTCTCAGGGACCAAACAGAGAAGAAAGGAGTTAAAGAGATTGTAGAGAAGAAAGACTCTCACCATAGCTCTTGGCTTTGTTAAGAACAGAGAGATCGAATGAAAAAAGAGCTTTGATGTTAAACTTGAAATGGAAATAGTCTCGCATTGTTTTTTTATAGAGGAAGAGAGAGAGATGGGGATGCAGACAGTGGCGAATCCAGAAAATTTTCTAACCGGGTTCAAATAAAAAGAAAAAAGAAAAATAGATAGATAAACACAGTTTAGATAGTAAAATGAATAGAAAACAACATTTGGTTTTAGGTTTGACAAAAAAATTAACGTTGGATCTTTCTAAATATGTTAATTTTATTCGACAATATAAGCTAATATCTAAAATTTGCTTATGGATTCAGAATAAATAAAGCAATGTTGTAAATAAAAATAGTTTATGGGTTCAATTGCAATTTTTAGATGGTGTCAATGTTAATTAGTCTAAATAAACTACTAAGAAAATTGAAAACTATATGGTGTCACTTGACACCGTGTCCGTCTACCTAGCTTCGCCACTGGATGCAGATAATATTAAAAATTTGGTACAACCGTTGCTGACGCTACCTCTTTGCTTAGAACTCCATTGTGGTTAACCATTGCAAGAGATCGAAATACATTTCTATACAATATCCAAGACAAAGTGTAATAAAGTTAGCTAAAAGTATTTGCCACCTTCACACTAAAGTCTATCTAACTAAAATCAAAATAGAAACACTAGTTACATACTTGTGATATATTATTATAATATTATATAGTAACATTTTGCTATCAATACAAAAGTTAAAGTAGTTTTTTCATAGTCGATAAACAATAATAAAAGAATTAAAAAAGACAGGGTAAGCAGTTGGGAAATCTGAATTTTTAAAAATCGAGAAGTTGGAGAGAATACGCGTGAAGAAGGTAGAGGCTTCTAAAATGACAATGATAAATAGACTCCCAAGTAGGATTCGTTAGACAAAACGCGTTGTGATAATTGTTGATGTTTGGTTCTTGTTACCATTACACTGAAACATGAATATTAGACTATCTATTAGTGCGTTAGCACATGTTCGCCAACGAGAGAATGACGCCCGCTATAATATGACCGTTAATCATATGAATACTGTAGAAATTTTGAATCGGACGAAACCAAGTGCCTTTTACAAAAAAAAGGTATCGAATTTCTATCCCTTTCGATCTTCTTTTTGTTCCAAACCTAATATACTCTAATATATATATCAGACTCGTTTTTTTTTTTTTTTTTTAATACCGACACTTTTTAGTATAGTAGGATCACCATCCTCAAAAAAGGCAAATTTGTATGGATCCGATTGTGCCACAAAACGGATGACAGGTTTTAAATGCATGGAATAGAGAAAAACAATCAACATAAAAACTCTCGAAGTAAGAAAAGAAAGAGAGGCAGAATTTTGGAACTTTTTAGTATGAGGGTCAGTGGGTGTTGGACTAATTTATGTTTTAAAATACTCTGTAGATTCTGACTGGGTGATTAAACCTGCAAGGGGATCCAATGTCACTCGACTAATGTGAGACTAGCCGTGTTATGGCTGTCTTCCAGCTCATCCAAAGCCACTACCACTCATGATCCTTAATTATATATACAGCTAATGAAATCCTGAGATAGAATCGAGGACTACAAAAAGTTGAACTATACGCATTATTTTACAAGTTTTATATCATATCCTTGACATAATTTGTTGCAACTTTTTTTTTAGATTTTTAGCAGAAGTCAAGTCGAAGCTAGTAGTACTCCCCATGATTTTTTATAAAAAAAAATCTGGATATTTTTTCGTTTAAACGGAGTTGTACACCATAATCAAAAACGTAGTAAAAATATTTAAACTCTACTCTCTCAATTTATTGGACCATTGTTCCACCTTAATTGATTATCATTAGACAACTTTGCAATTTTTTCTTAAAGTATATGATCAAACCATGTGGCCAGGACATGAATTATAATAACTCTCTTAAAATGTGGCTGATAAGTGATAACAGTTGTTCAGCGCCCGACTCTGCTGGACATTCCACAAGGAGAAGAATGGGACCAAGAACTGAGTGTCTCATCACATCAATTTCGGACAAACCAAAACATTTAGCTACGAGATCTGACTTCACTGATTCTCCTCATACAGTTTCTTTTGCGTTTTTTTGGACCAAGTCTTATCTCAACTTTGCCATCTCCAATAACAACAATGGGATATTCTTATTGTGTGTACTCGAGGGACCAAAACTATGTGTACGAAGCAACACCGCACGTGGGATAAACGAACTCATTGCCATCAACACCGTGCATGAACCTAATTTGTTTGTCAAGAGTTGACGTTAGGGTTTTGGTAAATGAGGCAATACAATTTTGTTTGCTTCTCTTTGTGGGGCTGAAAATAAATGGGCTTATAATAGGCCCATTTATAAATAACGATTAACAGAATCTGAGTTTTATTTGACATCCACATTTAAAGACAGCGCTCCACATAAGTGGGCTCTTCTTTGTCTGCTTCGGTCCCTGCAGATTTCGAAATCGTACTTCATTTTTTCCCAGAAATCTTCTCGCACTTTCTCGGCAAAATTCCCGGAAAAGCACCCCATCTACAGGTACTGTATTACTTCTTTCCCTACGAATTATTCGCCGTATCTTTTCAAAATTCCATGTGCTTTCGATCTAAATGGGATTAAGTCCTGTCGTTCTTTGGACAGTGATAGTCTCTTAGGTTTTGATGTTCTGTAACGGGAAGCACTCTCTTTGCATAAATTCTGTCATTTCTATCTCTTGCAGCCAAAATTAGCTCTTTCCCGCTCCTAGATTTGTAAATTTAAGGAAATCGTTTTTTTTAATATTGCTTCAAATTTGTGACCGTTGGGAAAAATCTTGAAAGATTGTATTGTAAATGTCACTCTACTTTGGTCTTTCTTTCTTTCTATGTCCCTGAAAAGTGTATTACTTTTTTCGAAACGCTGCAACGGTAACAGATGGTGAGGAAAGAGGATGTGAATTTCTTTTGCGGATTCTCGAGGAAAGAGCTTCAGAGTTTGTGCAAGAAATACAATTTGCCGGCCAATAGATCAACTTCTGATATGGCTGAATCATTGGCTTCTTATTTCGAGGTACATTTTTTTTTTGGTGGCTTGAGAAAACTAAATATGGCCATGGAGGATGGGAATAATCTGAAATCATTAATATGCATCTTCATTCCTTTACTGGGGGACCTAATCATGTGTTATTGTATCTAACAATTGCAGAAAAATAATTTGAACTCGAGAGGCTTTGGAGTGTCTGGGAACCAAGCTACAACTTCTAGACCACCACCAAGTAGAACATGGAATGTGACAAGAGGTTTGTCGAATTTTATCTCTGTTGCTTTAAGCTTTCTCTTGTCACATGTATTGTTAAACCATTTATGAAGATTGGTAATATTGTTCTTGCAGAGTTGGATATAAGCAGAGGGGATTGTTTTCAAGGTGCCATGGCTAGAGACCCAGGCCTTATTCTTGGAGATAGTACACAGTATCAGGTTCGATTCACCTTCTTAGAAATGTCCATTTGCTCGAAACGGAATGTACACAGTATTAGGTTACTTCTGCCATTTGCATTTCCTTAATTCTCTGCCACTCTTTTGCTTGCCAAAAGTTCTAATGTCACTTAAACGTTTGTGTGGAAATGCAGGAGCGAAATGATGGTTTGAATTATTCTGAATGTGCTCCTCCATATATGAGGAAATTGAGTGAAAAGGGTCCAACGGATTCTCGGCTACAAGATAGGATGAAAGAAGTAGACAGTGGTGATAGTCCTAGTTCGTCTTCGTTTGAGTTTCATGTCAGTTTGGAAGAGGGTATCAGCCTTTCAGTTGATCTTAATTTCAACCCATCAGACTGGATTAAGAGCATGAGAGATGAGGTCAATGTATTTGATAGCTTGCGTCGCAGAAGATCCCCACACTCTGATAACAATGCTGCAAACTGTAAGAAACAGAAGAGTTCAGGGCAGGACAAGGATAAGCATGTAAGGATAGAATCATCTTTAAGTCCGGCAATGAAAGACAACACTCATTCTAATGGTGAATGGTCTCTAGCATCATCTGCTATACAACCATGCAGCAGAGTCCAAGAGGGCTCAGACACTTGCAAGGAGAAAAATGTGGTTAACTTGTCCGTACCTGACACTTCAGGACCTGGCCAGATTGTATCATCTTGTGTTGAATCGTATAGCAAAAGCTGTTGTGTTAATCCAGTTGACTCGGACTGTGTTCATCCTCCTGAGAAGAAGTTGACAGTTGACTCCGTTATTATGGTTGCTGCAGAACAGAATCATCCAGCTGGTGATCTCCTTATTGAACCTCCGGAAAATCCATCCTTGGAGAGTTTTGAAAAGGTCGGAAACTCAATTACTCTTATGTGTCCACGTGGAGCTGGTTCTGAATTATCATCATCAGAAGCAGAGGCTTATCATTCAAACCTTAAGACCAGTAGTAACTTAAATCTCTCTTCTTCAGAGCTCATCGTCATCGATAGAGAGTCCACTAGCTATTCTGAATCATTCAAGTTCCAGTACAATGGTGGCAAGAACTGTCTCCCAGCCAATACTGAAGATCAGGTAAAACAACATCTCCTTTATAATCTATTTGTTACAAGCACTAACAGAACACCATAGGTTCCTTATCATTTGCGTTGTTCTTCTTTCACAGGAAAAGAGCGAAGTTTTAAGTGAGCGGGCGAGGTCAGAGTGACTTTGTTTGATTGGTGAAGCATCCACTGTACTGTATAATATAGTTCAAGTGATAGGAGAATGGATTTTATACATGATGATGTAGAAGATAGTCTAGAAATGGCCTTTCTCCTGACTATGCTGTTTTTTCTTCTTTGAGGTATGATATTTGTGCTCTCTCTATAACATATGAATGAAACAGCGAGAAGTTATATGAAGTATTTAATTTTCGTTGTTGGCTTGGTGTTAGGTACATGGAGATTCCTTCGAGAGCATTGGGTCGATTATTTACAATAAGCTAGGGAGAAGTCAGGTTTAGGTCAGTATGCAATTCTTTTTGGTCTCGAACTTTTGGATTTTCGAGGTTGATCAATGCAGTTCTATGTTGTTGTTATACACATCAATCAGAGACCAATGTTGGAGATTAGCTTACAAACCAATGTTTTATACACCATGTTGTTGAATAGTACCAATGTTGTGACTCTTAAGGGAATGAAAAATGTTGGAGTAATATCAATGGAGAACAAAGCTTCTGTTTACATAACATTTGGAAGATTATCATCGTTTTCTATACTAAATAATGTTCTCAGAAACTTGTTTTGAATGTTGATTAAGTTAGTTAAGGTTATTTGCTAGTAGAAAATTTTCAGGTAAAGGAGATATTTTTTACAAGTAGTCTCTGAGGTATTTTTAATTATGACCTGTTTCGTTTGCATGTGAATAGCACGTGACTGTATAGTTCTTAACCATTGGATCTGAACCAAATAGTTAGGTGTGTGTATGATCATAGAGTCAGTAAAGGTATCAAGTCAACTTCAGAAGGAAGAACATATGAATCGAGTCAACTAAAGACTTCCGATTTGATTCTTGTCTTCTTGTGTGTGTTTGAAATCTTGAATCTGAAGACAAAACATTTCTTTTGGGGGCACAAGGAAATGAGGAGGAAGAAGACAAAAGAGGATGTTTGTGTCTCGTGTCTCGAGAGAGGATGTTAGTACTATTGTAGTATAATATAAATTTTTAGAGATTTTCATCTACGTTTTTTGGTTTGCTCGAAACCGAAAACCAACGGCAACGGCGCAAGTAAACAAACAAAAGTAAACCCATTTAAAAAGCGTTATCTTTCTCGTTTTGTAAACATTTAGAGGGAATAGTTAATGTCTTCATTGATTGGTGTGTTAACTCCAGTATTGTGCATAGAGATGGAAACTTGATATTACTTGAGACGAAGCTTTTGGGGGTTGATTGCACAAATTTAGGAAGAATGGGGAGAGAATTAGAATATAAAAAAAGGAAAACGAGAAAGGAGAAGAGAAAATTTGGTAACAATTACTCACTTATTAAATAGCTTCACCTACATTTGCCATTTACTCTGAAGCAGCAGTTTTGGTCGCATTTAATGCCTTCTCAGTACTACAGGACGCTGTGATAAGCTCCATGACCCTCTCTCTCTCTCTCTCTCTCTCTGGGTTTGCTCAAGATTTCCATGAGCTAGTGCTCAATGTATAACTCTAGCTCCTACTTTCATCTCCCAATTTCTCTCTCTACACTTATTTAGTCGGCAAACATAAAAAAACCCAGTTTCAAGAATTAATTTGGAGGGTGCTTCTTTCTTGGGTTGGAAATTTCGGATAAGATTTAGCTTTAAAGGGTCTTTTAAGGATGCTATGATGAGATAACCTTGCGCTCTGAGATCTGAAAGAGGTAAGTGTTTTTGTTTTCCTTGCAGAAGTTAAGACAGACAAGATTGTTTCCCGAATCTTCGGAGACTTGTCTTCTCAAGGCTCCGTTGTTTCTACGACACTAGTTCAGCTCTCATTGCTTCAAAATTTCAATTCTTGCATGCTCTTGACTGAAGTCAAAGAAAGATCTCAGTTGTGTGGAATGTCTCAGACAGTAACTAAGAAGCGTGTGGGTTGACTTTGGAAAGAAAGATTTGGTTCTTGTTTGTAAAGATGAGAAGAATGTTTGAAAGGAGAGCAAGGGAATGGAATCTCCTTGCAAAGCTTGTGCTTTTCACTAATCTACTGCAGCTTGCTTCAGCTCTTGGCTCAATGTCTTCAATTGCAATCTCCTACGGAGAAGGTGGCTCTGTCTTCTGTGGTCTGAAATCTGATGGGTCTCATCTTGTGGTCTGCTATGGTTCGAACGCAGCGATCCTCTATGGAACTCCTGCTCATTTCCAGTTCATTGGTTTAACTGGTGGAGATGGGTTTATGTGTGGGCTTCTGATGCAGTCTCATCAGCCTTATTGTTGGGGAAACAGTGGGTTTATTCAAATGGGAGTTCCTCAGCCAATGATCAAAGGAGCTGAGTATTTTGAACTTAGTGCTGGAGATTACCATCTCTGTGGTTTGAGGAAGCCATTAATGGGAAGACGAAGCGGTTCTTCTTCTTCTTCTTCTTCGTCTTCTTCTTCTCATGTTGATTGTTGGGGTTACAATATGACAAGAAACTTTGTCTTTGAGAAGCAGATTCATTCACTCTCGGCTGGCTCAGAGTTCAACTGTGGGCTGTCCTCTAAGGACAAATCAGTTTTCTGTTGGGGAGACGAGAACAGCAGCCAAGTCATCAGTTTGATCCCTAAGGAGACAAAGTTTCAGAAGATTGCAGCTGGTGGATTCCACGTCTGTGGCATTCTTGACGGCTTAGATTCCAGAGTGCTCTGTTGGGGGAAGAGCTTAGAGTTCGAAGAAGAGATCTCCGGGAGTTCTCCACCAGCTGAAAAGATTCTTGATTTGCCACCGAAAGAGCCACTCTTGACGGTGGTTGGTGGAAAGTTTTATGCTTGTGGAGTCAAACGGTATGATCACAGTGCGGTCTGTTGGGGGTTCTTCGTGAACCGGAGCACCCCTGCTCCGAAAGGTGTAGACTTTTATGATCTTGCAGCAGGGGACTACTTCACTTGTGGGGTTCTCTCAGGGAACTCTATGTCTCCGGTTTGTTGGGGTCTTGGTTTCCCTGCTTCTATCCCTTTAGCTGTCTCGCCAGGACTCTGCAGAGACACTCCTTGCCCTCCAGGAAGTCATGGAGACGGAGACAACTCGCCTTGCAAATCTCCTGGCTCTCACATTTGCTTGCCCTGTAGTCCCAGTTGCCCTCCTGATATGTATCTGAAGAGTGAATGCACAGAGAGATCTGATCAGATTTGTGTTTATAACTGCACGACTTGTGTCTCACCTGACTGTTCCTCCAAGTGTTCTTCTTCGTTGACAGGTGGGGGAAAGGCAAGAGGGAAGTTTTGGTCTTTGCAGTTGCCTATTGCAACTGCAGAGATTGGCTTTGCTCTGCTTTTGATAGCAGTTGTGTCAATAGCAGCGGTTTTATACATTCGGTACAGGCTGAGGCATTGTAGATGCTCAGGGAGTGATGCAAGGTCTTCTAAAGATTCGGTTTTTACGAAAGATAACGGCAAGAACCGTCCTGGTCTTGACGAGCTGCAAAAGCGGAGAAGAGCTCGAGTGTTCACTTACGAGGAGCTAGAGAAAGCAGCAGAAGGATTCAAAGAAGAGTCTATAGTTGGGAAAGGGAGTTTCTCATGTGTGTACAAAGGTGTGCTGAGAGATGGAACCACTGTAGCTGTGAAGAAGGCGATAGTGACATCAGACAAACAGAAGAACTCAAACGAGTTTCGCACGGAGCTTGATCTGTTGTCAAGACTCAACCATGCTCACCTCCTTAGCCTTCTTGGTTACTGCGAAGAAGGTGGAGAAAGGCTTCTTGTTTATGAGTTTATGGCACACGGCTCGCTCCACAACCATCTTCATGGCAAGAACAAGGCCTTGAAAGAGCAACTAGATTGGGTCAAACGTGTAACCATCGCTGTCCAAGCCGCTAGAGGAATCGAGTACCTGCACGGTTACGCTTGTCCTCCAGTGATTCACCGTGATATCAAATCATCAAACATTCTTATAGACGAAGAACACAATGCTCGTGTTGCTGACTTCGGTCTCTCTTTACTCGGTCCTGTCGATAGCGGCTCTCCTCTAGCAGAGCTGCCTGCAGGCACTCTCGGTTACCTTGATCCTGAGTACTACCGACTACACTATCTCACAACCAAATCAGATGTCTACAGCTTCGGAGTCTTGCTTCTCGAGATCCTAAGCGGAAGAAAAGCCATTGACATGCACTATGAAGAAGGGAACATAGTGGAATGGGCGGTTCCTTTGATCAAAGGAGGAGATATAACCACAATCTTGGACCCGGTCTTGAAGCAACCAACTGAGATCGAAGCTCTGAGAAGAATCGTGAGCGTGGCCTGCAAATGCGTGAGGATGAGAGGGAAAGACAGACCATCGATGGATAAAGTGACAACAGCGTTGGAACGAGCTCTTGCGCAGTTAATGGGAAACCCGAGCAGCGAGCAGCCGATATTACCAACGGAAGTAGTTCTTGGGAGCAGCAGAATGCACAAGAAGTCATGGAGGATCGGTTCGAAGAGGTCGGGGTCAGAGAACACGGAGTTTAGAGGCGGGTCGTGGATAACTTTCCCGAGCGTGACATCGTCGCAGAGGAGGAAATCTTCAGCGTCAGAAGGAGATGTTGTGGCGGAGGCGGAGGAGGAGGATGAACGAAAGAAACAACAAGAGGCGTTGAGGAGTCTTGAAGAGGAGATAGGGCCAGCTTCTCCTGGACAGAGCTTGTTCTTGCATCATAATTTCTGAAAACAAGTCGAGTGTTCCCACACGAGGATGACATATATAGTAACTTTATTTACTCTGATGTATAATGTGTTTGCAAGGCAGGAATGTAACAAAAGACTCAAAGAGAGAGAGAGAGAGAGGCTCAGGCTCTTTGTATTTGAGGAAGAATGTTTGAAGGCTTTTCTTACTAATTATATTACTAAGAGTTCTTTTTGTATAAGTGTTCTTCCTTAAAGACGTTCTCAAACAGCCAACAGTCTGTAGCAACAACAACTCTGTTATTTTCTGCAGTCAATAAATAAAGAGAAATTGCTAAAAGGTGGAAAAAAATTGAAAAGTGCCCCCACGCAGGATCGAACTAGGGACCTTCAGTTTACAA